GCTGAGCTGGTGGTTATTCTGAAGCTGCTTCCAGCTGGCAGCGCTAACAGCTGTGTGAGGAGCTCAGAGAGCGCTATGATGATGGAGCTGGACCTGAGACAGTAAGGAGAAGGCGAGTTAGTGTGAAGGAGAACAGAAAGAGACAGCGGCGCTCCACCAATGAGCCAATTCTAAATGAGGGTGAGTCAGTACATTCGATGCCGTTCTAGCAGAGATACGTCAGCTTCTTATTCATGGTTCTGAGAAGAGCACGTCTCCATGTTGGTAGGTGAGCTGTAACTCTGGCTGTGCTCTGATGGAGCTCGTCTCATCAGCTTTACTGCAGATACAGCCATGAAGACTGAGGCAAAAGAGCAACACAGACCAGAAAGACCACGAAAACATGACGCTTCGAATACAGTCTCCAGAAAACACTACGAGAAGATTAGTTAGATTGGTGGATCTGTATAACCTGCATTTCTCCAGAGTTCAGAACATTCCAATCCATGGGATTTTACCAAAGCCAAAAAAAGTGGCTACCAAAACTGCCAAAGCTCCTGATTAGTAAACTCATATATATGTATATGTATATATATACACACACACACACATACACATATACTCCAAAACCAAATGTTATCAGTGGTGACAGGTCTGGACTGCAGGTAGGTCAGTTTAGCACCTGGACTCTTTTAATACAGAGCAATGCTGTTGTAATACATACAGAATGTGGTTTGACATTGTCTTGTTGAAATAATAAAGGCCTTCCCTGAAAAAGACGTCGTCTGGATGGCAGCATATGTTGCCAAAACATGTATATATCATACAGCATTAATGGTGCCTTCACAGATGTGCACGTCACCCAGGCCATGTGCCCTAATGCCCCCTTATACCATCATGAATACTGGCTTTTGAACTGTGCACTGATAACAAGCTGAGTGGTCTTTAGCCCGGAGGACACAGTGTCCATGATTTCCAAAAAGAGCTCGGGCCCAGAGAAGGTGGCAGTGTTTCTGGATCCTTTTTATATTTGTTTTTTTATTTGCGTTTTAGAGTTTTAACTTGCATTTGTAAATTCAGCGACAAACTGTTTTCACAGACAGTGTTTTTTCAGAAAATGGGCATATATTGTTCAAAAACAATACAATTTCTCAGTTTCAAAATTTGATATGTTGTCTTTATACTATTTTCAATTAAACATAGGGTTTAAACGATTTGCACATCCTTGCATTTTGTTTTTATTCATATTTTGCACAGAGTCCCAACTTTTTTGGAAATTGAATGTATATATATATCACCAGCTTTTCCATTCCACCAAGTTGAAAGCTGAAAGTATAGGTGAAATGTGTCTAAGTTTCAAAGCACTTAATGACCAAAGGGATAAAGTGAGGTCATTTTTGTTTTGGCTATTCAGAAATGGGGCATTTTACTGAAAATAACAGTAACGGGGCTCCTAACAACCACCTGGAAGACCTGGTAGACACCAAAACAGCCCCATCAGATAAACAGCACTTAAAGCTTTCATCTCTGAGAGAGAGGAGAAAATCAAGCTGCTTCAGATCTGAAAACATCCACAGGTGTTTCTGTCCATCCTTCCACTGTGAGAAGACGACTCAGCGCTGTGGGTCTGAAAGGATGTGTAGCTGATCAAGAAGAACCTCACTGAGAAAAGGAGACGGACACATCAAACAAAGAAGCTGAACAATGGACTGACCACCCCAGAGTCCAGACCTCAACACCACTGAATGTGTTTGATTACTTCAGAAAATCATCAACCAGCTTCTAAGACTGAACTGTGGAGGTGTGTCTGCAGATTCTTTGAGGAGCTGAAAGTGAGTCACCTGAACAGAATGGAAGCTGGAATAAAGGTAGAGAGACTCACTGAACACTCAGATTTAAATGTGTTTTCTGTTTTTTTCCAGAAGCTGAACGTGGATGAAGGTGGTCTCTGACTTTTGCATGGTGCTGTGTGCTGGAAGAACAGCATGTCTGTGGGTTTTGTGGAGCTGGAATGTGGGCAGTAATTAAAATGAGCATTTCTGAGACTAAATGAAACCAAGCTGAGTCAGTGTCCGTAGCTGAGGTGTTAATTACACCGTTATAAGAGATTAGAGGTTTGGACCAAGACCAAACTCTTCGGAGACGTTAAAGGAATGAATGACAAGATTTTCCGGTTTGATAAATGGGGGAACGTCGGTTCAGGGAAAAGGAGGATCCTCAACAGCAAAGGCTTCAGACAGCAACTCAATAGAAGCCTGATTTAAACATTTTAGTACTTATAATTATCTGGGCAGTAACAGGTGAGGTCAGCGGAACCAGAGAGTGAAGTAACGGCCTTTTTTTGGAACCACAGAGGACATGAAGGTAGAACATAAACAAACACAAGACCACAGAGGTCAGCAGCTAAGTTTTAAACTTAGATTTACTGACCACAAGCACCCAAAACACGTTTAAAGGGTCTAGAAACCAAGCAAACGACTTAGCGCTAGGCTACGCATCAGCACAGTCACCATGACAACATGGCCAAACCTCCAAACAATCCACCTACATGGTTCTTCAAAGGTTCTTTAGTAAAGAAAATGGTTCTATATAGAACCATGAAAACTCAAAGAACCCTCTTTTGATGGAAAATAGGTTACTTATGGTTCTATATGGTCCTATATAGAACCTTTTTGAATATAGCACCAAAAAGGGTTCTTCTATTGTTACAGGCCTGACATCATAACAACAGAAGAACCCTTTTTGGTGCTATATAAAACCAAAAAGGTTCTATCTATCACCAACATAGGTTACTTATGGTTCTATATAGAATTCTCCATCAATCTGAAGAACCATTTAATGACGCAAAGAATCATTTAATCATACAAAAGGTTCTTTGAGTGTTCATGGTACTACATAGAACCATTTTCTTTACTAGAGGACCCTTGAAGAACCATCTTTTTAAGTGTGTAGAACCTTTTTGAAAATGGTTATATATAGATGGTGCCAAAAAGGGTTCTGATGTCAAGCTTGTAACAATAGAAGAACCCGTTTGGTGCTATATACAACCCTGTTCGAACAGGTTCTATGTGGAACCATCTACAGCACATTCTCCCTCAATCTGAAGAACAATTTCACGATGCAAAGAACCCTTTAATCATACAAAGGTTTCCTTGAGTGTTCATGGCTCTATACAGAACCATTTTCTTTATTAAAGAACCCTTGAAAAACCATCTTTTTTAAGAGTGTGGAACCTTTTTGTAAATGGTTCTATATAGATATTACCAAACTTGTAACAACAGCATAACCCTTTGTGGTGCTATAGAACCATCTACAACACATCTCCTATTAATCTGAAGAACCATTTCACCATGCAAAGGACGATTTAAGCATGAACTCATAGTTCTATATTGTTCTACACTGCCTTTACTAAAGAACCCTGAAGAACCCTCTCTGTAAAGTGTGTAATGTTAGATAAAATTCTACTACTTTTACAGTTTAGGTGTAAAAGACGTTCCACTCACTTGGTATTTGGATCTGAGCGAACAGGAGGGGTGTTTGGTGACTCTGGAAGGTTTCTGTGGGTTCTTATCGCACGGCTGTGAACGTTTACTCAGGCAAAACTAACGTTCCTTCAGACTAACTGTTAGAACTCCAGGCTACAGTTTCAGGCCTGCACTCCTCACGACTGTCTACGGCCCTAAAATACAACCTGCCAGCCTAAAAACTCTGCCACGGCCTCTAACACTGCATTCTGCTGTGGTTCGTGGCTTTTATAGCTTTTACGGCTTTTACAGCTGCGTGTGTGTGGACTGCTGCTGACCCCAACTCCTTAAAGGGGAACTCCACCAATTTTTCAAAAATTCTCCACAATTGAATGGTTGAGATGTAAACAGAGTCGTTCAGAGCGGTTCGGTGTGAAACGCTCCGTTCTAGAGAAACTTACTGAGTCCGAATTTTTCAAAAAGGTTCTATGTAGAACCATCTACGACACATCCTCCATCAATCTGAAGAACCATTTCATGATGCAAAGAACGCTTTAATCATGCAAAGGTTTCCTTGAGTGTTCATGGCTCTATACAGAACCATTTTCTTTACTAAAGAACCCTTGAAGAGTGTAGAGCCTTTTTGAATACGGTTCTATATACATGGCGCCAAAAAGGGTTCCGATGTCAAGGTTGTAACAATATCAGAACCTTTTTGGTGCTATATAAAACCATTTTCAAAAAGGTTCTATATAGAACCATCTACAGCACATTGTCCATCAATCTGAAGAACCCTGTCATGATGCAAAGAACCACTTAATCATGCAAAGATTGCTGCTGACCCCAACTCCTTAAAGGGGAACTTTTTCAAAAATTCTCCACAATTAAATGGTTAGGATGTAAACAGAGTCGTTCAGAGTGGTTTGGTGTGAAACGCTCTGTTCTAGATAAACTTACAGAGTCAGAACTGTTCACAGTGGTGGTGATAGGAACCAGACGTCCACCTCTAAAAGCTCCCTCACAGAAAGTTCCTACAGTAAACGGTTATGAATTCACTGCCTGATGACTGAGACACTGTTTTATGATAGTTTTGAGAACTTAAACTCCATTCATGGTGGAGGGATACATGCAGGGCGCTGTGAGGCAAAATAGTCCCCAAAGAAAACTTATTATTCCATATTTTCCACTATTTTCCATCATCAACATTCCATATAAACTCAGAAGACTCGTGTAGGTTCACTGGTGGTTCTGGATAGTAAATAAAATGTCTATATCTGTGTTGTAGTCATGGCGACCCCTGGTTCCTATCACCACCACTGTAAAGACATCTGAACCATTTCACACCAAACCACCCTGAATCTCAAACACTGAGCTGTGCAGAAATTCTGGTGGAATTCCCCTTTAAAGGGCACGGCTTGCTCCATCCGCAGTAGTGGCGAAGGAAGGTGCCCCCCCTCCCCGAAAGGTGAAACCGTTCCCCCCGCATGCCGGACTCCTTCTCCCGTTTCGGCCGGACACACTGCGACGTTAGCCCGAGCACCGTGACCGCGCCGTTACCTGCTGTGTCCGCCGAGCTGCTCTCCGCTCTCGGTCGGTCAGTCAGCGCCGCTCGCTCCGCAGCTCAGATCAGCTCCATGTTTGTTGTTTTTGTCCCGTTCAGAACTCAGAGCGCTGAAACTCGCCGAGCTCCGCGCGCAGCCGGCAGCGGCCGTTCAGCGGAAAACGCCGAGCTGTTTGGAGGGTCCAGCCGCAGTCCGGCTCGGTCCGGCTCAGCCTGCGTCCTGCTCGGCTCGGCTTCCAGAGCTCAGACAGAGTCCACTTCACAAACACACGGCAACGGAACTGGGACACCGCAAGGCATTGTGGACCGGTTTAAAGCAGCCCAGCCCGCTCCAGTAACACAGCAGAGCACAGCAGCGCTTCACTGAGGAGGAAACACAGACTATACAATACTATACTGTACTATACTATAACATACTATAACATACTATACTATACTAGACTATACTATAACATATTATGTTATATATATAATACTATACTGTACTGTACTATAACATACTATACTATACTATAACATACTATAACATATATTATATATACAATACTATACTGTACTATACTATACTATACTATATTATATATACAACACTATACTATACTATAACATACTATACTATACTAGACTATACTATAACATACTATACTATACTATACTATAACATACTATAACATATTATATTATATGTACAATACTATACTGTACTGTACTATACTATACTATACTATATTATATATACAACACTATACTATACTATAACATACTATACTATACCATATTATATATATACAATACTATACTACACTATAATATACTATACTATATTATATTATATATACAATGTTATACTATACTATATTACACTATACTATACTATGCTACACAATACTGTACTACATTATACTATACAATACTATATTATACCATACTATAATATACTATACAATATTACATTATACTACATTATACTATACTGTATTCTATACTCTATACTCCAATCCCACAGCTGAGTACTATAGAAGTCTAGTATCTCATATTAATGAGCTAGTAAGTCATGATTATGAGATACTAAGTCATTCGTCTGAGTTATTTAGTCATAATTATGAGATTAAATCTCATTATTATGGGATATTAAGTTATAATCATGAGATATGTCATAGTTATGACATACTAAGTTATAACTATGAGATGCTAAGTCATAATTATGAGAACAAAAGTCAAAATTGACATAGCAAGTCATTATTATGGGATATTAAGACATACAAGATTCTAAGTCACAATTATGAAAGATTAAGTTGTAATTATGAGGAAGTCATAATTATGATCCTAAGTCATAAATATGAGTCATTACTATGAGATGTTGTCATTATTATGATGTGCTAAGTCATAAAAATGAGATATTAAGTCATACTTATGAGATTCTAAGTCATAATTATGAGATGTTAAGTCATAATTATATTAAGCCATAATTATGAAAAAGTAAGTCATAATAATGAGATATTAAGTCATAATTATGAGATATTAAGCCATAATTATGAAAAAGTAAGTCATAATTATGAGATTGAATTCTATTATTGTGATTATGTGAAAGAAAGTCATAATTATGAGAGATTAAGCCATAATAATGACATACTTATGAGATTCTAAATCATAATTACGATAGATTAAGTCATAATTATAAAAGAAAAACCCTGTCAACGTCCTTTAGACACTCTATATTGCATTCAGTTTCACACAGGAAAGCTGTAGGTACGATTACAGAAAGTGAAAATCCAAAACTATAAACTCTGAAGATAAAATTACTTTAAACGAGTAAAAATGTTTAGAAATAAGTAAAATAATCTTAGAATACTCTTACAGCAGTCTCATAATGAGAAATACTAGATTCATTGTTTGCGCTGTGGTCTGTGTTCCATGCATTTGTCTCAGGCCATGCTGAGAACTACTAAAGGGTCAGATATGACCTGACTAGGTCTATCAAAGAGGCCAAGAGACAGTACAGATTGAAGCTGGAGGGATGCCATACCACCGCAGACCCCTGGCACTGGTGGCAAGGCCTGCAACACCTCACAGATTACCAGCAGAGGAGCAGAGGGGGTCAGAACCAGCCACACCACACGGCCAGATGAGCTGAATGAGTTCTATGCTCACTTTGAGCCCCTCAGCATCGACCCACAGAGAGGGGCTTTGGCCACGGAGAGCACACTGAACACATCGCTCACTGTCATCCCCAGGCCTGCACTCGGAGTTTGCTCATCAGAGCTGGCGGATGTGTTTGCAGACATATTGAATAGCCTCATGCAAGCTTCTGTGCCCACCTGCTTCAAGCCTACCACCATTGTGCCCCTCCCAGTGAAAAGCACCCTGACCTCCCTAAACACACAAAAATGGTCTCTTGGCAAGTCAAATTGTCTTAAATCTAGTCAGTATATGTAACATTCTTCATGTTAAAGTTGCTGTAAGCTTATTATAAGATTATTTAACTTTTTTCTAGGCTTTTTACATGTTTTGAGTAATTTTTTGTAAGTAAAATTTTCAGTATATTGGTAGATAATTTCCTTATAACAAGCAAAATTATCTGCCACTATAGTGAGAAACACTCAGAAATAGAGGCACTAAACTGTCACTGGGTCAGTACCCCTCCTGTCACTGGGGTGGAACCCTCAAGGGTCCATCTCAGTACCTTTAGTCAGGGAACATAACTGAACCATAATCCACTGAATGATATGTTCTAAGCTGTACTGACTCCACACACCCCGTCTCGTCTCCAGGCTTTTATTTTACTGTTCTGTTTAAAACATTCGGTTATGAAAAGGTACAAATACGAACTTTTCACCTGGAAACACTTATTTAAGGTTCACAATCAGACCTTAAAACCACTGTTGGAGCTTTGAGGGAACATTTACACTGTTTGTACCTTGATGAATGAAAAATGTACCTGAACAGAACCTTTATTTCTCACAGTGCTCTGCAAAAAATGATCTCTTGGCAAGTGGAAAAATCTTAAATGAAGTTAATATATCTAATATCTCTCATTATGAGACAGTTATAAGAATTTTATAAGGTTATTCCACTTGTTTGTGTACATTTTTACTTTTTAAAAATGTGAAAAGTTTAGTAATTTTATCCAGTGAAGGTGTCTAATTCCATTGGCAGATCTTTTTTCTTGTTTAGGGAAATAATAAAGATATTTTTTTGTTTTGATTAAAACAAGAAAAATGAAACAAAAAAGACACTTTCATAAGATAAAATTACTTAAAAAAGTAAAAAAAATGTCTAGAAAAATGAGAAATGAGACATATTAGATTATATTAACCTGTAACATATTTTAATTATTTTTATAAAATATAAAATACATTTATATTTTTTGTAAAATATTATTTTTTTGTAAAATAATAACAAAATATTAACATATTTTTTATTTTAATAATCTTATAATATTCGCACAAACACATCAAAATGAGACATACTAGATATTAAGACTAGATTTAAGATGATTTCTCTTGTTAAGGGATCATTTTCTTGCAGTGTGATTATTATTCCAATAGTGATGAAGTGTTTTAAAAGGACAGTCAGAACCTCGGACCCTCTGCAGAACCAGTCCGCTGACGACGCAGTCAGCACTGCCATTCACACAGCCCCCACAGACCTAAAGGGCAAGTATACCTATGTTAGAATGCAGTTTAAATGGGCTCTATATCACCAAAAGGGTTCTTATATTGTCATGATGCCAACCTTGTTACAACAGAAGAACCCATTTGGTGCTATATAGAACCCTTTTTAAAAAGGTTCCAAATAGGACCATCTACAGCACGTTCTCCATCAATCTGAAGAACACTTTTAAGATGTAAAGAACCCTTTAATCATACAAAGCATTCTTTAAAAGTTCATGGTTATATACAGAATTATTTTCTTTACCAAAGAACCCATGAAGAACCGTCTTTTTTAAGTGTGTCCTTGGCTCTTTGCACAAAACTGCACAGGTCATTTTTAAGTACTTATTCATGCCTGTCTCTGTTTATATTTTGTAAATGGAGGTTTAGCTTAGTAAGATTTTCATTGTACAGTGTAACTGTATGTTTTAGTGCACGAATGACAATAAAACTCTTAAATCTTTGATCAACATGTACAGTATATCTAATTATTATGTTCATGGGGCCCTGGGCCGCTCCTTACTTTTAGCTACACTGCAAAAAAATATATGGTAACACTTTCTATGAATGTCACCTTTGTAAGCACTTATAAACACATTCATAACATGTTATAATGCATTCATAAGGCATTATAAACATGGCTATAAATATTTATAAAAATGCATGACGTTATAGCCATGCTTATTATGCATTATGAATTGTTAACATAATACATTATAAGTACTGATCATAACAAATTATAAGAGCTCATAAGCTGTATTTGTCCGCTCTAAGTACAGTGAAGCGTACTGTACTAAAGCCTCCTCCAGTGTTCAGAGTGAGGCTTCAAGTTGAAGGATTTACTGAAACACTAAAACATTCACAGTAAAGCACATTACAGGCTTCAAATGTCAGAGTTTAAACTAGAGCTGCCATCAGTGTTTTACCCAATGTGGGAAAGGTAATGTTCACCACCGTTAGCTTGGTATTTGTCTTTACTTTACGCTCCCCAAGCTGGGACTGACGTTTTTGGCACTGACAGTATAACATGTTATTAACACTACTTATAATGCATTATATTAACAATTCATAATGTATAATAAACATGGCTATAAAGTGTAATTCATTTTTATAAATGTTCATAATCATGTTTATAATGCCGTATGAATGCATTATAACATGATATAAATGTGTTTATAGATGCTTACAAATGTGACATTCATAGAAAGTGTTACCAAATATATTTTAACAAGTGAAAACGTCTTAAATGTAGTTGATATTTCACATTATGAGATTATTATAAGACTCGTTGTGAGATGGAATAAGACACTTTCATAGGAGAAAATGACTTAAAACAAGTGAATGCCTAGAAATAGGTTAAATAATCCTATAATATTCTAAAAAAACACTCTCATAATGACAAATATTAAATATATGAACTACATTCCAGATGTTTTCACTTGCTAAGATATCATTCTTTGCAGTGCAGTGCGAAGACATCCCTGTTTGTACCTGCTTGTCGTAATAGGATGTTCATTACATGTATTTTGGAATGAAGACACTCGCCAACCACACAGTGAACAGAGGATTCTCAATGTGGTTATATGTTCTTGTTTAACTGCCTTTAAAGACACTTACTGTCTCAGTTGGAAAGGAAACAATGTGCGGGGCCTCACGAGGCAAAGCACCCCACCCCCCTTCAAAAAAAAAAAAAAATCACAATTTTAAGAAAAAGGTAAAGAAAACAAAACTTCTCTTTTGGGGTACTGAGGTTAAAGTCAACATAAATGGGCTAGTTATGAAAAAAGTAATCATTAACGACTGACTACGTCCTGAAATAAAGTAATCTAATTATTCATTACTTTACGTCTGAGTTACTCTCTAAAGCCCAAATACATCCGCACGAACAAAGACAAACCCAACAGTCCTTTCAGCTTATTATTTAGAAAGACAATCAATTTAAACGATCAATCTGAAAAGGCACGTCAGTATCCCTTCCTTTTGTCTGTATTTCTCAAATTTACCATTTGACCATGAAGTACTTTGAGTAAAAAATAAATAAATACATAAATAAATAGCAATAGATTTGTTAGACACCTACGTAGCGAGCCTGTAAGGTAGGTGGACTTTAAAGGGGAACTCCACTGATTTTTCAAATATTTTGCACAATTAAACCATTAAGATGTAATCAGAGTCGTTCAGAGTGGTTTGGTCTGAAACGCTCTGTTCTAGATAAACTTACAGAGTCAGAATTGTTCACAGTGGTGGTGATAGGAACCAGACGTCCACCTCTAAAAGCTCCCTCACAGAAAGTTACTACATGGAATGGTGATGAATTCACTGCCTTTATGATATTTTCGAGAAGATTTCGGCCTAAAAATACATTCATAGTGGAGGGATACATAAAATAAGAAAACTTTTTTTTTAGGTTCACTAGTGGTTTTGTACAGTAAATAAAAATTGTGTCGTAGTCATGGTGACTCCTGGTTCCTATCACCCCCACTTTAAAGAAAAGAGTCTCTGCAATGAGCCATTTCGCACTCTGAATCACTCTGTTTACATCCCAAACACGGAATTATAAGACATTTTGAAAAACAAAAAGGGATTCCCCTTCAAAAAGTGGCCAATGAGCAGAAGTGCAATGTTTCTTGCAGCTTGCCTCGGGACTTTTATTTTGAAAAAGGCGCTTTTTTCCTATTTGGCTAGCCTGCCAAGCCCTCATTGCTTCATAAACACAGTTAGTTAATGTAAATAGCCTCTTCGACGGCCGCACGACTGAGCTCCAATGCGCTCTTTGTCTTCTGTGCTGCGGTTTGGAGGGACAGGCGCTGATTGTGGAGCTCACTGAGCTGTGTTGGGCTGCGGTGTGAAGCTGCTGCTCCGGCAGGTCACAGCTCTGAGTTCCGCCAGGCCCCGCACGCTGCTGCTGTCTGCCCAACACCACAGGTACAAAAACACACGGCTCATCTGCGGGTGTGCGGTAGGAAACACAGGCCTTTAACATTTTTATAGCCTATAAAACCATTTCAGAAAAAAATACGATGCTGAAATTGCTTCTTCTTTTTCGAATTCTCCGGTCCACCTTAAATGGTGTAGCAGTTACACTTGGACTGCGGCGCGTCTTTGAAGCGCCGCAGCGTAACTGCTGCTCCATTTAAGGTGGAACGGAAAGTTAGTGAACATGATCATTTTTGGACGGTACAGCGCTGCTAATGAGTCAGTCTTTTGAGGTTTGGGACGTTGCAAACTTTATTCTAGGTGTACAAGTTACATATTATTGAACTTTATACGCTGTTATGTAAGAATTTGGCAGTGATGTGACGTTATCTCATCTCATCAGATCTCAAACTTACCCCCACTTTCTGCTTTGCATGGCAGTTATACACCTAAGATTAAAACCACCTCTTTGTTTCTACACTCATTGTCCACTTAATCAGCTCCACTGACCGTACAGTTTCACTTTGTAGTTCTACAGTTACAGACTGTAGTCCATCTGTTCCTCTGATACTTTGTTACCCTGTTCTTTTGGTTTTTTTGGTATGACCAGCAAACACAGCTTTGAACAGCTGTTCACACAGAAAATCATCATATTCTACATTAAAACACTAAAAAGTGCTGAACTGCAGAAAATATGATGATTCTTAAAGTTCCACACTGGTTTTCAGACTTTGGGACTCATTTACTTCAACACAATGTGATCTAACTGCTCACCACGTGGCCATGAGGGACAGGGATGCAGCCTCACTTCCTGCTCTGAAATGCAGGGGCGCTAAAATAAGGCTCCACCTACTGACCAAACATCTGTTTCGGTAGTGACACGAAAACGCGGGACAGCATTTTTAGAATAAAAATTAGTGTTTTATTTGAAAATTAAATTCATGATAAAATTGAACTGTTTCAGCTTCACTTCGAAAGAAAATATTTAAAAACAGTTTTAAAAAAATACAAAAAATGTTAGTTTTATTTTCAGAAGTGTAAATTTAGGGGTTTGGGGTTTGGGACAGACTCCTCCCAATAGAAAGTACAATATAAATGATGATTATAATAATAATTTATAATAATAATAATAATAATAATAATAATAATATAAATAAAATTAGCACTTTTCATGCCAGTGGCAGCTCAAAGTGCTTTACAGACAGGTGATAAAACATAGTTATAGAAAAGATCATTAGTACTTAGTTAGTTTTAGTTAAATGCTAATTTAAAGAGATAGGTGCTTCTTAAAAGTGAGCACTGAGCTTGACTGTCTAATAAAAGGTGGAATTGAGCTCCACAGTTTAGAAGCAGAATAACTGAACGAGTCTCTCCACGTTTTCTGTATTTTACAGAGGGTGTCTGTAGAAGGCCACTATCCGCAGATCTTAGATTACGTGCCGGAACATAAACAGACAGACACTCTGTGATGTAAGCGGTGCTTTAAGGTTGTTTTGATCTTTAAAAACTGGTAGCAGAACCTTGAAATCTATCCTGAATGATACAGGCAGCCAGTGCAGCTCTTTTAAAACAGGACTGATCTGATCTCTCTGTGTTGTTTTTGTTAGGATGCTGCTGCACTTTGTACGAGTCGTAAGGGATGTGTAGTTTTCCCTGTCAGATAAAACATTTTATGTGTATACTTTTTTGTATATGTTTTTTCTTTTTGTATTCCTGTCTCTATTAATGCTTTGGGTTTAAGTAGATCAGAATATAGTCGTTGTAAAAACTCTGAATACTTCGTTTTTTATTTATTTTTTTGCTTTTATATTTGTTTTTACTGTGGTTCCTTAGTTTGAACAAGTTTGTTAAAATGGTCCATCTATCTTTAAATTAATGAGGCTCAAAAGGAAAACCGCGAAGTTTGTTTGCAAACACAGAACATTTTAATGTAACGCGTTTCTGTAACCTGCGTTTTGTTTAGCTGCAGGTCAGAAACGGGCCGTAAAGTCATGGCGGAAGGCGGAACTGTGGAAGAAGAGAAGACGCTGATGGCGGAAGGTGAGAGCGAGACCCCCAGCGGCCCCGGAGAGAACCCCTCTACGCAGGAACCGAGGAAGAGCAGCTCTTCACGTAAAAGCTTCCGCCTGAACTACCGGCACGAGGAAGAAGTGACCCGTTCGAGGCGGGACTCCAGTGGACGCTTCGTGAACCCCTGGCCAACTTGGCAGTTCCCCTCTTACGCCACTGCCCTGCGGCTCTTCCTCATGGAGAAGAACCACAGCAACGTTCCCAGCTCAAAAGAGGTAAACATTCCAGCCTCAGACAGGTGCTGTAGGCACGTGTGGGCCTGCAGGTAACGGGGCAGGTGTGTTCTTGCACTTCAGTGGGAGGATACAGCACGTTGAGGGTAGCTCAGTTGAAGCGAATGGTTACGCCGCAACCACATTTGTTATGCTGAAGTGATTCAACATGATGTAATACCAGAGAACTTGTAGAGAGGAGAACTGCCACTCTGTAATGTCTTCTGGGTTTCTCAAACACAAGAGGGCGCTCCCGAGTGAGTCCAAAATGAATGGGTTGATATGGAGCATTTGAGCAAAATCATAGTTAATAAATGCTTAAACATTTTAATGTAAACAAATACATTCATTTCCTGAACAGCGTAAAACGTTTTAACACTGCTGTTATATTTTTAAGAGCTTTTAAACTCCAGTTATATGAGTTTAAAACGGCGCCCTCTGGTGTTTAGCACCCATGTTTTTGATATAACGGGGGAAATAAGAAGAGGCCAGGCTTCTCACAAACTGGCTCTGGTAATACTCCCCAGTGCTGGTTCGTCTTATACGTAAAATACACAAGCTGTCCCCTACCTGCTGATGGGAGCCCCCCATGGCAAGCAGGACGACATATTTAATAGAAATAGAATTTATTAGAAATGTAGAAAAGTTGTCTAAACAACTTTTTTATTTATTTTTATTGCCCCTTAAAGGGGATCCTTACTGAGTTTTCAAAATTTCTTTATAAATAAATGGTTAAGATGTAAACAAAGTCATTCAGAGTGGTTTGGTGTGAAACGCTCTGTTCTAGAGAAACTTGTGGTGGTGATAGGAACCAGACGTCCACCTCTAAAAGCTCCCTCACAGAAAGTTACTACATGAAATGGTTATGAATTCACTGCCTGATGACTGAGATTTTGTTTTACGATAGTTTTAAGATAAAGTTTTGGCGAACTGTAATTGAACCGCAGATCAATTTTGGACCAAACCTTTTCACCCCTTATAAGCAGACATTGCCTTCAGATTTGAAATGGTATGAGGTAGATTCATCTGTAAGCTGCTGAGATGTGCATCACAAGTTACGTTCTCTTCTGTTTGTTCTTTTGAAGGTGTTGGATAAGGAACTGCCAGTGCTGGAGCCGTATTTCGTCCAGAACCCGGAGCAGTGTGGGCAAGTAGGCTCGTCCCTGCGGGTGACGTGGCTTGGCCATGCCACCGTGCTGCTGGAGATTGATGGGCTGGTGGTGCTAACGGACCCCATGTTCAGCCAGAGGGCCTCCCCCATGTCATTCATGGGCCCCAAACGGTACCGGGGTCCGGCCTGCACCGTGGCGCAGCTGCCCCGCGTGGACGCCGTCCTCATCAGCCACACGCACTACGACCACCTGGACTTGAGTTCGGTGGTGGCGCTGAACTCGCGGTTCGGCGCAGAGCTGCGCTGGTTCGTTCCTCTTGGGCTGCTGGATTGGATGAGGAAGAACGGCTGCGAGAACGTCATCGAGCTGGACTGGTGGGAGGAGAACTGCGTCCCCGGCCATGATGACGTAACGTTGGTGTGCACGCCTGCGCAGCACTGGTGCAAGCGCACGCCTACAGACGACAACAGGGTGCTGTGGGGCAGCTGGACCGTGCTGGGTCCCAACAATCGGTTCTTCTTCGCAGGCGACACGGGGTACTGCTCGGTGTTTGAGGAGATTGGGAAGCGTTTCGGGCCGTTTGACCTGGCCGCCATCCCTATCGGTGCATACCTGCCCAGGTGAGGTAGAGAAATACAGGTGTAAACGGAGTGATTTAGAGTGGTTTGGTGTGAAATGGTTCAGATGTCTTTACAGTGGTGGTGATAGGAACCAGGGGTCGCCACGACTACAACACAAATATAGACATTTTATTTACTATCCAGAGCCACCAGTGAACCTACACGAGTCTTCTGAGTTTATATGGAATCTTGATGATGGTAAAATAGTGGAAAATCTGAAATAATAAGTTTTATTTGGGGACTATTTTGCCTCACAACACCCTGCATGTATCCCTCCACCATGAATAGATCTTAAAAGTACATTTTAGGCCAAAAGCTTCTGAAAACTATCATAAAACAGTGTCTCAGTCATCAGGCAGTGAATTCATAACCATTTCATGTAGTAACTTTCTATGAGGGAGCTTTTAGAGGTGGACGTCTGGTTCCTATCACCACCACTGTGAACAGTTCTGACTCGGTAAGTTTCTCTAGAACAGAGCGTTTCACACCAAACCACTGTGAATGGCACTGTAATAAGTTGAATTATGCAGGATTTTACTAAATTTAGTGGAATTCCCCTTTAAGGATGCATCAATATTGAATTTCAGGTGCAGTAACTAATAATTGAAGTGCAGAAACAGTGTGTGTGTATGTGTGTGTGTGTGTGTGTGTGTGTGTGTGTGTGTGTGTGTGTAAAATGGGTTAAAACTCAGCTCACTGATTTATGTTACATACACATGACACAGCTAAATCATACATGACAGTGACTGTAAACAGTATTATTTTATGTAAATATTTAACATTATTTAGCAGAAACTCTCCTTATCCAGAGTCACAGTCTTCTGGGACTTTGTGATCACATGTCCTTGTGTGAGCTAATAACAGGGCACAGAATAATCAGTTGTACCTACTGTAATTAAAATATTGGGGTGATGATAATACATTTTCTCTTTTATTGCCGAGTAATATGTCGACTGATGGTCTGTTGTGCACCTCTAACTGCAGTAGCAGTATGAGTGCCGTTGCAGGACTGATGCCCTGACAGTGATGGATGATTTCTTCTTTTTCCAGAGGCATTATGAAGTCACAGCATGTGGACCCAGAGGAGGCTGTTCAAATCCACATCGATGTTCAGGCCAAAAACTCGCTGGCTATTCACTGGGGGACATTCGCCCTGGCCTATGAGGTATCTCTCCATCTCTGTCTCTCCATCTCTGTCTCTCTCATGCTCTCTGTTTTTTTGAGTGCCTGTTTTTATTGAGACTTCATTGGCTCTGACTGTGCATTTTTCTCTTTGTCCTCCTGACATAAAGGGACACAAAGGTGGCTTTGTAATGATGTTATAATGGTGGTGTTACAGCGTTTGTTGCTGTACCGTGTTGAGTCTCACTTTTATATTTTATACACACACACACGTTTGTCTTGCTATACATATGAGGACGTCCATAGGTTTTTATTGATTTTTGTGTTACTGTAGCTAAATAATACTACACTTAAACCTAAACCTAACCATAACCAGCAGAATGTCCTCACTTGAGCAAAAAATTCATATACTCCTATCATAGTGAGGATATGGGGTCCTCACAAGTATAGCAATAAAAGCACACACACACACACACATGTTTATATGTATATATATAATATAGTACCTTAAGCACCCAAACACATTAAAAGACATTTAAAACCAAATCTTGGCAGTAAGTCTGTTATGCTTGTAAAAACACCATATATACTTCGAGTTCTTCAGTAAAGAAAATGGTTCCATAGGGAACCACAAACACTCAGAGAACCCATTGCCTGATCAAAGTGTTCTTTGCATCGTTAAGTGGTTCTTCAGATTGATGGAGAATGCACTACAGATGGTTCTATACAGAACCTTTCTGAAAAGGGTTCTATGTAACACCAAAAGGGGTTTTTCTTTTGTTACAATGTCAAGACTGTAACAATAGAAGAACCCTTTTTGGTGCTATATAGAACCTTTTTCAGAAAGGTTCTATATAGAACCATATAAAACTCGTTCTCCATCAATCTGAAGAACCATCTTTTCTAAGTGTGTAGAATAAATGTAAACAAACATAAATGCAGTAAAAAGCAACACGATTTTTTTGTTTACAGTAAAGTTGTTGATGTCTTGTGAACTACTTTCAAAGACAAAGTTTGCTCCCAAGCATCTCTTTGGTGTCCCAGTATTTGCGTGGATTTGGTTAATTCTGTCTCCAGCACCCATTTAACATAATGAAGCGATTAGATGAACCAGGTATTTGAGTAATAACTACAGGTAATACTGGGCTTCCTTGAGGAGAGGATTCGAATTGGTTAAGCAAACACATTGACATACATAAAACCACCACTTACTGTACTGATATTATTTGTATTTATTGTAATATTAGTGTTTTTCATGATGATTCAGAGTGGTTTGGTGTGAAATGGTTCAGATGTCTTTACAGTGGTGGTGATAGGAACCAGGGGTCGCCATGACTACAACACAAATATAGACATTTTATTTACTATCCAGAACCACCAGTGAACCTACACGAGTCTTCTGAGTTTATATGGAATGTTGATGATGGAAAATAGTGGAAAATCTGAAATAATAAGTTTTCTTTGGGGACTATTTTGCCTGACAGCGCCCTGCATGTATCCCTCCACCATGAATGGAGTTTAAGTTTTCTAAACTACCATAAAACAGTGTCTCAGTCATCAGGCAGTGAATTCATAACCATTTCATGTAGTAACTTTCTGTGAGGGAGCTTTTAGAGGTGGACGTCTGGTTCCTATCACCACCACTGTGAACAGTTCTGACTCGGTAAGTTTATCTAGAACAGAACGTTTCACACCAAACCACTCTGAACGACTCTGTTTATATCTTAACCATTTAATTATGTAGAAAATTTTGAAAAATTGGTGGAGTTCCCCTTTTACAGAATTCTGCTGTCTGCTGGTTGGTTGAAACATGTTATAACAAATAAAGCAGTATGGAGGTAATGGTCTAACACTCGCTTGCCTTTAGTCATTACTGTTTCTGACTGAAGGTTCTCTGTGTTTTCTCTGTCAGTATTATCTAGAACCTCCAGTGAGGATGCGCAATGCCATGGTGGCCCACGGACTGAACCCTGATCACTTTTTCACTCTCAGCCACGGAGAGTCTCGGCTGCTCACCCAGGACGAAGTCTTCCACTGAGAGAACAAACATGCTTCTTTCTAAAGTACCGCCAGAGAACTTGTAGAGAGGAGAACTGCCACGCTGTAATGTTATCCGGGTTTCAAACGCTAGAGGGCGCTCCTGAGCGAGTCCAAAATGAATGGGTTAAGATGGAGCATTTGAGTAAAATCATGGTTTATAAATTATTAAACATTTTTAATGTAAAGAATTCATTCATTTCCTGAACACAGAACAGCGTAAAACATTTTAACACTGCTGTTATATATTTAAGAGCTTTTAAACTCGAGTTATAGGAGTTTAAAATGGCACCTGATGTATGTCCATGACATCAGTGAGCGCCAACAGCCAATGAGCTGCTCCGCTCACCAGCCAATCGGCACTCAGTAGCAGTAATGCCCGCCTTCTGCTGCCCAAAACCCGTTTACTGTAGAAAAAAGAAAACAAACAGGTGAGTTTTCTTTGCTTTTTTAGTGAAATTCATCCTTGTACTGTCTAAAATTAAAGGAAAGTTCTGGTTCAGTGATTAGAAACTATTTTAACTTTTCGTTTTTAGCTGTTGAGCTCCATTCACTCCCCTTCATTGAGGACTCGCTCGCGGGCGCCCTCTACTGTTTTGCAGTCCTGTTCTTGATATAACAGGGGAAATAGGAAGTGGCCAGACTCCTTATAAACCTGCTGCCCCCAGAAATACATAAATATCATATATTCTGTGACTGTCTTGCAGTAATTCTGCTGTAAGTGCGATTTGGACCACTGTTTGTTTTCCTTGACAGAGAAGCTGCTTATCGGTTATCAGCTGTAGCGCTTTCTCTGTCTGGACCCCAACAGTGGGCCGAATACACTGTTCTTTTCAATCAAGGAAGCCTTTTTAACATATGCTCATATTCATTATGCCTTAAAGGGGGAACTCCATCACTTTTGTGCATAATTAACTGATAACTGTGGCCCCATTTTAGCCTAAAACGGCGTACCCAAAGTAAAAGGGGGCGCTGTTCCCACATACGTTGGGCCACAGTCATGATCTTGGTCTCATTTGAATGGAAACACCCTCACCTGTCAGAATAACTGTATGAATCACTGACACAGAATAACAGAGTCTAGAGCAGAGGAGTTTATTTCCTCCTGACTCTAAACTCTAAACTGATCTCTGACTCTTGCCGTGTTATCAGACCACCTGCTCTGGATTATGGTGTCTCTGTGGAGAGAGGCGAGGCTCTAAAGGTGAGGAACCACATATTTGATAGAGAAGATTGTAACTGCTGTGAATAACGGATCATAAAATGGTTAGCGGGATTTGAATCCTGGGATTTAAAGCTTTCTAGCGGTTTATTGCATCACTGAATTGCTGGACAACCGGATGCATAAAAATGATGTTTTAAAAAAACAGAAATGAACACTTTGATGGAAGTGTGCCGGTACCGGGACAGTGATCTAGATAAGGTTAAACGGTTAAGATGTAAACAGAGTTGTTCAGAGTGGATTGGTGTGAAACGCTCTGTTCTAGACAAAACTTACTGAGTCAAAATTGTTTACAGTGGTGGCGATAGGAACCAGACGTCCAGTAAATAAAATGTCTATAGTAGTCATGGCAACCCCTGGTTCCTATCACCACCACTGTAAAGAAATCTGAGCCGGCAAGTTTTCCTACAAACCACTCTGAATGACAGACATTTTGAAAAATTGATGGAATTCCCCTTTAATGCTACTAAGAATGTCTCACAGGCTCCGTATAGTCGTCACTGCTGGACCTGCCTTCTTTGACCAAATGCTGACTAGAACCATTGGATGTCTCAGTGCCATGTCCTACAGGCAAAATCTAGAACCCCCCCCTTTACAGGGAACTTAAATACAGCATTTTCCTGCATTTTTAGAGCACAAATTATGTTTATTTGCTGAGTTAAACATATTGAAGAAAAGTAAAACTGTTATAACTATATTATTAATTATTATTCCACGCTATATTATATTATTATAACTATTAAATGTGCCATAACTCTTGCACAGGCCACATTGTACATTTTATTTTCTACCTCAATGTGTTCAGTTCAACAAATAAGCAGTATTTTTGTATTAAAATGTGTGTCCCTGTAGAGGATGTGTTCACTGTGACTGTACACCGTGGTGACTCCGCTCGCTGTCAGGCGTCAGTACAGTTTTCTAAGACTGTTGCTGATTGATGATAAAGGGAGGGGGATAAATGGAAAACCTCCAGAATGAGGTTGCAGTTTATTACATTAGGCCAAAGCTGTAGCTTCTTATTTGCCAGTCTGAACTAACAGCTTTCCAAAGATCACGTTTTGTATACACAGCAAAAAATGATGTCTTGGCGAGTGAAAACATCTTAAATGTAGTTAATATATCTAATATTTCTCATTATGAGTCTGTTGTAAGAATATTATAAGATTATTTCACCTGTTTCTGTACATTTTTACTTGTTTTCAGTAATTGTATGTGGTGAAAGTGGCAGATCATTTCTTGTTTTGATAAATAATTAAGATAATTTTGTTTATTTCAAGAAATATTGCTTATAATAAGTAAAACGATCTGCCAGTGGACACAAAATTGCTTAAAACATGTTAAAATGTAGGACACACCAAAATATCCATATAATTACGTAAGTAATCTTTGCGGGGTTACATTCTGTACAAATGCCAAATTATGGATGGAGATGGAATCAGTTCACGATGAAAAATTAACACCCTCAGTGACGGGGTTTGGTGTTCCCACACGTTTTAATGCTGACGAGACAAACGATGGTGTGAATTCTGCACTGATTATTTTAATATTAATGTAGAGTTTTAATATTAATTTAGCTTTGCAGGGCTGGAAATGTTAAATCCTGCCTTTGTTCGTATTGCAGTGGCTGCAGTTTATTTAACGAGATATTTAATGAATGTTTAGTTTTATGTTTTGATTGAAGGAACGTCGGATAGTGTGGAGTAACTGATATCGCCTCATAATCTTCCTTTATTGCCAGAAACATGAATGTATTCTTGAAATAACCACCAGACTGTCCAAAAGCTTGTTTTTGACCTTTTTATGGTCAGTTACCACTAGGAGGTGTGTTTGGTTATAGGCTGGCCAGTGATTCACTGCTTTTTACAGTTCTCTGAATAATAACACATTTTTCAAATAAACGCACTATAAACTGTGCTCACTTCTTGTTTTTATTACCTTACATTGCACTGCAGTTATTTTCACATGCCTCAGAGAGAGAGAGAGAGAGAGAGAGAGAGAGAGAGAGAGAGAGAGATAATGCTTAAAACAAAGACAGCGGCCTAGTCCCATTTCACCCCTCGCCCCTACCACTGAGCCCTTAGCCCTCTGTTTTGTGTGTTCATGTCTAGTGGTAGGGTGTCCTGATTCTTGTTGAGATAGAGGGGGAGGGTGAAGTCTTGGAGCTACATGACCCTCCAAACAGAGAGTTTTTCAGAGACTCCAAACAGAGAGATATGAGAAAACAAGAAAAACCGGTAAGATAGAGAACAAGAGACCAATGAAACCCACAAATGTGAGAATTTTCTCTGTTAAAAAATTACGATAACCACTGTATTATCTTAGTTTAATGTTGTTTCAGTGTATTATGGTCCTTTTCTTCATAACAAGCATAAAAAAATCACTAATAGATGCTAATGTCTTGGTAGCTAGCTAGCTAACTTTCCCATTCCACCTTAAATAGCCTGAAGCGCCAGAATGTAACTGCTGCACCTTTTAAGGTGGAATGGGAAAATTCGAACAAGAAGCTGGTGAATATCTGACTTCAGCTTCATATCACTGAAGAATTAGGGGTGGGCGATAATAAATAATTGCCCCCCTCTTTGAAGATCATATGATGCCCTAAATGTAACTAAAGCCCAGCAGTGAGGAGCTGAACTTTACCCTCCTCTGCTGTCACTGCAGACTGGCAGGGTCGCCTACAGAGCAGCGCTGGTAGCTGTTAATGAAGTGATGCTCTTTTTATTTGAGGGTCCCATTTCAGAGGGAAGATTAACCACTACCCTGTAACTCAGTTCCAAGGGGTTAGGGTGACACTCGAAAAACAAGGGGTAGGGGTTAAAAGGAGAAATGGGACTGGGCCCAAGTTTGGTGAGGAGGGTAGAATTGCAGCACCATATGAGGGTGTTTCTGTGATGCAGGCACGCCCCCCCCAGGAACCCCCCTCATGTGACGTCAGGGGCAGGTGGGCTTTGGAGTAAAAGCCACAGTAACGTTGCTGAGTACACAGAACTACGACAGCGTTTTAGGGCCGCTGTTAATAAAAAATAAAAATAGTAGACTTTGAGGAATAAAGTCGTACTATTTAGAGATTAAAGACGTAAAATTACGAGAGTAAAATCACGATATTTCGAGGATAAACTGCTGTACTGGGGGGCTGCCATAACGCGTGGGGGTCTCGGTTGCTGTACTGGCGCCGGAGCTCCACTCACTCCTGTCTCTCTGTGGATCATGGAGCCCCGATAGCTGTGTAGACGACCCTGCCTGAGATTCTCCTTCATCAACACAGACAGACAGTTTCCTCCGAGTCCGTCTGGCTCTTTATTCTAGATAAACACAGTTTCCTGCTCAGCCGTTTCAGCCGGTTCTTATCCTAATAACAGGCTGGTGCTGATGTGCAGGAGAGACAGGGAGACTGAGTGTTTCTTTATGGGTGAATCGATATGAAAGTAGAACTCCACCAACTCACCGCCCCTCATTCAACACCAGGAGGTGCTGCTTTTCCTTTGCAAAGCCTTTGGCCACAATATTGCATACCTTTTCTGGTAATATCCCACTTTAATGTTGTAATTATTATCGTAATATATTATCATTGAAATATATATATATGTATGTATATATATGTATATATATAGACTTTCTTCTCAAAATATTACGATTTTATTCTACAAATGCGACTTTTGTCTCGAAATATTACGACAAAGTCTACTATTTTTATGTTTATTAGTGGCCCTAAAACACCGCGCGATGTCAGTGAGTTACTGTTACATTAACATTTCACTACGACCTTAAAACTGGTGGAGAATAAGCACAGGGTTGCTTGATAGTCAGCAATACTCAACCTTGCCAGAGTTATATTGTGTAAGCTGGCAGCACCACGGTAACCCCTGATAAATAAAGACCATTAGGATTTAAAAAAAAATGTTTTTTGCCTCCTAATGGTTACCATTAGAGACCACTAGTTTCCAAGTAGAATTAGAAGTGTATCTGGAATCAGTCACTAGGTCACCTGGTAAACCATTCCTTTACATGATCAACCCATCAAGAAAAGCCAAAACGCATTACAAACCACCAAACTCTTAATGGTTTCTCATTTAGATGTTCTCATTAGGGACGTTAATATTATAATCCGTTATTACACATTAATTTAAATAACGGCTGGTATGGAGCAGATTGCGTAGTACTGCTGAAAACACTGCTGACTGCTACCGTTATGATGGGCATTCAGACCGCAAGGTCAAGTCAGGGATCACAAAACCGCAGACAGAACTCTACAAATCACCAGAGGCTACAGATTCACGTATATTTGTTTTTAAATGCCAAATACTCATTATGCAAATATGTGGAAACAATATTAATTTAGTATCAGTAACGTCTTTATAAATATTGATGTGTTTTCCCCGTTGAGTCGTATCCACCAATGAGAGAAGCCATTCTGCAGACATATCGGCCAATGAATGATAGGGGGGCGTTCCTGATGTGGGCGTTCTTGTTGTACGGAAACGCCTTTCATTGCAGTTCGACTCTACTGGAGTTTGGTGGGGCGCTTGAAGGCACCACAGCGCTGCGTCTACGGTTTCCATGACAACAGCGAGCGGCAGCTGCCAACGACAGAAGAGGACACAAACAAACACGGCGCCATGGACGATTTTCAGACAGGAGAGGAGGTAAAATCACCACAAACCTCACTTAAAACCAGTAAAACATAACCTCGAACTTACGCTGAAAACCAAGTTTCCGTTTTTACCGTCTTAACTTTGCTTTCCGAGTGAGAACCTCGCTCGCCTCAGCTAAGCTAAGCTAACCTAACGTATACAGCGGAAGTTCCCGGATGTAACGTTAGTTTATAATACACTCTTTAATAAGAAGGTTCTTCAAGGACCTTTCGAAAATGGTTCCGTAACTGTTACAGCACCAAAAAAATGGTTCTGAACCGCTGTTGGTGCTGTGTAGAACTATATTCAACACGCTCTGCATCCGTCTGAAGAACGTTTTCACCGTTCAAAGAACCGTTTAAGCGTGAAATGCTTCTCATGATTCTAAACAGAGGCGTTCCCTCTACTGAAGAACCCTTCAAGAACCATCTTTTTAAAGTGTGTGTCTAATGTTCTGGAGCTGCTTATTTAATTCATATAAACCGATCAGGCATAACATTATGAGCACCTCCTTGTTTCTGCGCTCATTGTCCATTTTATCAGCTCCACTTACTATATAGGTGCACTTTGTAGTTCTACAGTTACAGACTGTAGTCCATCTGTTTCTCTGATACTTTGTTACCCTGTTCTTCAGTGGTCAGGACCCCCATGGACCCTCACAGAGCAGGTACTATTTGGGTGGTGGATCATTCTCAGCACTGCAGTAACACTGACGTGGTGGTGGTGTGTTAGTGTGTGTTGTGCTGGTCTGAGTGGATCAGACACAGCAGTGCTGCTGGAGTTTTTAAACAATGTGTCCACTCACTGTCCACTCTATTAGACACTCCTACCTTGTCAGTCCACCTTGTAGATGTAAAGTCAGAGACGATAGCTCATCTGCTGCTGCACAGTTTATGTTGGTCATCCTCTAGTCCTTCATCAGTGGTCACAGGACGCTGCCCACAGGACGCTGTTGGTTGGATATTTTTGGTTGGTGGACTATTTTTAGTCCAGCAGTGACACTGAGGTGTTTAAAAACTCCAGCAGCACTGCTGTGTCTGATCCACTCAGACCAGCGCAACACACACTAACACACCACCACCACGTCAGTGTTACTGCAGTGCTGAGAATGATCCACCACCCAAATAGTACCTGCTCTGTGAGGGTCCATGGGGGTCCTGACCACTGAAGAACAGGGTAAAAGGGGGCGAACAAAGTATCAGAGAAACAGATGGACTACAGTCTGTAACTGTAGAACTACAAAGTGCACCTATATAGTAAGTGGAGCTGATAAAATGGACAATGAGCGCAGAAACAAGGAGTGGTCATGATGTTATGCCTGATCGGTGTATACTTTTTTGTTTAATTAGTAATGTTATTAATTAAATGCAGATTGACTAACTTACAGTTACCCTTCTTTGCTGGATAAAATGCTGAAGAGAGTTTTTATTTCCTGGTGAATTAAAAGTTACGTGGTTCTAATTTTTTGTTCTGTTTTTCAAGACTGCCTTTGTCGTGGAAGAAGTGAGCACCATCGTCAAAGAGGTAAAGCCTTACTGCAGCTGACGAAACTGTCTTTTGCCACTTTTTGGCACTGGAACTGGCAACCAGACAACCACCTTGTGTTTTTTAAAGGGGAATTCCACCCACTTTTCCACATTTCTGCATAGTTAACTCATTTAGATGTAAACAGAGTCATTCAGAGTGGTTTGGTGTGAAACGCTCTATTCTAGAGAAACTTACACAGTCAGAATTGTTCACAGTGGTGGTGATAGGAACCAGACGTCCACCTCTAAAAGCTCCCTCACAGAAAGTTACTACATGAAATGGTTATGAATTCACTGCCTGATGTCTGAGACTGTTCTGTGATGGTTTTTAGTCTAAAATGTATTTTTAACATACGTGCGGGCTGGAACGGTGCACGTACAGCAAAATAGTCCCCAGAATTGTTTCACATCGAACCACTCTGAATGCAGAATCTGTGGAATTCCCCTTCAAATAAAACTGACTCAGTTTTATAGCTGTTATGAATTTATGATGTTTTTTATGAATTTATGTTTGTCATAAATGTCTAGGCGGTTGAAGGAGCCATTGGTGGAAACGCATATCAGCACAGCAGAGTGAACCAGTGGACCAATAATGTGGTGGAGCAGTGTCTCAGTCAGCTCAGCAAACTTGGCAAACCATTCAAATACATCGGTAAAAGCCACTGTAACATCACCAGGGTTCAACACTCACAGACGTAGGGACACAACATAATGACATTTTAAATTTAAAGAAGTATTTGAGAGAGATCATTATTTTTACACAAGCAACCCACACATCTCTCCTACAACTGGGAGCTTAAACTTAGTTTCCAGCTCCTACTGTTTATGAACAATTTAGCCGAAAGCGGAGTGAGTACAAATATTACAGCTCATCCTATTGGCAGGGTTAATTGTAACAGATGAGGCTGGTTGTAAGTCATTAAAAGTCTGATAAATTGATAGAAAACACAGTTAATCCAATACAAATATTCATCAAAAATAAATATGATTAGTGATATCATATCAACACAGCCACATATTAGATGAGGTTGTGTTAAATGTGCCAAATTTATTTTGGACTACAAAGTAGGAGAGCAAACGTTAAGTGGCGCAATAAAATGGAAATTATTTATATTAAAATCTGTAGTACGATTTTGATGAATCATAAGAGCGTATAAATAAATGAGCTGTTGTGAATGTCTGTTGGGGATGTAGAGTTCTCTGATTATTAACCACCCCCCCCCCGTGTGGAGGCTGTGCTTTAGCCTGTCGGGCTCTCACTGTGAGCTGTTTATCTGCTTATAAGCGCTGCTGTATTACACTCACCAAGGAGATTAAAATACAAACCTAATTCCAAAAAAGTTGGGACAGTATGTAAAAAGCAGTGATTTATAAATCTACTTTGAGATGTATTTGAACCAAAACAGTTCAGAGATAAATATGTATCGTTTTACCTGATCACTTTTATTGTTTTTTTGTAAATATATGCTCATTCTGAAACGGATGCCTGCAAAACACGCGTCGGGATGGGAGCAATTTAATACTAGGAACATTGTAAAATGTTCAAAAACACCTTAAACAGGTGATGAAATATACTCCTGGTGCCGCTGTGAGTGGCAGCCTTTCCAGCAGCTCTGTGTAGTGTTTTTACACTTTTCCGTACTTTTCTTTTTTCTGTACGTTTGTACTGCTAATTCAGTGACTGTTTCTGCTAAAATTTCCTTCGGTATCAATAAAGTGTCTGTCTGTCTGTCTGTCTGTCTATCTACCTATCCATCCATCCATCCAACCACCCATCCATCTAACTATTCATCCATCCATCCATCCATCCATCCGTCCAACTATCCATCCATCTATCCATCCATCCGTCCAACTATCCATCCATCTATCCATCCATCCATCCGTCCAACTATCCATCCGTCCATCCATCGATCCATCCAACTATCCATCCATCCATCCGTCCAACTGTCCATCCATCTATCCATCCGTCCATCCATCCATCCGTCCATCCATCCGTCCAACTATCCATCCATCCGTCCAACTATCCATCCATCCATCCGTCCATCCATCCATCCATCCGTCCAACTATCCATCCATCCATCCGTCCATCCATCCATCCATCCGTCCAACTATCCATCCATCCATCCGTCCAACTATCCATCCATCTATCCATCCATCCATCAACCCATCCAACTATCCATCCATCCATCCAACTATCCATCCATCCAACTATCCATCCATCTATCCATCCATCAATCCATCTATCCATCCATCCATCCATCAATCCATCCAACTATCCATCCATCCATCCATCCATCCAACTATCCATCTGTCTATCCATCTATCCATCCATCCATCAATCCATCCAACTATCCAGCCATCCATCCATCCAACTATCCATCCATCCAACTATCCATCAATCCATCCATCTATCAATCCATCCAACTATCCATCTATCTATCTATCTATCTATCTATCTATCTATCTATCTATCTATCTATCTGTCCATCCATTTATCCATTCATCCATCCATCCGAAATGGTTGGGTATAAAGGAGCGTCCAGGAAAGGCCGAGTTCTTTATGAGTGAGGATGTGTCCAGAGCACTTTGCCAAAAATGCATCAGCAAAATATCTGTGTGTGGTTTTAAGCCAGAGACTGCAAGGAACCAAAAAACCTTACATAGTGCAGCTTTACAGAGAAACTCAACAGTGCAAGATAAACTTTACACCCGGCTTTGAAAGACTCTGTGATGGTGTCTGTTTTACTACTCACCAACTTTGTCTTTATTCCTTTCACCAGTAACCTGTATCATCATGCAGAAGAACGGAGCTGGTCTGCAGACAGCCTGCTCATGTTTCTGGGACAACACCACCGACGGTACGACTCACACAACACCACAAAAAGTTAGAGTCACTGCAAACAGTGAGATCTCAGCAAGTAAAACCATCTTTAATGTAGTTAATATATCTAATATTTCTCACTATGAGACTGTTGTAAGAATTTTGTAAGATTATTTCACGTATTTCTAGATGTATTTTTACTTGTTTTAAGTAGTTTAAGTAAGTAAAATGATCTCACTACATCGGCAGAATCATTTTGTTTGGTTCAAGCATAAATCTTAAAATAAGCATAATGATCTGCCAATATGATGATCATTTTACTTTAAAAAAATTACTTAAAATAAGTAAAAAAATGTCTAGAAATAAGTTGAATAATCTTATAATAAATGTACAACAATCTCAACATAAGAAATATTAGATATACTCTGCAAAAAATTAAAACGTCTTAAATGTAGTAAATATTGCTAATATTTCTCATTAGACTGTTGAAAGAATATTATAAGACTAACTAATTTATAGACATTTCTGCTTGTTTTAAACATCATTTCTTGAAATAAGCAATTTTCAAGTAAAAATGTCTAGAAATAAGTGGAATAAACATAATATTCTTAAAATATTCTTAACATAATGAGAAATGTTAGATTTATTAACTACATTTAAGATGATTTCACTTGCTAATATATCATTTTTGCAGTGTTAACACCCTTTTGTGATTCTGAGCAACATGGAACTGTTTTTATTATATTTTGATTCTTATAAGAAAGTAATAAACATTCTCTCTCTGTTTCTGTACAGGCAGTTGTACGGTGAGGTGGGAGAACAAATCGATGTACTGCATCGTCAGCGTCTTTGGACTCGCGATTTAAACTGCAGGTGCCTGGACTGAACAGCTCTGCTACTATGGAATTTGCATTGATATTACACTGCAAAAATGATGTCTTAGCAAGTGAAAACATCTTAAATATAGTTAATATATCTGATATTTCTCATGATGAGACTGTTGTATGAATATTATAAGATTATTCCACCTGTTTCTACACATTTTTACTTAATTTTATCTAGTGAAAGTGTGTTATTCAATAGGCAGATCATTTCTGATTTAGAGAAATAGTAGAGATAATTTTGCTTATTTCAAGAAAAAAGATGTTTTTGGCTAAGATAGCATTTTTTGCAGCGTGCTCGCACATCGGAACCAAGGAAGGATTTTCTGTTACCATTAAGTTTTTTTTGTATGACTGACATTCCAAAAGCTGTTTCTAACTTGGTATAAATACATTATTTTGCAGTTTCATGCTTGTCTTGGTAATTCCAGAGCATCAGCTTTTTGGATATATTACAGTGTAAATATAAAACCGTACAGTCAGTTATAAGCAGCTGCAGCATCTTTAGTTCTTCCTTGTATGTGACTGTAGATCTAGACTGAAACTGTCATCAACTGTCATGATGGGTACTCAGGTTCTTCAGTACTGAACTTTTAGCAGCTGATGTTCTCAAATGAAACATCCATCAACATCCCAAGTACTTGGAATATATATATATATATATATATATATATATATATATATATAAAACCTTGTATCTCCAAAATGGTAACTTTACAGAAAAAGGAAAAAATCCACTTTACTTTTAATGTAAGTCAATGGAACCAGACTTTTGGTCCATTCATCATAAAGTGTAAAGGACAACAGATAGAATATATATATATATATATATATATGCGCACACACACACATTTATTTATATATATATTTCATACATATTCCATAAATTTTTCATATTTCTTTGGGTCCAAAGCACAGCTTCTGTTATAAAATTAAGCCGGTGAGGTCTCCAAATCTCTCAAACTTACATAGTAGCTAAACCAAGACTCTAATCACAGGGTGCCCAAACTTTTAGGTTATGTTTCAAACTGAGTTTTTACAAAATGTATTTTTAGAACATTACACAATATTTTGTTACTTAAAGACATTTTTTAAATTAAAATAAGACTCTAATAAAGTTCTACAGTATAAAACATGTTTGTTCTCTTGCAGGGTGAGGGTGGGGTGGGGTCAGGGTACCTTCCTGCTGAGCCAGATCCAACGTCCTCACTTTTGGCCAGACTTTAGACTTTGAGCATCCCTGGTCTACACTCTTAAACAAGATGGTTCTTCAAGGGTTCTTTAGTAAAGACAACGGTCCTATATAGAACCATGAACACTCAAAAAAACCCTCTCCATGATTAACATCATGAAAGGGTTCTTCAGATTGATGGAAAACGTGCATGAAAGTGCTATAGATGGTTCTATATAGAACCTTTTTTAAAAGGGTTCTGTATAGCACCCAAAATGGTTGCTCTATTCTTACAAGCTTGACATTATACAAAATGGAAGAACTCTTTTTGGTGCTATATAGAACCATTTTTTAAAAAAGGTTCTATACAGAACCATCTACAGCACATTCTCCATCAATCGGAAGAACGATTACACCATGTAAAGGGTTCTTTGAGTGTTCATAGTTCTATATAGGACCATTCTCTGTACAAAAGAACCATCTTTAAGAGTGTAGAACCTTTTCTGAACGAGGATCAGAAGTCCACAGTGAGCACTATCTAGAACCCATTTTTGCTACATTGCATTTTCAAACAGTCCTCATTCAAACTCATTAAAAAAGAACAGTCGTTTGGTAGTTATGACTTTTTTTTTAATATGCTGAACAGCATTTGTCTCTTTTTCCTTTTTACACCGCCATCAATCCATACACAGTAGATGACCACGTTCTAGAGTGATCAGGACAATGAAGAACACGTCCACCAGCACAATGAACAACCACATTAAAGACATCTTAGTTACAGTATCTGCTGCAGTATATTAGGCTGTTTGTCCCTTTTCCAGTACATGTTCTGGGTCAGTGAGCAGTAGTTTCGCACGACGACGTATTTAGTCACTAAATATCTTCATAAATATACAGGAGCAGAGCAGAGGCTGGAACATGTGGCAGAACTTTTCAACGACAGAACCTCGCCTCAGTGCGGACAACCATTTCATTACAACGGTCACGAATAAAATAACAGAATATTCTTAGAAGGAGGCAAAAAAATATGCACATCTCATGTTTTCAGGTACAAGACAGACAAAAAAACATAAAAAATAAACATAAACTTCGCATGGCTAGTACGCTCCCAAACGTGTTTATTAGGACACGCCCAATGTCGAAAATCAAAATTAAAGACTGCGTTTATGACTGAATAAATCAAGCTTTTTTACTAACAGCAAAACATCTGCATGCAAATATGCGCGTCAGAGTTGGCAATATAGAGTAATGCATTAACTTGTTCACTTGCTGTACAATAAATATGATGAGCAAAACTCGTTATGAGCTGCTTAGAGGAAACATTGCTTTACTATAGTGCTTATTATGCTACATCTTTAATCTGATTGCAGTGCAGGGGATCCAGTGTTTTTCACAGGGGAAAAAAAAACAAAACAATATTTTTCGTATCCACGAAAAACACATTAACCTTTTACCACACGTTTGTAACGTCCTGTGACGTTTGAGGCAAAAAAGATCTTTAATTTAATGTGCACATAAGGCTGAGGTGAGGTAAGAGCTTAAAGGGGAATTCCACCGATTTTTAAAATTTACTGCATGATTCAGAGTGGTTTGGTGTGAAATGGTTCAGATGTCTTTACAGTGGTGGTGATAGGAACCAGGGGTCGCCATGACTACAACACAAATATAGACATTTTATTTACTATCAAAAACAACAGGTAACCTACACATGCATTTAGAGTTTTTATATCAATTATTATATTATTATATTATAACATTATACACTGATCAGGCATAACATTCTGACCACCTCCTTGTTTCTACACTCATTGTCCATTTTATCAGCTCCACTTACTATATAGGTGCACTTTGTAGTTCTACAGTTACAGACTGTAGTCCATCTGTTTCTCTGATACTTTGTTAGCCCCCTTTTACCCTGTTCTTCAGTGGTCAGGACCCCCATGGACCCTCACAGAGCAGGTACTATTTGGGTGGTGGATCATTCTCAGCACTGCAGTAACACTGACGTGATGGTGGTGTGTTAGTGTGTGTTGTGCTGGTCTGAGTGGATCAGACACAGCAGTGCTGCTGGAGTTTTTAAACACTGTGTCCACTCACTGTCCACTCGATTAGACGCTCCTACCTCGTCAGTCCACCTTGTAGATGTAAAGTCAGAGACGATAGCTCATCTGCTGCTGCACAGTTTGTGTTGGTCATCCTCTAGTCCTGCATCAGTGGTCACAGGACGCTGTTGGCTGGATGTTTTTGGTTGGTGGACTATTCTCAGTCCAGCAGCGACACTGAGGTGTTTAAAAACTCCAGCAGCACTGCTGTGTCTGATCCACTCAGATCAGCACAACACAAAACCTTTCTTGCAAAACAGTGTCTCAGTCATCAGGCAGTGAATTCATAACCGTTTCATATAGTAACTTTCTGTGAGGGAGCTTTTAGAGGTGGACGTCTGGTTCCTATCACCACCACTGTGAACAGTTCTGATTCTGGAATGAACCGTTTCACACCAAACCACTCTGAACGACTCTGTTTACATCTGAACCATTTAATTAAGCAGAAATTTTGAAAACCTGGGGGAAATTCACCTTGAAGTGCGTCCCGCTTTGCGGTTCGTGACCCTGTTTATTCAGTCATAACTTGTTAAGTCTACAGTACAGTGTTTAGACAATGAAAGAAGGTGTCACACATGAGCCTCCTCTTACCTGAGCATATAGGACCAGTGTAAGCTGGGGGAAGGGGGGGTGGGGCGGTTAGCTATATTGTTTGTTTTTTTTCTTTTTACTAAGGATATGACAGGTGTACCTGTCTGGACTCCTCCAGGTGCAAAACTGCAGTGCAAACATCTCTGAAGTCGAGGTGGTGGCACCTTATGGCAACAGAGAGTGTAGCTGAGGCAAGCGCTCACGCTTCGAATCGTCCCTCTCCGTCCCGTCTCCGCTGGCCGATCAGGCTTTGCCGGCCTTCGTGTAGGTGGGGATGGTTCCACGCTGTGTCAGTCCTTCAAAGCGCTTGTAGGTGTAGTTGAGGAAAACCCAGTCTTTAGACTTGAAGTCCGGCTCTGTTACGTTTGTGACTGAAATGAGACAGAGGCATTTCTCAAACACGGCACTCAGTTAACTGCTTTTAACAGAATTACTGTTTAACCCTTGTGTGGTGTTCAGGTCTGTGGGACCCATTTTCAATGTTTACCAAAATAAAAAATGATGTGATTCATTATTATTATTATTTCAACCTCAGATTCTTGTTCTTTGCTCATTTTCTGTGAAGAACATATAAAATAACCCATTTTCAGTGTCTTCACTCTGTTCACCCCCCACACATTTATATTACACATGTGGTGTTGGGCTGAACCTGCGGGGAGTAAAAGTGTGGAGGTGCTGTGTCCTTCACTCTGTTCTCCTCCTGCATGGCCTGCTGTGTGTGTTTGTATATGTATGTGTGTGTGTGTGTGAGGGTGGACAACATGGACAGGCTGCTGACTGGCTACAGCTGCTTTTTTCATTTTAAACATCTGGTATTTTTACATAAATTGTTATGGCTGTATTTATTATAAAAAACAATAATGTGGTGGGTCCACCAGACCACTGAGTAACAAACACATCAACACCACACAAGGGTTAAAGTATACATATGTTATCATTTTTAAATACGTATCTTAAATATTGCAGATGCATCAATGAGGTATGTACATTTTACACATTTATTAGGTTAAAATCCCTTAAGTCCAGTTTTAGTTACTCTTCGTCAATACAGAGGTAAGTAGTCTCAAAAGTTGCATGCAATATGTTGCTTAAAGCTGCACTATGTATGTTTTTGTTAAAACTAAAAGTAGTGTTATTTCTGAGTGAGGAGACTAAATTATGCTGAAATATGGTGAGGATACGCTGCTGTGAGTCGTCCTGTAAAGCCTGAAATAATCATTTAAAGATCATTTTAAGAGTTTTTCACACCACGTTGGACGTCTTTACGTATTAACGTCACACACAGACTCAAAAAGAAGGTCCAGTTTGATGTTTAGGTCTCAAAAGATCTCAAAATCAACATCACACTGATGAAGATGTGATGACAATAGTAGATAATTCACTCACATCCTCAGAAGACGCTCCTTCACCAAGTTTAGACTGAGTTCTCTTTGGATTCTCGTTCAATCATCAGATGCGTCCGCTCGGGGAAGGAGGCCGAAGCACGACCCACGCTACAAAATGTTCTTCTGCACTGTGTGCAGTTACACATTTCCACCAGAGAGGGCCCCAAATCCCCAAATCTTACATAGTGCAGCTTCAATATTGCAAAGAACTGCCCACCTGAAATGGCCGCCTGACTGAAAAGATCTCTGAGCTAGACAAAGTTGCAGAGGCGGTGCTCACCTGGCTGTAAAATGTCAGACTCGGGGAAATCGTCAAAATTGGAGGTGTCATCAATGCTTTTGATCTCGATGGAGATAGCAGCAGGTCTTTCTCTGTGTGGAGAGACAGCACTCCGAGGTTAGATACACCATAAACTGGACGGCTGGGAGTCTAATGAAATCTTTACAGCTCACAGTTCGCTTGATCAACTAAACTTCTTTGAAGGAATGGTTTGGTGAAAATCAAATTTACCAATTAATCACTCACCCCAGATGTAATCGATCAGCCAAGACATGTTTGAAGTCCAAATTTTGCAGCTTTAGTAAAGGAGCAGCGAAGCTACCACTGCTAAAAACACTAGAATTCAATAGTCACCCAAATCATGTTTGTACAGATATTTCACCAAAACTTCTTTCAACCCCCTCAAACTGTATCCGACTCTTCATTAAGGTCACGCTGACCTGTCAGTGTGGTTTGGTTCATGCTTATAGCACATCAAGTCAACACATCACATCACTGTATCACCTCTCTTGTTCATAAACACTGTGCAATATATCATAACTGCTACTGTAATGATGCTCTCACTGCTGCTACTCCTAATTAGGTTTATACTCACTGTTTTGTAAACAACCTCATACCACTTAGTGCAACACCTGCTCTCAACAGATCTGTCTTATATGCTGTGTAAATATGCAAATAGATACACTTTTATTATACTGTCTTTTTTATTTCTATTTTTATTTCTGCCTAATATTTGTAAGTTTATGTGCGATTATATGTCTTGCTACTGTAACACTGCAATTTCCCTTCCGGGATCAATAAAGTCTTTTTCTTTCTATCTGTCTATCAATCTGTCTATCTATCTGTCTGTCTGTCTGTCTCTCTATCTATCCATCCATCCATCCATCCATCCACCTACCTACAAGTCTCCCTCACCTTAATGAAGGATGCAGTTAGAGTGGGTTGAGATTTGGTGTTATATTTTTTTATAATGTATCATTATTTGAGCTGTTTGGGTGACTATTGAGTTCTAGTGTTTGTTAGCAAATTTAGCCCTAAACTGAAGAAGCAAAATTTGGACTCTAAACATGTCTTGACTAATCGACCACATGTGGACTAAGAGGAAAACAGTTGATTTGATTTTTCACCGAACCCGTACTTTACCTCTTAAAGGTTCGTTCTATGCACAAACCCAACATAACAGCTGAAATCAGGCAATGATTATGGAGATAATAACAACTTTGCAATACTGATATTACAGTAAGCACATCTGATATTCCCCAAATAGGTTTAATAGAATGGAACTCTATCTGATATTTTTACATAAACTGTTACGGCTGTATTGATTTAAAAGACCTGTAAGCTGTAAGTGTACGCAGGGCTGGACGTACCTGATGTGCTCCCAGTCGACTGACTCAAAGAAAGGGTGACTCTTTATTTCCTCCACACTCACAGCCCCGATCCTGTTTTCTGCGTCTGTGCAGTACCTGTAATACAAACACACAAAGCAACACGTCAGGAACCTTTACCAACTATCAGAAACACTAGATGGCGCCTGTAAGCAAGAGAGTCCTCAATTAATAGAGGAGAATGGAGCTAAAAGACTTAATATAAAATATAGAGGAATATAATAAACATAAATATTATATATCCCAGAATATAATAAATATAATTAGAATATATACAGGAATCCAGTCAGACTTTGGACTTGCTCGGGAGCGCCCTCTGGCATCTCACAAACCCTGAAGACCAAACTGAATGGACGTTCTCCTCGCTAGACATTCTCCAATACTCTACACCAGAGGCTCCCAAACTCCACTCAGCCTGAAACTCTTTTATTTGATTCTAGTTAACTTGTTATGTGATTTTGCTCTGTTTTGGTTTTAATAAAATTAGTTTTATTTATTTATCAACTTTAACTTTTTAGTGACTATGTATTTATTGCTTTACGTTTTCCATTCTTGTTTTTATTTTATTAGTTATTTTTATTAGTTATTGTATTTACCTCTGTTGTAAATTGTCAGGAATCCTCAAAGGTACAGTAACGGTCTTAAGGCTCAATGGTATGTCTTAAGTGAGTTTTAAAAGGTACATTACTGTCACTTTCTCAGATTAATGGTGCATATTTGTACCTTTTCATAACTGTTTCAAGATAGTAAAATACAGTAAAAAGCCTGGAGTCATGGTGGAGAATATGGAATCAATGCAACTTTAAAAAAATACATAACTGCAACTGAATATGATACAATTATGGACCCTAAATGAAATGTGTTTGGATCATTAACACACACATACATACACACACACACACACATATAGAGACACACACACATACACATACACACGCACGCACGCACGCACATACATACACGCACATATAGAGACACACATACACACGCATGCACATACATACATACATACATACACACACACGTACATACATACACACACACACACACACACACACACATATACAGAGACACACACACACACATAGACACACACACACGCACATACATACACAGACACACACACATGCACGCACACATATAGACACACACACGCACACATAGAGACACACACAAACACACACATACATACACACACACACACACGCACACACACAGACACAAACACACACATACATACACACACACTCATGCACATACATACACACACATAGAGACACACACATACACATACGCACATACATACACACACATAGAGACACACATACACACACGCATGCATGCACATACACACACACACACACACACACACATACACACATACACACACAGAGACACACACACACACATAGAGAGACACACATACACATATACATACACACACGCACATACACACATAGAGACACACATACATACACACACATATAGAGACACACATACACACACACGCACATACACACACACACACACATACATACACACACATAGAGACACACACACACACACACGCATGCACATACATACACATATAGAGACACACACACATACACGCACATACATACATACACACATAGACACACACACACGCACATATAGACACACACAGAGACACACAGACACACGCACATATAGACACACACACAGACACACACACACACGCACATTCACACACACATAGAGAGACACACACACATTCAAAAATATACATGTACACATACACATAAAAAAAGAAAAACTGTCCAAAGAAAAATATGTATCTCTAAGACAGTAACTTTACAGGAGAAGTTTAATATTTAGAAGTGATTTAGGACTTTGAATCAATTTTATTGGTCCATTCATCATGAAATTTCCACATAATGGAAGGAGCAGCTGCTCAAAAAACGTAAAAAAAAAGTTGTGTGTTTTTCTTTGGACAGCAACAATAAATAAAATAAATAAAAACAGATACTGCTATAGGTAACATGCCGCACAGACTCAGACGCTCACAGAGATAAAATACAAAGGAGGCTTCACTGTCCAAGGTCGTGGTCATAAAGCATGCATGGGTCAATTCCAGAAAACAGATGAGAGACAAAATCACAAACATAACACGAGGCAAACTGTCCGAAAAGGGGAAGGCAGAAACGTGGTCAAAAACACAGGCAGAGGGTCAAAGTCCAAAATCCAAAATCAGGCAAACAATCCGAAGGGCTGGGCAAAGAGGCAAAGGTCAAACACGATGTACACACACAGGAATACACGCTCAGTAGATCACAGGAATGGACGCGATACCTCACAACTTCCCTCTCCTAAAGCCCGGGCCTATATACTACACTAGTTTAGTCATATGATCAAAACACAGGTGACGGTCATTAGTATTCGGGACAGCGAGAGCGCGGATAGGAGCGCACAGTCATGTGAGGAGTCAGGTGACCTCCTGGACGGTTCTGGGAGTTTGAGTCCGGGTGAATATCGTTGTTTGTCAGCTGTTTGGAAGTCCGAATCCAACGAGGCACTCGGAGGATGCGCGAAACTACACATGTAGCACCATATTTGATTTGTGTTAGTTAAATTGGCAACTGATTCAAAATTAAACGTTTTTAAATGAGCCATCCAGCCAATTAAAGAGCAAATAATGATGTTTATAGTGCAAGTGTGGCTAATTAAGAAGTGCTGGAAATGTGTTTGTGTTCATTTACCCCCCACAGTGTGAGCTTCAGATAAAAATACGCAAATAAAAATCAGCCAAAATCAGGCAAATGAGGCTGTAAAGAAATCAGAATTGGATATAAAAAAATCATAGTTTACATGTTTATAAGCAGTGGTGGACAGTAACGAAGTAAATGTAATTCGTTTCTGTACTTAAGTAGTTTTTCCTGTATCTGTACTTTACTGCAGTTTTTCCATTTTGGGTGACTTTTTACTTTCACTCCACCACATTTCAAAGTCAGATATCTCACTTTTTACTCCACTACATTATGAGAAATCTGTCGTTCCTTTTGGTTTATGTGTGAATAAAAACGTAACGTCAAAATAAAAGAAGCGCAAAGCAAGAACACCAATCAGGGCACAGCGGTCACTTTGTTTTGAGCTTGTTTTGACCTGTTGGTCATACCGACCCAGTGCAGCACACGGTTCAACATCAGTGCAGCAGCGTAAAATTTTAGGAGAGTCTATTCAACATAAATGATGAACTAACCTAACTTTGTGTAAACAGACCACAATATAGAAATATGTACTCATATGCAGTTGTGACTGACGTGTCTTTTTTCTGAATTTATACAAACACATTTCATTTTATAGTAAATTAGTTTTGGCTAGTTTATGTTTATGAACAGAGACCTACAGATGCAGTTTAGTAAAGGAAACTCATTTGTGAATCTGAGTTTAAAGTTTTTATTAAACTTAAACTTGTAACTAAGTTCAAATAAATCTTAAACTGAAACTTTGCTTGTTTGTAAAAAGTGATTTCAGAGCCACTCAGTTCTACCTGATGGAAACTGTTTGCCTTCAGTGTTTTGTGCTTATGATAATTTTAATAGACATCAGCGTCACTAATTAATGACATTCTATTAAAAGACTGGTTTACCAAGAGAGACACTGGAGTGTTTTCACCTAAAACGAGTTAATGAAGCGAGTCTTGTTACAAAAATGATAATAGGACATCAGAGCCATAATTAATCTTTTAGTACGTTCACTTTTGATACTTAAGTACATTTGAAGGCAAATACTTTTGTACTTTTACTCAAGTGGAGGTCTAAAGGGAGGAACTTCTACTTTTACTGCAGTAATATTTTACCTTGGGTGTCTCTACTTTAACTCAAGTACATGGTTTGTGTACTTCGTCCACCACTGTTTATACGTCTCTTTGTTGCTGAAACCATGCAGGATCTTAAAGAGCAAAACTGAGCACAGATTAAAAATTGATTATTGTTGTGTTTGAAGACAAACACTGGCTTGAAGTGAGGAACACTGAGTGTTGAGCGACCTCACACGAGTCTCTGAGTGCTGAAGGGACTGTGTTTGGGACGACGCTTCCTTAAGGAAATATGAAGTTTGCTGGAATGTTATTAATCACTTAACACACTTAAAATATGTTAGGAGCGATACGAAACAATTTTGTTTCATCTAAATATTATTAATGTTATTTTTCAGTATTTGTTTTTGTCTGTGATTCGGGGCAGACAGTGGTCATTCCAAAGGAAGTGGGCAGGGGGAGCAGAAAACACAAGACTTTCTCCCAGAATTCACTGCAAACAGTTCTCATTGTTTTAGCACCTCTCATATCTCAGCACAGCACCACTAATCTGGGAAAGAGAAGGCTCGTTCCTCTGAAACACACGAAGGACCTTCCTACTTTTTTCTTGCGTTTCATTTTTTACCAACATTTGTGTGGTTTTATGTACCAAAATACTCACAATTTTTCATTTTGTGGATTATTCTGTATTATACAATGTCTGAACTCTAATAATAATAATATTTTTTATTTTATTTTTAATAATAATTTTTCATACACAAAGCACCTCAAAGTGCTTAAGAACCGAAAAGTAAAATTAAGTAATAAAAGCAAAAACACAGCAAAAGTAGAAAAAGGAACATAAAGAATAAAACTAAAATGACCAAAAAATAAAATGAGCTAAGTAAACTAACTACTTGTGAACTAGACTTAAAAGTAGAAAAGGAACAAAATAAGGAAAACTAAAATGATTGAAAAATAAAATGGTGACGAGCAAATAAATGATAACATTATTTTAAGTTAAAACGTGGTTAAAAAGATGTTTTTGAATGTTTTTTTTTAATGTGTACAGAACCTGACTGTAAGAGGTGAAGAGTTCCACAGTTAGAGCATAAAAACAGAAGGAAGCTCAACTCTTTTCTTATGACTGTGTTTAATTTGTGTAATTTTATGTGGCCAGTTATTCATCAGTTTTTAAATTTTTATTGTAGTTTCATTTATAATGTCGTGTTTTCTTTTTACTTTTCATTGTTTTTGTGTTTTAGCTGCACTGTTAGTTTGTGTTTCTACCATTAAATTGGCTTCTGTTTTGACTCTTGCCAAACTGTACAGCACTTCAGCGTCGGCTCTTTTTAAATGTGCTCTAGAAATAAACTTTCTAATTGACTTGACTCTGTTTCTGTAGTTTACACTGGGTGTTTGGCCAGAACCTGCCGATCTGAGGTCACCTATTAGAACGTAAAGCACCTGTGAACCTCACTGAATGTCTGTCACTTTGAGGCCACTTAGGGCTTTAATAACTAATAAAAGAATTTTAAAATCGATCCTAGAAGATACAGGCAGGCGTGATATGAGCTCTGAGGGTGTCTAAGGGGTGGAATATCACGGTACAGTACAACAAAAACAGTGAAATGGCAAAGGGCAGTGTAACTAATAGTTCACACGAGACACGATGCCAATTTCTCTCATTGGTGATACACACTGATCAGACATTCTGACCACCTCCTTGTTTCTACGCTCATTGTCCATTTTATCAGCTCCACTTACTATATAGGTGCACTTTGTAGTTCTACAGTTACAGACTGTATTCCATCTGTTTCTCTGATACTTTGTTAGCCCCCTTTTACCCTGTTCTTCAGTGGTCAGGACCCCCATGGACCCTCACAGAGCAGGTACTATTTGGGTGGTGGATCATTCTCAGCACTGCAGTAACACTGACGTAGTGGTGGTGTGTTAGTGTGTGTTGCGCTGGTCTGAGTGGATTAGACACAGCAGTGCTGCTGGAGTTTTTAAACATTGTGTCCACTCACTGTCCACTAGGGGTGCGGGAAAAACTCGATTCTTCGATGTATCGCGATGCGGACGTGAACGATTCTGAATCGATTCATAAATGTCAAAAATCGATTTTCTAAATATTTAATTTATAACGTAATGTTGACAGAACGCAAAAGGCGGAACTGGAAGTGGGTAAGTGCAGCGCCCGGACAGTCTGTGCCGGCACGTAACAAAAACACTACTGGATGAGTGAGAAATCTGACCGGCTCCCTCTGCATTAAAGCCAGGTTAGGTCAGGAGTCACAACACAAATGATAAGAAGAGCCATTTTGTCCTTTCAGCAAAGTCAAACCACCTTGGGAGCCACAACATTTAATGTCCAGTATGTCTCAGTGTGTGTTAATGTCCTAGTAAAGGCTAAACAATATAAATGAAAACGCAGATTTACTTCGCTCTACTTTAAGCTTTAGCTTTAGCCGCTTTCCTCCATCTCCACCAGAAAACTTTTCTTCAAAACTAGAAGAGTTTCTTGTAAAATGTCTCAGCGTCCGGCTGTTTTACGAGGCTGAAGTCGCTTCTCATTCGCCAGCTTCTCCTTCTAATTTTCCCGTTCCACCTTAAATTCTGCCTTAGGCGCCGAATGTAACTGCTTCACCATTTAAGGTGGAACGGGAAAATTCGAAAGGGAAGCGAGTTCATTTTCGCAACTTTTTAGTGTTTGACAGTCTCTCAGCAGATTTAACCCACCGCGCTGCTTATAAATGTGAATAAGTCTCCAAATGTTCGTCTTAGTCTGTTTTGTCGTTCGCTACTGGCGAGGCCAGACCTCGGGGCTGTGTGACCTGCTGTCTGCTGTCTGTTCTCCGCCGTTGAGAACCAGGGCTTTCACGCTATGCTGCACACTTTGGAGCCGAGATTCAGCGTCCAGTCTCCCCCCCAACCCCACCCCCCCATGCAACAGATGCAACACCTTACAGGAGATATCAAATGAAACATATCTCTAGCTATACCTGTAATATCTGTAACTCTGCACCTGGTACATTTATGCATATGTCCTGGGAATGTTCTGAAATAGGAGATATATAAACCTCCACAGTAGATATATTATCTAAAGTACTTGATCTCAGCGATCCACTGTCGCCACATTTATGTCTTTTAAACAACGACTCAACACTTCACTTTCCTTTGATTCAGCGAAGGATGGTGGTGGCAGGTTTAACAGCTACCAAGAAAACTGTCTTGCAATTTTGGATTGACCCTCAGCTTTCAGCTACGAAATTCTGGATAGTTTTAAAAATATAGTTTGGATGGAAAATCTTACAGCAAAGCTCAACAAGGCAAAACAGTTAACAATAAGAAACTGGGAGAATTTATACGACTCTATTCAAGAATTTTAGTTTCCACTTAAATTATGTAATGTTGTTTAGTTGTCAAGTTGTTTATGTATTGCCTTTGTTTTATTTTTGATTTGTGTGTATACCTAAAAATGTACTTCCCCTCCCCCTTACCTTTCCCCTTACCATTACTTTCATATTTCATAAGCTACATTCTAAAGGTGGGGGTCGTATGAGAGCTGTAACTGTCTTCTTTCCAGTCAAATAGATGCGTTATGTAATTTTAGCCCCTTATAATAAAAGAAGCTGAACTCAATTTTTTTTTTCTACTGAAAGTCGACCCATTTTTCCACAAATCTGGGCTATAAACTATAAACAGACGGCGTCTCTTCAGTGATCTGCTCTGTAAACATTATTTTTATAAAATAATACAAAGAGCGTCTAAGATTTTTGTCTTTCAGCAGTAAATTGTAAGCATATAGCAACATGTGTATGAGCATAAAACACATGTTCTGTTAATTTGAGGGGAGCTTTTACAAAAAAAATAAATTAATTAAAAATGTACATTTATTTTATGCAGTTACTGAATAATTTGCCTTACAATTTGGTTATGGAAATTCAGATGGACAAACCAAAATATACCCTGGAGAATAAGAGGTTAAACAGTGCAGCTACTGCAGATTTTTAAATTATAAAAATACAAACTCCACTATTAAACAAGCACATGAGTCTTTACTATGATCAAATTATTATAAAGTTTAGAACGTTTTATAATTATTATTACAACAACATACGACCATTATTGTTAATGTTTTGTCTGTTCTGTTTAAGCTGCTTCCATGTTGACTGTAGTTTCCCACCCGGAAGTCTGACAAACCCTTATATTTACAAACACTCTGATTTGGTCTGTCAAAGCTCGGGCAGAACGCTACTCAGGACTGTACCGTCAGGGCTAAGTGCTGTATAAAGTGAGTTGTGGGAATCTTTATATTACACCAAGTGCAATTTCCTTTTATGTTAATTGCAAGTTTCCATATAAACCAGGTTTAAAACTGACTGCCCCAATCAAACCTTTCCTATATGTAAACTCACAAGTTGTACATGTTCACCTTAAATGTTACACGCGTGAATGATTATAGTTCACTAAAATGACAATTAAATCTAAAACTGAAACAAACTTGCTTGTTAACTGTAATTAAAAAATAAAAAAACACTTTTTAAAAATAAAGTCAAAACTAACATCCACTGCAAAATGAACTAAAAAGAAATAAAATTATTACGAAAAAAAGCTTAGTTTTTGTTTTTGCAGAGTGTCAACGAGAGTTTATAAGTGTTTTTCTGTGTTCGGCCGTCTTTAAGGAAACACCTGCTATCACAGCGTTTGTGATAACACTAAAAACTAAAACTGAAACTAAAACTCAGCCATTACTTTTCAGAAAATAAAAACTCAAACTATTAAGACACCCTTAAAGTTTTAAACACTGTTAGCACTACTGCACTTCTGTCCTGTGACAGCTCTTTATTACCATAAATTAACTTTTAATATGTTTATTTAAAACTTTTCTATTAAATCTACTGTGTTAATCAGGGTTTAATCATGATTTAATGTATATTCTCCCAAATCTACTTATTTTCAATGTGAATTATCTTTGTATTTTCTCATTTTAAAGCACCTTGAATGACCGCAGTGTATGAAAGGAGCTGTGTGTGAAACTTGCTGTGGCTTAAAACTGAAATCAAGAAACTAAATAAAAATAAAAGCTAATTTAAATTTCAAAACCCTGACGCACACATGACCAAACATGCCTGTGTGTGTGGGCACCAGTGACGTTTCTAACCTGAGGATCAGGTCTTTAGCTTTCTCCGAGATGGGGACCTCAGGGGGGAAGATCAGAGTTTCTCGCCAGTTCATGACTTTCCTGTACGTTTCCTGCGGCGTCTCAGAGCAGAAGGGTGGGTAGCCTGGGACAGGAAGACAGAACAAAACCTCTTTTAACTCCAACTGAATGTGGTGAAAGGGCACATTTTACCCAGCCTCTACAGCCAGGCTGAAAACACGCAAACTCAACTTCATCTGACTCCACTGAAAGAGCTCCACGCGGAAGAGTCACTCCATAACCTGTAATCTCTCTTTTTAGAACTCCTGTCAAACATTCAATAAACATGCATATCTCATTATGCTGAGTTTAATGTAACTGATGCACAATAAAGTTTATTATACAATATTAGTTCCGGCCACGCAAGCTGATTGGTTGAGAAGCGTTCTAACTGTGCTGTTATTTCACCATAACATCACGTTTTGTTCACAAATTCTGTATCACTCCGCTGAGACAACGTTGCTAAGCAACGACTTTGACAGCTGTAGGAGACGCTCAAGACATCTGAACGTTTTTACTTCTTACTTTGCACAAACAGAAAATGGACACTTTTAAGATCACATTTGACCGACAGCTGATTTGGTCAGACTCTGAAGATGAGCCGACACTAAATTCCCAAACTGTCATCACCACTGAGCAGCTTTTCAGTCGGCAGCTGAGACAGAAGAACAGCTGAACAACCTGGAATCAGCCAGAAATGAACCCAACACCATTCGCCAAACGTGTAGTCTGATCTTCAGAGTCTGACCAAATCAGACTGAGCCATAAAACTGCTGCAATATCAGGTTCAGCTCAGTTTTGTCAATTTTTGCCAAATCAGTATTAATGTTGTTTTGTTCCAGCCAGTCTGTAAAGCATCTTACAGCCCATTTAGTTTGGCGAATGGTGTTGGGTTCATTTCTGGCTGATTCCAGGTTGTTTAGCTGTTCTTCTGTCACAGCTGCCGACTGAAAAGCTGCTCAGTGGTGATGACAGTTTGGGAGTTTAGTGTAAGGAGCTGGAGAACGAACTGCTGGCTGTGCAGCGAGTGGGCGGAGCTCGTTACTCTGACGTAGCAACAAGCTGCTCGTTAAGGAACTATAATTTGGTGAAGGAACTGCGAACATTAAAACATATTAAACGCCGCGTTCACGGCCCAGTTTATTAATTTATTACTTTATTTATTTAACTGTTGTATAAAAGCAATAGAACACTCGAGGAGTGTGTTATCGCCAATAACATCACGGCTGTGATGATCTACGGCGACCAAATCACAGCCGTGATGTTATTTCGCGATAACACACTCCCTCTCGGGTTCTGTTGCTTAAATCTAAGCTCTAACCTGCACTGTTTATACAATCAGAAGAGCCTGCTACCTCCACGGGATCCATACATTTAATAAAAGTCGATGAGCTGAGGCAATAAACTGCATTGCAGAGTAATGTTGCAGCTCTATTTACTCATCTACTTATTTTTTATTTTGAAGTAACAACAATCAAATCTTGTAACCTTCTACAAACCTCAATTCCAAAAAAGTTGGGACAGTATGTGAAACGCAAATTACAAACAAACCGCAGTGATTTGTACATCCATTTTAACCTGTAATACAACAGCACAAGATATTCAATGTTTCATCTTATCAACTTCATTGTTTTTGTAAATCTATGCTCATTCTGAAATTGATGCCTGCATTACGTTCCAAAAAGGTTGGGACACAATTTAAGACTAGTGAAATCTGAAATCAGGTGATACAAACATATTGGGGTATAAAAGGAGCATCCAGGAAAGGCTGAGTCCTTCATGAGCGAGGATGCGTTGAGGTTCGCCACTTTGCCAAAACTACGTCGGCCACAAATCCAACTGTTTAAGAACACTGGGCCTCATTCACCAATGATCCTCCTAAGTCTGTTCTTAAATGTGTTCTTAAGAAAGGCCCTACGTCAGATTCATGACGTGTTCTTAAAGCGCAGGACTGTTCTCACCTTTGAGCTCTTGAGTGTGTGTAGATTCTGTTCTTACCCGAGAACAAAACTCAAATAAGAGAACATTGGTGAGTCAGAGTCTTCGTAAAAACTGCATTAGTGGGTTTAAGAAGAAACTTCTACTTAAGAACAGTTGAATGAGGCCCATTGTTCCTCGACAAGCAGCTGTAATGATTTTAGGTATTTCAAGATTCAGGGAATCGGGAGAAATCTCTGCGCGTAAAGGGCAAGGCTGAAAACCACAACGAAATGCCTGTGACCTTCAACCTCTCAGACGGCACTGCATTAAAACTGGCACGTTTTTGTGAAGGAGAATACTTCAAAACGTTGTTAATAAACACTGTTCGTCGCTGCATCCACAAATGCATGGTCAAGACTGTACTATTCACAGCGGAAACCATATATCAGCAACGTTCAGAGACGCCACCAACCTCTCTGGGCTCAAGCTCATCTGAAATGGACCGATGCTCAGTGGAAACGTATATCATGGTCTGATGAGTCAACCTTTCAGATTGTTTATGGAAATAATGGGTTTCATGTTCTCTGGAGCATCCAGACAGTTACCAGCGTGAAAGTTCAAAATCCAGCGTCTGCCATGGTGTTGGGGGAAGAAAACCTCGTATCTCCTTTTTTGTCGTTTTTCAGTTTTTGACATAATTTTAAAAAATGCCTGTTGTTCTTTACACTGTGTGTAAATTTCACAATAAATGGACCAAAAGAAACAACCCAAAAAATCTTGGAAAAAATTCTGGTTCCATTGACTTACATTAACAGTAAAGCATGTTTTTTCTTTCTCCTGTAAAGTTGCTATTTTGGAGATACGAGGTTTTCTTCTGAAAGCAGCGATACGCTGCCTTTCAGTCGCCGTCTTTTTCAGGGACGTCCATGATTATTTTAACATGACAACACCAAGAAACATTCTGCACGTGTTACAACAGCATGGCTGTGTGATCAGAAAGCACAGGTGCTAGACTGACCTACCTGTAGTCTAGAACTGACTCCTATTGAAAATGTGTGGCACATTATGAAGTGCAAAATACAACAACAAAGGCCTCGTACAGCTGCACAGCTGAAAACTTGTATAACAGAAGAAAGGCAAAAAATTCCACTTTCAAAACTAGATCAGTTTGTCTCCTCAGTCCCCAAATGTTTATGAGTGCTGTCAGAAGGAAAGGCGATGTAACACAGTTGAAAAACATGCTCTTGTCCCAAGTTCCTTGTTGCTTCCACTGAATTTGGGATGAACATATATTTACAAAAACTCAATATAGTTCATAAGGTAAAACATCAAATATGGTGATTTGTGCTGTTTTCAATACAGGTCAAACAGAATTTATCACATATAATCTCCCATTTTTTGGGAAATGAGGTTTGTATTAGCTAGTCTACTGCATGGCTCTCATTCCACTGATATGAGCGTATATGTGTTTATACCTATTAGCATCTCATACATAATGACCCCCAGAGACCACCAGTCGCACAGCTTATTGTATCCTGTCTGCATGAAGACCTCAGGGGCGATGTAGTCCGGCGTGCCGACGGTGGAGTACGCCTGTGAGGATGGATTGGACAATTAGTAACGTCTCTTTAACAGTCATGTTGACGTTGCTGTCTTAGTCCAGCATGAAGGCTAACTAACATACGCACACCTACCAGCTGTCGTCTGTTCTTCTTCCACGTTTCAGCTTTCCTTTTTGAGTTCATATTCTGAAAGGCTTATAATAAAAACACAACAGTTTTACCGGTGTTTCAAACTTTTCAGACTGCAGTGCTTCTTAAAGGGGGGAATTCTTTAAAATTTCTACATAATTAAATGGTTGAAATGTAAACAGAGTCATTCAGAGCGGTTTGGTGTGAAACGCTCTGTTCTAGAGAAACTTCCCGAGTCAGAACTGTTCACAGTGGTGGTGATAGGAACCAGACGTCCACCTCTAAAAGCTCCCTCACAGAAAGTTCCTACATGAAATGGTTATGAATTCACTGCCTGATTACTGAGACACTGTTTTATGATAGTTTAGAAAACTTAAACTCCATTCATGGTGGAGGGATACATGCAGGGCGCTGTGAGGCAAAATAGTCCCCAAAGAAAACTTATTATTTCAGATTTTCCACTATTTTCCATCATCAACATTCCATATAAGCTCAGAAGACTCGTGTAGGTTCACTGGTGGTTCTGGATAGTAAATAAAATGTCTATATTTGTGTTGTAGTCATGGCGACCCCTGGTTCCCATCACCACCACTGTAAAGACATCTGAACCATTTCACACCAAACCACTCTGAATCACTCTGTTTCACACTAAATTATGCAGAATTTCTATTAAAAAAAGAAGAAAAAAAAAAAAATCAGCAGAATTCCCAACCAGCCACTTATTTGTCTCAGGTTGTTGTTCAAGTTAATAAATGCTACATGTGAGTGAAAATGTCCACTTAAGACTTTAATACACAAATCTATGACTTTTTCAATGTATTTAATGCACACTGAGGCCTTGCTTATGGTTCAAACGTGTGCATGGTGCTTAAACAAATGCCAATATGTGTAAATTGATATTAAAAGTTTGTAGGAGGGGTAAAACTTACAGAAGTCACTTGGGGGGTTGTGAGTAAGGTTTCTGTAAAACTCGGTGCGGTGGGCCTTCTTCAAGCCTGTGCACAGGCCAAAGTCGGACAGCTTGACGTGGCCCTAAAACAGGAGTCTGTTATGACTTACAATTACGATGTAGACAAGAAAATGAATGTGTAACAGTTTCTGAAGCTGCTTTACAGGACAGAACATATGAATACCAACACGACCCATTTTACAATGTGCGACATTAATGAACAGTAGCGGTTAGTATACACCAACTGGCCACCGTTCACCCTGTTCTTTAGTGGTCAGGACCCCCACAGGACCCTCACAGAGCAGGTACTATTTGGGTGGTGGATCATTCTCAGCACTGCAGTAACACTGACGTGGTGGTGGTGTGTTAGTGTGTGTTGCGCTGGTCTGAGTGGATCAGACACAGCAGTGCTGCTGGAGTTTTTAAACACCTCAGTGTCACTGCTGGACTGAGAATAGTCCACCAACCAAAAATATCCAGCCAACAGCGTCCTGTGGGCAGCGTCCTGTGACCACTGATGAAGGACTAGAGGATGACCAACACAAACTGTGCAGCAGCAGATGAGCTATCGTCTCTGACTTTACATCTACAAGGTGGACTGACAAGGTCGGAGTGTCTAATAGAGTGGACAGTGAGTGGACACAGTGTTTAAAAACTCCAGCAGCACTGCTGTGTCTGATCCACTCAGACCAGCGCAACACACACTAACACACCACCACCACGTCAGTGTTACTGCAGTGCTGAGAATGATCCACCACTCAGATGATACCTTCTCTGTGGGGGTCCTGACCACTGAAGAACAGGGTGACAAAGTATCAGAGAAACAGATGGACTACAGTCTGTAACTGTAGAACTACAAAGTGCACCTATATGGTCAGTGGAGTGGATAGAATGGATAAAGAGTGTAAAAGGTGTACATACTTGTTGAAGTGGCCTTAGACTGTTTGTACACACATAGATAGATGCACATATTTACAGCTGATGCTTATTGGTTGCCTTCTAGATGTGCATCATAACTGCGGTCACATTACAAGATTTTGGAGCAAAACTTCTGACCTGGCTAGAACCTTGTTTTTGGCTCTCTTAGTGGTCAAAGGTCCTAAATCAGCCACAGTGGAGCACATCATTAAACTTTCAAAGACAAAAGAGCTCTTTCACAAGTTTCACAGTGTTTTTGTGGCTGAAAGCATACAGATTCAACTTCAGCTTGTTTTGGAAATTGAAATTTGGCCAAAAAACGTCTTTTACTCCACCGGTGGTTCCAAAACACACTTCGTCACATTCTTCTTAACTTTCATATTTCATAAGCTACATTCTAAAGGTGGGGGTCGTATGAGAGCTGTAACTGTCTTCTTTCCAGTCAAATAGATGGGTGATGTCATTTTAAACCCTTATAATAAAAGAAGCTGAACTCGTTTTTTTTGTCTACTGAAAGTCGACCCATTTTTCCACAAATCTGGGCTATAAACTATAAACAGATGGCGTCTCTTCAGTGATCTGCTCTGTAAACATTATTTTTATAAAATAATACAAAGAGCGTCTAAGATTTTTGTCTTTCAGCAGTAAATTGTAAGCATATGACATTATGTTTATGATCATAACACATTTTGTGTTAATTTGAGAGGAGCTTTTACAAAAAAAAAAAACACCAACACTTTACATTTGATTTATGCAGCTCTGAATAATTTGCCTTAAGATTTGGGCATAAAAATTCAGATGGAAAAACCAAAATATACCCTGGAGAATATCTGGTTAAAGCAAAATGAACATTATCGCTCTGTTTTCTTACGTCTGTATCGTATTGAGGTGCAAAAACAAACAAACAAAGCATATTTTATGGTGAAATTTGTACCCGTGAATCGAGCAGCAGGTTGTCTGGTTTGATGTCTCGGTGTATGAAGCCCAGCTGGTGAATGGAGTCAATAGCCAGCACTGTCTCTGCTATATAGAACTGAGTGGCCTCCTCTGAAAGAGTGTCCTTCTTCATAAGCAGAGTCATCATGTCTCCTAACCAAACAGAGACAGTATACATCAGTCGACCGGTCATAATCATTAGGAAGGAATGTCTGTGGATGAACTTTGAGCATTCATACGAAGTCAGCTGAGGTAAAGATACAGTCGTCTTGTTAAACTTAACCTGGTGCTCAATGGAGGAATTAACTCTGACACAAGCACCTTTAGCCAGGTACCTTTCCAAAATGTTTATAGTTCAAGAACAGAGATGTAAACAAAGTAATTCAGAGTGGGCTGAAGTGAAATGGTGAATGGTAAAATGTACCAGCTTGGATTTCCTTACAATAGTGATGAAAGGAAGCAGGAGTCAAAATGTCTGATCTCGTAATGCAACTATAGTCATTTTATTTGCTATCCAACATGGCCAATGAACCCATAGGCGTCTTCTGGAGAAGGTCTGGCTGCAGACATGCACTCCCAGCCTGACGTGCACCGCCAGCCTGTTGATGACGTCAGTGCTGCTCTGCCACGACGGAGTTTTTGTCGGTTTTTTGAGGAAAAACAGCGAAACACGAACTGCTGGGTAACAAGAGCTACACTGAACATATATTAACGTTGCTATACTGATAATAAGGTAATCAAATATGGAAACTTTCAAAATTAAACCTTCCACAAGGATCAGATATGACTGTCGGGTTTATTCGCAGAAAAAACTAACAGGCTACTGAAACTCATGAAAGGCCCGCTGAGGACGAAGAACCGCTTATCAAAAACTGTAATATTGATTAAATAGGACTTATTAAGGATTCTAGAAGGTTGTGATGTACAGTCAGCGTAGTACCGATTACTTTCGCTGTCTCGTCAATGTCGTCACAACCTCCTAGAAAGTTGTCAGACAACGTTCTTAACTTTCTGAGGAATTACATCTCAACGTTGTGACAATGTAGAGAGCACCAAGCAGACGACGCTGTGGGCACCAAAACAGTTCGTTGTCACAGTGTAACTGTTTGCAGGGCCGTTAGGAATAAAACCTGATGGTTTTGCTTCCTAACGGGAATTGGCTTGATGGTTGCCGTTAGAGGCCATTAGGAGATGATCAGATGTGTGGAATCAGTCAAAACACCTGATTAAACAATCAGAATCCTTTACACTGTGATATCAACCCATCAGGAAAACACAGAATACCATTAGCCACTACTGAAAACCACCAGGAACCAACAGACACTTTTAATGGTTTCTATGATTTTTAACAGGGAGGTATGTTAAATGTAACTCTCTAGCTGAGTTATGGAGGTAAAATGGATTAAGTGATGATGTCGCTAAGCAGCAGCAGCCAAAAGTTACCGTGCCGTTGAGCCGCTTCTGCCACTGTGGCGGAGAGTGCATGTGCACGTGAGAGACTTTGCAGACTCTACTGGTTTTCTGAGTTTTTATATGTAATGTTGATGATGGTAAAACAGTGATAAATCAGAAAATAATAAGTCCTTTATTGGGACTATTTTGACCTCCATCATGAATTATTAAAAATACTAAAGATCAATATTTAAAAAATGTTTTCAGCCAAAACCTTCCCTCAGGTGTTTTTCAGATTTTCCACTATTTTCCATCATCAACATCCCATATAAACTCAGAAGACTCGTGTAGGTTCACTGGTGGTTCTGGACAGTAAATAAAATGTCTATATTTGTGTTGTAGCCATGGCGACCCCTGGTTCCTATCACCACCACTGTAAAGACATCTGAACCATTTCACACCAAACCGCTCTGAATCTCTCTGTTTACATCTCACACACTGAGTTATGCAGAATATTTGAAAAAAATCAGCAGAACTCCCCATTAAAACTACTTTCAACCAACCACTTATTTGTCTCAGGTTACTGTTCAAGTTGGTAAATGCTAATGTGAAAGTGAAAATGACGCTGTCATTCATCACTCTGTACTCACCTCCAGGCAGAAACTCCATGATGAGATACAGATTCCTTTTGTCCTGGAAACTGTAGAACATCTTCACTACCCATGCTCCATCTGCCTCCACAAGAATATCCCTCTCCGCCCTGATATGCGCCACCTACACAGGTTGAAACCATGTTTTGAAGGTGTTTTGAACTGGGGGTGGGCAATATGACGATATTGTATCACTATCATGACCACTTCTGTTATCATGATACACATTATTCATTTCTGAGCATATTCTGGATATAATCTGTACTTAAAGAACACTGATCGACCGCACATCTCAACAAAATGTAATGTTTACATTGTTAATTCATCACCTTTCCCATGTGTAATATAATCAATGCTTCATGTGCGATTCAGGTAAAATATCCTTACAGCATAAATATTTTTTGCTTTTTTATTTTTTTTATTTATAATTGTTTATATTGTTATTTTTTGTGAATATAGTTTACGTGAAGGAAAGAGTTTATATTTTTTATCTTTAGCATATGTATCGCTGTTGTCGGAAAAAAACCTTGTATGTCCTAAATGGTAACTTTACAGGAGAAGGAAAAAACTTACTGCACTTTTAATGTAAGTCAATGGAACCAGAATTTTTTCAAAGTCATTTTGGGCCGTTTCTTTTAGTCCATTCATCTTGAAATTTACACACAATGTAAAGAGCAACAGGTATTCTCAAATTATGTCAAAAACTGAAAAACAAAAATGGAGATACAAGGTTTTCTTCCAACAGCAGCGATATATTGTCCATATCCCATGTGTCAAACACAAGGCCTGCAGGCCAGATCAGGCCCAGAACACAATCCTGTCCGGTCCGCAAAAGTATTTTAATTTTCTATTAATATTGGCCTGTTTCACAATGCGCTGCACTACAGTCCCCAGCATGCACTGCAACGTGCTCTAACTCTCCCACCCCAACAACAGTCTATGGGACAGCGGTTACACCTCAATTCTACACAATTCTACACCAGTCATGTCACCAAAATGCATTTCAGCCACAGTTCAGCCAATATAAACACTTAACGTCAGCTCAGCAGCTCAGAAACTGAGCCCAAGCCTTAATGAACCTGCAGTAAAGAAAGGATGTCAGGTGTGTAGTTCCAGCGAATAGGTAGGTTTAAAAGGCCGAGCTCCTGGGGACTTTTAATGCTGAATATTTCAAATGTCCATGTAATTTTTCAAGATCTACTTCAAGCGTTTATATTTTACTGTTGAAGTTTTTGCATATTTTGAATAAACAATGGCCAGTTTGGGTTACAGCACAACATTAACTAACAATTAAATGAAAACTTTTTTTTCTGGCCACAGATTTGATGAGATTTTTTAATACGGCCCCGTTAGTGGTTGAGTTTGACACCCCTGATCTATATAATAACAAGTACCAAACTGTAACCTTGTTAAGTCATTAATAAGGTTAATTACCTTCTTATTTCTCTTCTTGTTACTCTTTTCTTGAGTGCCTTGATCTCCCTTTGCTGCTGTGGCACTGTGAATTTTCCCTGCTGTGGGACTAATAAAGGATTATCTTATCTTATCTTCAAAGCATAATTAGTCCTGTTTATTGTGTGAACTGCGGAATAAAAATCAACGTATCCAGTTTTGATCGCAGTTTTTAACTGCGACACTACTAGCAGATTTGGTCTGTGTCAAAATACAGAGTGATTCAAAAAGATTAATCCAATTTCAAAATGATTTATTTCACTTGTAAATCATTACAGATCAGTGCAGTGAACTGTAAATGGTTTAAATGAGCATAAAGTTTATTATGTAACTGTACAAGGTCTCAGTATGAACCTCCTCCAGCTGTACAGACAACATCAACACCATAGTCAAACTCATCCCATACTGGATTGAGCGCGTCGGGTGTCGCTGCACTCGCGGCTCTTTCAGTGCGATTTCAGAGATCATCCAGTGTTGTGGAACCAACGCCGAACGCTCTGAGCTGTTGGAGCTTCACTGCCCACGAAAATCACACTGCACAGTTATGACGGATTCACTCTTATTGAAGTGGAGAACGCAGAACGCTTTCTGCTCAGGGGTCTCAACTCCTCTCAGACTGAAGGGAGCCATCTTCCACTGACGGTCAGAAACTCTATGACCCCCTCTTTCAATTGGATTGTGATTGGTTTCACGGTTGTAAAAATATGGCGCTTTGAAAACGGATAAATCTTTTTGGATCACCCTGTACTGAGATGCGTACTGTGTATCGTGATATACATTTTTTCCATATCACCCACCCCAGTTCCATTATAAACTGTCTTGCATTACTATTTGGGTAAACGGGGTACCTGTTCCTTCTCTAGCATGTCTGCTTTCCTCAGGATCTTCATGGCATAGATGTGACCAGTGTCCTTTTTCTGCACCAGACGCACCTGATGACAAAGCAGGAAACCAAGCAAGAAAAGACAAAATCACAGCTGTCATCACGCTGTTCACTCAAACAGGTTTAATTAAGGTTAAAAGATGGTTGATGTGAGGTAAAGGTAGGACGGTTTTATTGTATTTCTGGACATATATGTTATACTGTACTTTAATAACAGCACTTTCAGCCAGTAACCCCAGGCTATAACACTGACCTCTCCGAAGGCGCCCCTTCCGATGACTTTGAGCGACTCGAAGTCGTCAAGCCCCAGTCGAGTTCGCTTCAGCCTCAGGAACTCCGTCTCCTTGCGAGCATGCTGGGAGCGCCGCATGATCTTCTACAGTATCAGCACACACACACACACACACATACACACACACACACACAGCCATTTACAACAAGAATTAATCAAAATAAGTCATCAATCTAAACATAAACCCGCAACTTACACCGATCAGGCATAACATTCTGACCACCTCCTTGTTTCTACGCTCATTGTCCATTTTATCAGCTCCACTTACTATATAGGTGCACTTTGTAGTTCTACAGTTACAGACTGTAGTCCATCTGTTTCTCTGATACTTTGTTAGCCCCCTTTTACCCTGTACTTCAGTGGTCAGGACCCCCATGGACCCTCACAGAGCAGGTACTATTTGGGTGGTGGATCATTCTCAGCACTGCAGTAACACTGACGTGGTGGTGGTGTGTTAGTGTGTGTTGTGCTGGTGCGAGTGGATCAGACACAGCAGTGCTCTCAGCATATCACAATGCTTTTAACATCACAGTAATATCGTATCGTGATAATATTGTATCGTGAGGCCTTTGGTGATTCCCACCCCTAAAGAAGTGTAACATTTAGCTGCCACACAATGTACAGAACCCCTGGACTGAGCCCAGAACAAATGATAATCAGGCTTCCTTGTAAGTGTGAAAACATAAACCTGCAGCTCACCTCTTCATCAGGTAAGCCCTCCTCATCCATCACCTTCTCCAGCTTCTTTTGTCTGCAAAACAAGTCGCATTTATGTTACAACTTAGCTGAACAGTATTATGCGACTAATGTGAGGCCTATTTGACTAAAAGGCTTGTGGAAGTAACTAATATTAAAAACTAGAGCTGCATCGATAATTTCCTGCTACTGAGAGAAGCCAGTAGATGGAGCTTAACGGAAACAGCAACACTCTGGCGGTGTGGGATTATTACGGTAAGTAATATGCCAGTATTTCAGGGTAAAGCATTTAAATACATCACAATATTAATTAAGCATTTAAAGCTTTAACACTACATGGTCTTAAATTCTGGAGTTAATGTAGAACTGCTAATTCACCCTTTAACCCTGAAGATCAGCGCAGACTGCTGGTCACCATAGCAACACAGACAACAGCCTCGCCCAGCTAGTAGCCAACGAAACGGCAAAGAGAGAGATTTAAGACGAACATTGATAATTTAGAGATGAATGGACTTATGTGTGTTTATAATCACTCCAGCTGGTTTCCTGATATGTTTAATCTGCAACCAGAAACTGAAACACTAAAAAGTCGTGAAGCTGAAGTCGCTTCTCATTCGCCAGCTTCCTGTTAGAATTTTCCTGTTCCACCTTAAATGGTGCAGCAGTTACATTATGGCACCTCAGGCACCATTTAAGGTGGAACAGGAAAATTCTAACAGGAAGCTGGCGAATGAGAAGCGACTTCTGCCTCGTAAGAAGTTGAACATTTTACAAGAAACTGTTCCACTTTTGTGGGAAAGTTTCCTGCCAGAGATGCGAGAAAAGCAGGTATAGCTGAGCTGCGTTTTTACTTATATTTTTATCCTATACTAGTACATCAGCACATACTGAGACACATTTACAGCCAAGATGGTACAATGGACATTAAATGTTGTGGCTTTTAAGGTGGTTTGATTTTTGCCAAAAGGACAAAATGGCTCATCTTAACATTCGGGTTGCGACCTCTGGTCTAACTCTACAGGCAGCTCACAAGCTCTGTGTTATTAGGTTCAATTTCCCCTCTTAAAACTTGAGACAACGTCTTTGATAATGCAGCCTATTGTTTAAAAAAATTGTAGATCTTGCCATTTGAAATTTGCAATTTCAATATAAAAATGATGAATCGTTCAGCTCTAGGCTGACATCAATCAGGTAATATGCCGGTCAGCTCTGGCTGAACATCCTGACTGGGTCATTAAACGTAAACGGGGCTGAGTATGGAGTGGTGGAACCATTACCTCATCTCCCTCTCCTCGTGCTGCGTGAGGAGGGTGCTGTAGAAGTTCTCCAGGGTCAGTTTGGCCACGGTCACTCTCTCTCTCGTGTGGTTACTCATCGGGAGCGGCGCTGCCATGCCTCCCGTCATGGCCATACTATTCTACAGAGGAAAGAGACGACACTTTCACTGAACACTGTGGATCATAACGGGAACTAGAAAGCAGAGCTGGAGGTGCTGATTTGATTAAGTAATGGTGGTAAAGGATGGCTATAAGTCAGGGGTGCACAAACTTTTTGTTTTGGGGGGCCAAAGTGCAACGACAAAACAATATATATACATATATATATATATATATATATAAAACTTTTAGAATACAATAAGTAACGTAAGTTATATTATATAGAATAAAAGCATGACCAATTGACTGAACCTGATTTTCAATAATCAATTATAATTTACTGTGTTGATGAATCAACAGCGCGATCGTTTGTCATTTTGCATGATGATAAAGCACATTTTAAGTTATTAGTTATAATTAGGTTATTCTACTGGTTTCTGTCACAGTACAACTGAGCCTGCTTTATTACTGCCAAAGGAAAATTCCACCAAATTTTTAATACATTTGTAATTTTTATAAAAAACATACAGGCTGACTATCATCAATGTTCCATATAAACATTCAGAAGACTCGTGTAGGTTCACTGGTGGTTCTGGATAGTAAATAAAATGTCTATATTTGTGTTGTAGTCATGGCGACCCCTGGTTCCTATCACCACCACTGTAAAGACATCTGAACCATTTCACACCAAACCACTCTGAATCTCTCTGATTACAGCTCACACACTGAGCTGTGCATAAATTTTGGAAAATCGTTGGAGTTCCCCTTTAAAAGACAGTGCATGGTACAGAAAGAGGACATGACGGGTTGAGAAAACAGTGAACAGATGTTTACGTGTCGACATCTGCGCCTCACATTCTGCAATTCCAATTTCTAGAGCTGGGCGATATGGCAAAAATGTTATATCGCGATACTTGAAGAAGTTCTTACAATGCATGACGTTACGATATTAATTTTTTCAGACATCTGATCAGCTGGAACTGAGAAAAAAGATCCAGTATTCCTACATTTTAAAAATACTATCAAAAACTGTGAACACCATGATTTTTATTCAGTATTTGGCACTAAATTCAGTTAAACGGGACAAATTTTGCTCTCTTTATAATGAAACATGCGGTTGGTCAGTGTCTACAAGTACTGACTATACACACGATATGATCAGTGTATATCATATGTACTGTACTGTGATACGATTAATCACATTAATGACATACATATATATATATATATATATATATATATATATATATAAATTCATGTTAGAGTCCCTCAAGAGCTTCAGTGGAAAAAAACTGCAACAAAATTGTGTTCCCTCACAGAAGTTTTGTATTCCCCCTGCAAATGCAATGGATTTTGCAAGGGAAAGCAAAATTATTGCGAGCAAAGACAAAACATTTAAAAAGGAACGCAAAATGATTGCAACAGAACACAAAACATTTGAGAATGAACACAAATTTATTGCGAGTGAATGAAAATTACTGTAAAGAAATGGAAAAATATTGCGAGGGAATGCAAAACACTTGCAAGCGAACGTAAAATTATTGTGAGGGAACCCAAAACATTTGTGAGGGAAAGCAAAACATTTGCTAGATAGTGTAAAATTATTGTGAGGGAACACAAAATTATTGCACGGGAACATTTGCGAAGGAAAGGCAAAATTACTACGTGCGAAGACAAAACATTTAAAAAGGAACGTAAAATGATTACAACAGAACACAAATCATTTGTGAGTGAACACAAATTTATGGCGAGTGAACGAAAATTTTTGCAAAGGAATGCAAAAATATTGCGAGGGAAGGCAAAACATTTGCAAGACGGTGTAAAATTATTGCGAGGGGATGCAAAATATTTGTAAGAGCACGCAAACTTATTGCGAGGAAAGGCAAAACACATGCAGATGAACGTAAAACTGTTGCGAGTGACACCATAACATTTTCAAAGGAACGCAAAATTATTGCGATGGAAAGTAAAATTATTGCGAGGGAACGCAATGCCATCACTCTGTTTTTAAACGCAGATCCACACTGCGCAGCTCAAACAGAAGCGCGTTTATATTCAGCATCTGGCCGCGTTAATGGAGGCTGATATGTAGAAACCTCCAGCCGGCCAAACCGCGATTCCTCGTCTGGCCACAGCGGGGCGCCACAGAAAAACAAACAGCGCCACCGACCTTTCCAATGCAAACCCGCTCAGCTCAGCCTGACAGACTCGAACAGGGGAGAGAATCAAAAACGGGCCGGTTTTCAGAGCGAAAAGGCGGTTTTAGCACCGCAGCCAGGCTCGTCCGTCAGAGTTACATGTGCGCTATGAGCCTCGTCGCCAACGGGCGCTGCAGACCCGCAGAGCGGAGGTGATATAGCGGTGTTTCGGAGCGGCTCACCTCCCCGTCCTCCTCCAGAGTGGACAGTTTGGCGACCAGCAGCTTCTTCACTCAGAAAATAAAGGACAGCCAATTCAATGGCTGCTAACGCGCGTTTAGCTCGGCTGGATAAAAACAGACAGCGCGGTTAATGTTCGTCTCCTGCCGTTCACAGCGCGGCGGCGCCGTCAGTCCGTCAGTCCGCACTGATAAACAGCTCTGAACAGCGGCCGCCGGATCAGCAGAGCGGCGAGCACAGCAGCGACCTCACCAAGATGGCCGCCCGTGAACGCGGTCAGCACCGCAGGCGCTGTTTTCAAAATAAAAGTTCTCTGATGATCACGCTGAAGCAGTACGACGGCGTTTTAGGCCCACTGCTAATAAAAAAATAGTCTCGGTTGCTGTACTGTAGGGGGGCTGCCATAACGCGTTGGGGTCTCGGTTGCTGTACTGTAGGGGGACTGCCATAACGCGCTGGGGTCTCGGTTGCTGTACTGGCGCCGGAGCTCCACTCATTCCTGTCTCTCTGTAGATCATTTTGATCATCATTCTCACTGTCTGTGAAACTTCATGCCCTCTTTGAATGGGGGGAGATGGAGCCCCCGATAGCCGTGTAGACGACCCTGCCTGAGATTCTCCTTCAACAACGCAGACAGACAGTTTCCTCCGAGTCCGTCTGGCTCTTTATTCTAGATAAAGACAGTTTCCTGCTCAGCCGGTTCTTATACTAATAACAGGCTGGTGCTGATGTGCAGGAGAGACAGGGAGACTGAGTGTTTCTTTATGGGTGAATCGATATGAAAGTAGAACTCCACCAACTCACCACCCCTCATTTAACACCAGGAGGTGCTGCTTTTCCTTTGCAAAGCCTTTGGCCACAATATTACGACTTTATTCTTGAAATAGTACGACTTCTTTCTCGAAGTCTACTTTTTTATTTTTAATACCAGTGGCCCTAAAACACCGTCGGAGAAGCAGAGAATGTGTAATGTCTTCAGGGTTTTTCCAAATGCTAGAGGGCGCTCTGGAGCGAGTACAAAACGAATAGGTTAATATGTAACATGTACGCAAAAATCATCGTTTGTAAATTCTTAAACATTTTTATATAGAAGAATGTATTCATTTCCTAAACACAGAACAGAATAAAACATTTTACCACTGCTGTTATATTTTCAAGAGCTTTTTATAGAACTTTATTACGCTGCCACATGAATGTTCATGACGTCAGTGAACGCCAAACTTAACTCAGGCAATGAGCTGATCAGCTGGCCAACCAATCAGTGCTCAGTAGGAGTAATGCCAACCAATCAGCGCTCAGTAGGAGTAATGCCAACCAATCAGCGCTCAGTAGGAGTAATGCCAACCAATCAGCGCTCAGTAGCAGTAATGCTAACCAATCAGCACTCAGTAGCAGTAATGCCAACCAATCAGCACTCAGTAGCAGTAATGCCAACCAATCAGCACTCAGTAGCAGTAATGCCAACCAATCAGCACTCAGTAGTTGTAATGCCAACCAATCAGCACTCAGTAGTAGTAATGCCAACCAATCAGCACTCAGTAGCTGTAATGCCAACCAATCAGCACTCAGTAATGCCAACCAATCAGCACTCAGTAGCTGTAATGCCAACCAATCAGCACTCACTAGTAGTAATGCCAATCAATCAGCACTCAGTAGCTGTAATGCCAACCAATCAGCACTCAGTAGTAGTAATGCCAACCAATCAGCACTCAGTACCAGTAATGTTAGCGTCCTGCTGCCCAAAACTCATTAACTGTAGAAAAATTGAAAGATACACCTAAATTTTCTTTGACTTTTTAGTGAAATACATTCGTACTTTCCATAATTAAGTACACTAATGGTTAGAAACTAGTTTAATCATGTATTTTTAGCTGTTTAGCTCCATTCACCTCATTCTTTGAGGACTCTCTGGCCGTTGCCCTCAAGCATTCTGCAGTTAACCTCTTATTTTTTGGGGGAGTTTTTAAACACTGTGTCCACTCACTGTCCACTCTATTAGACACTCCTACCTTGTCAGTCCACCTTGTAGATGTAAAGTCAGAGACGATAGCTCATCTGCTGCTGCACAGTTTGTGTTGGTCATCCTCTACTCCTTCATCAGTGGTCACAGGACGCTGCCCACAGGACGCTGTTGGCTGGATATTTTTGGTTGGTGGACTATTCTCAGTCCAGCAGTGACACTGAGGTGTTTAAAACTCCAGCAGCACTGCTGTGTCTGATCCACTCAGACCAGCGCAACACACACTAACACACCACCACCACGTCAGTGTTACTGCAGTGCTGAGAATGATCCACCACCCAAATAGCACCTGCTATCCACAGTTCTTCAATCTGTGCTAAACAGTCTTATTCAGTTGAAGTTGGTTCATCAAGTGTACTGGACGAAGGTTAAACTCGCTAAACTTAACCCAGATCTTGATACACTTTGTGATCGATGTTCCAAGTTCCAGCTACCTTGTCTCAATGTGGGTCGTTCTACAGAAGCGTCCAACAGAACATGTGTTTTATGATCATACACATATTGCTATATGCTTACAATTTACTGCTGAAAGCCAAAAATCTTAGACGCTCTTTGTATTATTTTATAAAAATAATGTTTACAGAGCAGATCACTGAAGAGACGCCATCTGTTTATAGTTTATAGCCCAGATTTGTGAAAAATGGGTTGACTTTCAGTAGAAAAAAAAATTGTGAGTTCAGCTTCTTTTATTATAAGGGTTTAAAATGACATCACCCATCTATTTGACTGGAAAGAAGACAGTTACAGCTCTCATACGACCCCCACCTTTAGAATGTAGCTTATGAAATATGAAAGTTATGAAGTAAAGAATATGACGAAGTGCGTTTTGGAACCACCGGGGGTTCCACGGAGTTAAAAAGGTTAAATAATAGAACTAAACTCTTTTAAAGCCAGTATACTAAAACTTCTGAGCAGGAGTGTAGAGGATGGTTCTTCAAGCAAAGACAGTGGTTCTCCATAGAACCATGAACACTCAAAGAACCATTTGCATGCCTAAATGGTTCTCTGCATGGTGAAATTGTTCTTCAGATTGGTGGAGAATGTGTTGTATATGGTTCTCTATAAAACCTTTCTGAAAAGGGTTCTATGTAGCATCAAAAAGGGTTCTTCTATTGTTACGATGTCAAGCTCGTAACAGTACTCTCTTAAAATAGATCTTTCTTCAAGGTTCTTTAATAAAGACAATGGTTCTATATAGAACACTCAGAGATCCATTTGCATGCTTAAAGGGTTCTGTAGATGATAAATGGCTCATGGAGAACGTGTTGTATATGGTATGATGTCAAGCTTGTAACAGAACAAATTACGCTGCTGTATAGAGCCATAAACAACACATTCTCAGTCAATATGAAGAACCATTTCACCATGAGAACTTTTTAAGCATGCAAACGGTTTTTGAGTGTTCATGGTTCTCTAAAGAAGCACTGTCCTTACTAAAGAACCCTTGAAGAACCTTGAAAAGTGTTCTGTGGATAAGTTGTAGTCGTAAAACATCAAGAATGTTCAACAGTCGACCATCTCTGACAATAATTCAGTTCGAGGCTTAATCAGTAGAAAAACGGCTACATTTTTACTGAAATCAATACCAGACAAACCAGTCTTTTATTTTTTCAGTCGTATTTCATACACTGTGTTTCCCGTTCTGTCCGGTGCCAAAGCAGTTCTGAAGGCCGGTGTTTCTTCAACAAGCACTTTGAGGTCCAGGGAGCTTCTGACTTCATGCCAAGTTTGGTCTCTTTCATTATGCACTATTTTTAAAGAAAACTTGGTCCCACTTTATATTAATTGTCTTTAATAACTGTGTAGTTACACATGAATAGCATATGCAACAACACTGTAACTACTGATGATTTAGACAATGTTACAGATGGATTACAGAAGTACAGCCTATGTAATTACACATGTATCAACTTCAGTTTTGCCTCATATAATTACACAAGTGTATCTTCTACACAGGAACTTTCCTGTAGTGTTAAAGTTACACTTTAAAGTAAGTGGGCAGTTCCTGTGTAGTTGTTATGTAAGTACTGTGTAATAATGGAGTGGTGATATAGACACTGCTTTAGGGGAAATGCAATACATTTAATTAGTGTCATAATAGCTACAATTTAAGATAAGGGGTCGTCTGCTGTTCTGCCACATTACAGAACGGTTTAAAGCTGAAACTGGTCACAGTGTCTCAGCACTAACAACATAAATGCTGGCTACCTGTTAGGAAAGCTGGCAGATACGGTATAAATAATGTCTTAATGTAAGTTATTACATACTTAATTCTACTGCTGGAAAAAAAACTGCTGTTCCAGTCTGATTATGAATGTAATTACATTTATGTTATTACCATTGTGTAATTACATGAGGGAGAATAGGCTTTCATAACTACTAAGATACACTTGTGTAATTACACAGGCTGTACATCTGTAATCCATCTGTAACAGTGACTAAATCATTAATTGTTACATTGTTGTTGCATATGTTGTTCACATGTAACTACAGAGTTATAATATAAAGTGGGACCGAAGACTTCATACATTATTCACCGCAGGTCCACAGTTTCAGACACAGAACATGTTTTTTGTTAAGACACTCAGTATAAAAGCCGGTTCTGAGCTGTTGAGTCCAGGAATCCGTGTTCAAAAGTTCATATTTGTGTATTTGTGTAATGAACTATTCACTCCAGTCAAATGAAAATAACCAAGAAGTGCGTCAGTGATGTCAAAGTGTCGACACCCTGTCAGCTGTTTCTTCTTCTCAGGCATGATTACGGCTTCAGAGTGGAGAAAAATAATAAAGTATGACGTTCATACCGTGCAGTTCGTAGCCCAAAGCCACTCAGTTCATTTCTTAAAGAACAAATAAAGTGACATCCAAGAAAATGCGAATCATGCCTATGTGCAGCTCTTCCACTGTGTGACCCCGGCCTGGTGGGTCATCATGATCTAGATGACCACGTCAACGGTGTATAAGAGTTGAGACGAACAGTGAGGTCAGGAAGAGGAGGGTCGATATCCGGATCTCCGCTGCTCCTCCACAATCTTTGGCGTTTTCCTGGAATCAGGTAGAACAGGCAGATTTAGACTGAGTGACTAAAGAAAGCTCCCTTTCTCTGTCAGAGAAACCCCTCTGTTGGTCAGGGCTTGTCCTGCTGAACAGGATGATAAGAAGTCGAGAAGCTGACTCATGTTTATTTTGGACTGTGCTGACCTTTGTAATGTACTGACTTGCTGCATAAGCCCTCTGACTGCCTCAGCTTCTGGAAAACGCTGCAGCCAAACAAGGAGCTGAAGCTTCAGAAAACATTAGATTCGTGACTACATTTATCATTTTTAATCACTTCTTTAAACTCAAAAGCTGTTATCTCTTTTGGTTTGACTCCAGCTGGAGCCGAGATGGAGAGAAAATGTACGTTTATGGAAACATAATGTCCAATCAACCTCTGAAGTTGTGAGTCATTCTGTAGTTGGGGTTTTTCCCATATAGACCACTGTAGTCGTGCGTCATTCTGTAGTTCGCATTATGCCCATATTAGGAAATCCAGGTCTGAGCTCCATTTCTTTATGGCCAGAATGAATAGGGTTTTCAAAAAATCGCTTCTATCGCCCCCTGTGTTAAATAAAACGGTGCAGTACCCGATACGGTTTGTTCTGTGAACATTTTTCTCCCGAATATCACTGGATCCTCCGAATTATGAGGTCATTAAAAAGCTATAATGCTAATATCGCTATATACAAGCTACAGCTACTGCGCATCAATTTGATGTCACTAAGCTACACAAAACTAAGGCAGGCTGTGGCGGTGCTCTGACGAGCTGTGCTACCTTATCGAAATCTTCTACTGTAGTGCATAATGACAGGTATACCCGTAAATAAAACCTCTGGGTGGGATATTCTGCTAGGCTAAAACTCCTTATCAAAAATACTACCAGCATTAAAACTAAGAGGCTGTGGCTCCCGAGTGGCGCAACCGTCTAAGCGTTGGCCCTATCATCAGGAGATCGCGAATTCGATCCCTGGTGATGGTACAGCCGTCTGTAGCCAGGAGTCCGAGAGAGCACAATTGGCCTCGCTCTCTCTGGGTGGGTAGGATGGCCCCTCCTTCTCCCCCCATCACTCAGCGCGATGCTAGTCAGCGCAGGCGTCTGTTAGCTGACGTAACAGATCTGGCGGTTGGCGCTTTCCTCCGAGTGCGTTCGGCTGTCCAGTGACGTTGCGTGAGCGGCAGTTCGAAAAGAAGTGGTGGCGCTTCACAGGTCTCGGAGGAAGCCTGTGTTAGCCTTCACCCTCCTAGCGTTGATAGCATCGTGTGATTGGGGGAGTCCTAACTAGCGGGGTGGAATTGGAGACGACTAAATTGGGAAGAAAATCGGGTAAAAAAAAAATAAAATGAAAAAAAAACAAAAACTACGAGGCTGAATTTAGCCTCTTTCTCCGCAGCTTCTTGTCTAAATGTTCCCGTTCCACCTTAAATGGTGCAGCAGCTGTGACTAGCTGTCACAAACATTAGCAAACGAGACAAAATACTGACCTGTCGGTTCTGTGAAACAGCAAAAATAAGTTACTCAGCTGTTAAGCGGGAATAGAGAAACCTCCTTATATCAGGCCTTTCAACCCTCCAAGAAGCTGAAGTCAGCTTCTTTTTCTCCGGCTGCTTGTTCGAGTTTTCCCATTCCACCTTAAATGGCGCCGCAGTTCAGAACGTGAAAAAGGGAAAAGTCGAACAAAAAGCTGGCGAATGTCCTGAGAAATTGATCTCAGAAAAATGTTACCAGCATTAAAATAATAATTAGGATATTCTGAGAGCCTAAATTAGTTTATCAGGGGGTCAGCAGTGATATTAAGCTGAGTCTGTACTGGATCAGCCTGTGTGCAGGTCTGTTTGTAGATCTTTTCTAATCAACTGACAGGAAAGATGTAATATATCTAATATTTCACATTATGAGATGGTTGTAAGAATATTGCAAGACTGTTTCTAGACATATTTACTTGTTTTAAATAATTGTATCCAGTGAAAGCGGCAGATCATTTTACTTTTTTTGAGAAAAAAGAAGATAATTTTGTTTATTTCAAGAAATAATGCGTAAAACAAGTAAAATGATCTGCTAATGGAATAAGACACTTTCATAAGATACAATTACTTTAAACAAGTAAAAAACCTAGAAATAGCTGTAATATCTTACAGTATTCTTACAACAGTCTCATAATGAGAAAAACTAGATATATTAACTACATTTAAGACGTTTTCACTTGCTGAGATATTTTTTGCAGTGCAGAGACGAAGAGTAAAGAATAACAATAATGGAATTCACTGTCTTGGATGACCAACAGTTCTCAGTTGTCAGGGACGCTGGGTTTCATGGTACATACAGTAGCTACACACTGTAATAACTTTATCAAGTCATTTTATACAAACTGTTTTTTCAGTTTTTAGCCCTTAATCTGGGTTTCAGCCAAGGATTTTCATTTCGGTGCATCACTAAAGGCCTCAGCACTTCCTGCGAAACTAAAACACCTTCGCGAGCTTACAACCTCGCATACTTTCAGGGGTTTCGTGTTGCCTGTCGCGGATGCTCCTCAGGATGCTGTCATTTTGTGATAAGTTTCATGACTGCTGAAAAAAAACGATTCTTTCACAGTTCTAACTATGGCGACGTTTGAGTTCTGAATGTTGCCACCATTTAAGGTGGAACGGGAAAATTTGAACAAGAAGCTGGTGAATAGAAAGCCAACTTCAGCCTCATCCTCTTGTGAACCTAAATATAAGATACGCTGTATGTTTTGGGGCTTAGTACTAATTAGTACCACTGAATAGTAGACTTAGTATCTTATTCATTGTTTATTTAACAAATACGTGTTTCACAGTGAAATATTAGTGTATCTCCTAAAGCCGAAGCTCCTCGAAGTTGTCCACCTTTGTTTTATGGCACGCCTCTTTTTTTACCAACCAATCAGAGGCTTTGTCGCGTAGTGTCTTCGTCCGTGGAGTTCGCCCAGCTGCCATGTGCACAACACGGCACACAAAGCCTCCGTGACGAGCGTCGTCTCTGCAAGAAGTCTGCTGAGGCCTTTAGTCTGACATACAAATCGCTGTTGTCGGAAGAAAACCTTGCATCTCCATTTTGGACGTTTTTCAGTTTTTAACGTAATTTGAAAATGCCTGGTACCCTTTACATTGTGTGTAAATTTCATGATGAATAGACTAAAAGAAAAGTCCCAAAATTACTCAGAAAAAGGTCTGGTTCCATTGACTTACATTAAAAATAAAGTATGTTTTTCATTCTCCTGTAAAGTTACCATTTTGGAGATACGAGGTTTTGTTCCGACAACAGCGAAATACTTTCTTCCTCTTCTTTCTTGGTAGTTGTGATATTCATGCGTTTACCTGAGGGTGGTAGGCGTGACAGGATTCGGGTCGCCTGCGGATCTTCTGAGACTTCATCCGGTCGCACTTTACTGAGGCATTATGTGATGTGGAGTTAAGAATAAATCCAGAACCCATTACGACTTGCCCTTCTAAATTATGACCTTATTATATTATTACAGTAATTAGCTTAATTACCTCTGCTCTGTACCCCTGGAATGCCTCCCCCGCCTCGTACTCTTTAACTCTAAGCAGCGTTTACACGACTGCGGCAAATGTGCATCGCATGCTGCGACAAGACTGGACGACTCCAGCTCTCAACACAGCAAAGCATCATCAGAGGAGCTCAAACACCCCAAATATGTTCTTAACTGATCACTTTATGATTGAAGAAAATCTGAAATACAGACTATTCAATTTTTCACCTGCTACAGCGACAGAGTGGCCTCGCGCAGCTCTGCACAGGACAGCACACTGCAGCTCCATTAAAACTGAAAGGCAGAGACACAGACCCACTACAAAAACTGATATCCATCTCTAAATTACCTCAAATAACAGATGGTTCTTCAAGGGTTCTGTAGTAAAGGCAATGGTTTGCTTGCTGAAATGGTTCTTTATAGCACCAAAAAGTATTCTTCTATTGTTACAAGCTTGACATCGTAACCATAGCAAAACCATTTTTGGTGCTATACAGAATAATTTTAAAAAAGGTTCTATATAGAAAAATATAAAACACATTCTCCATCAATCTGAAGAACGATTTCACCATAAATGGAACCATTCCCTTTAGTAAAGAACCCTTAGAGAACCAAGTGTATTCTATATATATTTAATATAGTCTATATATCTCATTTTGAGATGGTCGTAGGAAAATTATAGGATAATTTAACTTAGTTCTGGACACTTTTATGTGTTTTAAGCAATTTTACTGAGCGAAATTATCTCACTATAATGGCAGATAATTTTGCTTATTTTAAAAAATGTGCTTGGAACAAACAAAATTACCTTCCAACGTGGTCTGACGATTTCACTTAATAAAAGTACATCTACAACCTGTGTGCCCAGACGAGAAAATAAAAATAATAAATATGTATTTTAATATATATATTATATATTTAATACATTTTACAGGTATTTATTTTCCATATGGATTCATAAGGAGAAGAGGAGATATTTCTTTATTATTTGAATTTGATTAAATTTTACTGTTATGTATGACCCTGTTTTGCAGATTTTGTCATTTTTTATAACGTGTTAAAATTGAAATAAACAGAAAAGGTGCAGACTTGGACCTGTTGATGTTCGATCAAATGTAAATGTGATTTACTGTGTAACTAACCCTATGACTTACATGTAGTGATATGCAAACATCTGGGGACTTCTGGTCAAATTCCATGTTGTTGTTGATTGTCTACGTGTAAATAACTGAACAGAGAACACACTTCTGCACATTTTAATGCATAATTACTGTTTATTTACTGAGTTTTATATTTTTTCCCCAGTATGCACGGATAACTGCAGAAAAAATACAGTCACCATATCAATTGTGTTCTCTGTAGAGGAAGTGTTAACTGACCTCCACTCAGAAAATCAACAAAACATGTAATTTGACCAGGGGTGCCCAAACTTTTTGCCCTAACTACCTTGACTCATACAAGTTAATTATTTGCATTTATTCCCAAACCTTCCAAGCAAAAACATCTTAAACATAGTTAATATATCTAATATTTCTCATTATGACATTGTCTTAAGAATATTACAAGATTATTCCACTTATTTCCACACATTTTTACTAGTTTTAAGTAATTTTATCTTATGAAAGTGTCTTGTTCCATTGGCAGATCATTTTACTTGTTTTAAGCATCATTTCATGAAATAACCAAATGATCTTCAATATTACAACAGTCTCATAATGAGAAATATTAGATGTATTAACTACGTTTAAGATGTTTTACTTGCTAAGATATTTTTTGCAGTGTGGTAAGGATATATTTGACCTCTCTGGGCTCCATGGTGATGGACGAGTACTGGCGAGAGCAGTCGCAGTCCGCCTGGACCACCATCAACAACAGGTTACTGTCAGGGATCTGCTGAATCACAAACACCCTGCAAGATAAAGAGAAGAAGAGAGAAAGAGACAAATACGATGAGTCATTCTGTGTCAATATCAAATCCACTGTCAGTTATATTTTATTGGAGCTATGCACTGCAAAAAATTATATCTCCGCAAGTGAAAACATCTTAAATGTGGGTAATATATATATCTAACATTTTTCATTATGAGGCTGTTATTTGAATATTATGAGATTATTTAACTTATTTCTTATTATTTTTAACTTGTTTTAAGTAATTTTATCTTATGAAAGTGAACATTTTACTTGCTTTAAGTATTATTTCTTGAAATAAACAAAATTATTGTCATTATTTCTTCAAACAAGAAATGATCCGCCAATGAAATAAGACATTTCACTACATTAAATTACTTCATACAGTAAGTAAAAATGTATAGAAATAGGTGGAATAATCCTAAAGTATTCTTATAATGAGAAATGTTAGATATATTAACTACATTTTAGATGTTTTCTCTGGCTAAGATATCATTTTTTGTAGCGTGAAAACAGAATAATATATTCTGATACCGGTTCTCATCAAAGCAGATACTCATGAGTCCTTTGTTCCACTAGGGGGCATTAGAACATTGCAGTGATAAGCTTTTTAAAGCACATCAGCTTCTGGTGTCGGTCCGTTGCACATTAATGGCTGGGAGGAAGAACAGTTCAACGTGTTCTTAGTAAATGTCTTACTTTTCAAAGATTATTCTGTGTGCATCATTATAGCCGCACTTAATTACTGCGTAAGGAAAGAGCTGCATATATGAGCGGCAGTTTAAAGCATGGGCTTACCTGAGAGAGTCATAAAGGGCCTCTGGGTGCCATTTTTTAAATTGCTTTTTACCCACCCACTCTCACACGCATCAATGAGTTTTACCCTCTGCACAGAGTACTGTGCAAAAGTACGACGGCATTTTAGGGCCACTGTTAATAAAAATAAAAATAGTAGACTTTGAGAATAAAGTCGTAATATTTAGAGAAATCGTTGTAGAATTACGACATTAAAGTGGCATTAATAACAGGAAAGGTCGCAATATTGTGTCCAAAGGCTTTGCAGAGTGAAGCAGCACCTCCTGGTGTTAAATGAGGGGCGGTGAGTTGGTGGAGTTCTACTTTCATATCGATTCACCCATAAAGAAACACTCAGTCTCCCTGTCTCTCCTGCACATCAGCACCAGCCTGTTATTAGGATAAGAACCGGCTGAAACGGCTGAGCAGGAAACTGTGTTTATCTGGAATAAAGAGCCAGACGGACTCGGAGGAAACTGTCTGTCTGTGTTGTTGAAGGAGAATCTCAGGCAGGGTCGTCTACACGGCTATCAGGGGCTCCATCTCCACACCATTCAAAGAGGGCATGAAGTTTCACAGACAGTGAGAATGATGATCAAAATGATCCACAGAGAGACAGGAGTGAGTGGAGCTCCAGCGCCAGTACAGCAACCGAGACCCCAATGCATTATGGCAGCCCCCCTACAGTACAGCAACCGAGACCCCAACGTGTTATGGCAGCCCCCCTACAGTTAACTTTTTTTTCTCTAAATATTACGACTTTATGCTCGAAGTCTACTATTTTTATTTGTATTAACAGTGACCCTAAAACGCCGTCGTACAGAGGTCAGAGACCAATGTCATTTAATTTCCAGTCAAAACGTCCATTAAGCACAAATCAACTCATTTTTCAGTGTCAGAAAGAAACAGAAAACTTACACAGAAGCCTCAACAGCTAAATCTACTCTCAGCTGTCTGAGTCAGTGAGTCACTCTTTCCCTTTATTCCAGCTTCCATTCTTTTCAGGAGACTCACTTTCAGCTCCTCAAAGAATCTGCAGACACACCTCCAAAGTTCAGTCTTAGAAGCTGGTTGATCATTTTCTGAAGTAATCAAACACATTCAGTGGTGTTGAGGTCTGGACTCTGGGGTGGTCAGTCCATTGTTCAGCTTCTTTGTTTGATGTGTCCGTCTCCTTTTCTCAGTGAGGCTCTTCTTGATCAGCTACACATCCTTTCAGACCCACAGCGCTGAGTCGTCTTCTCACAGTGGAAGGATGGACAGAAACACCTGTGGATGTTTTCAGATCTGAAGCAGCTTGATTTTCTCCTCTCTCTCAAAGATGAAAGCTTTAAGTGCTGTTTATCTGATGGGGGCAGTTTTGGGGTTGACCAGCTCTTCCAGGTGGTTGTTAGGAGGCACATTTTCTCATTTTAGTCATTTCGTGAACTCCATTGTTGGAAATTCCCGTTTTTTCACTCACTTTCCTTTGACTTTCTCCTTCCTTATTCAGGTGGATTATTTTATATCTAATCTCCCCAGATATCTAATATCCCCATAATAATGAATAATGTGTACTTAATGGCTGTTATGACAGGAAATTAAATAAATGATGGCTTTTGCACAGTACTGTACGTCATTCACAGACTATTGACTGGACAGACTTATTCAAAAGAGCTGCCCTGAGGCTGAGTTCAAAATTTATGAGACTGATATGAAAATGAAATCCATAAAGAGAAAAAGTGGTATGAGCGCTGATACTGAAGAAAACCCAAATAATGGAATTTCTTTTCTCAGCACCATTTGAGTCGCCAACGTCGGCTAGCCAGCAAGTTACCATTGATGCTTGTAGCGCTTGTGGCTCAGACATGACCTAATATTAAAGGGGAACTCCACCGATTTTGCAAAATTACTTAATCATTCAGTGGTATAGATGTGAACAAAGTCATTCAGAGTGGTTCGGTGTGAAATGCACCTCTAGAGAAATTTATCGAGTCAAAATTGTTCACCATTACAGTACTAGGAACCAAACATTCGAAGCATTTAATGGGTCTAAAAGCTACATCTCGTTAAATTATTACACAAAACGGTTATAAATACATTGTGTGACAAAATACAGTGTAGTTAGTTAACATTAGGCTGTGGTTCTCAAGTAACATAATGATCAAAGATTAATCCATTAATTAATGGCTATTAATACAGAATACCACTGATGTGTGCAATCATACAGTCATGCACAAAAGTTTGGGCACCCCCTTTAAATTCCATTTTAATGCATTATTACTGTTTACATGTATATAATGTTATCTGTGGAACAATTATGGCACATTTTAGATTTTCCGTTTTATTTTTTCCGACAAATATACAAATTATACACTACAGGTTGCAGAAAGATACCATATTTAAGTTTGTTCCCTGTAGAGGATGTGTTAATTAAGCAATAGAACACAAGAGGGAGTGTGTTATCGTGAAACTGGGCCGTGAAAGCGGCATTTAATATCCTTCTGCCAAATTATAGTTCCTTAACGAGCAGCTTGTTGCTATGTCAGAGTAACGAGCTCCGCCCACTCGCTGCACAGCCAGCAGTTCGTTCTCCAGCTCCTCACACTAAATTCCCAAACTGTCATCACCACTGAGCAGCTTTTCAGTCGGCAGCTGTAACAGAAGAACAGCTGAACAACCTGGAATCAGCCAGAAATGAACCCAACACCATTCGCCAAACGTGTAGTCTGATCTTCAGAGTCTGACCAAATCAGACTGAGCCATAAAACTGTTGCAATATCAAGTTCAGCTCAGTTTTGTCAGTTTTTTGCCAGATCAGTATTAATGTTGTTTTGTTCCAGCCAGTCTGTAAAGCATCTTACAGAGTATATTTCACAGCAGCCATGAACATGGCCGAGTCACTCCAATTTTAGAACCAGAAATCTCAGCGTTATCATTACCATTTTGTCCAATCTGTTGTAAATTAACAGTCTATAGCAGATCTGCCCAAACGTTTTGTCTGGGCACCCCTGGCAAAGGTGCAATGTTTGTGGTGGGCTAAAGACCAAAAAGACAAACCATCCTCAAATAACACTATTTACAATTACCATTACAAATTACTCTGTATTTTGTTACTAGAATATTTCCAAAATATATTTTTTAAAAGGAAATAAGAACAAAAGAAATTACTTATAGTGTAAAAATAAATTTGTTCTCTTATTGGGTAATTGCATGAGGTTAGGGCAGCTTTCTGGTGGGCCACACTTTGGGCAGCCATAGATGTCAAAGAGTGTTTACATGCACCTAATAATCTGATAACTGCAGAAAATCGGATTTTGTCTGTAATCTGATCGTGTTTACATGCTCTTGAGTAATCAGATAAAGGGGAAACCCCGGGTCTACACGAGTCAGACAGTAATCAGATTTCTGCTTTGCAACCAGCCAATAAACTCACAGAAGACGACGTGACGTAAACGTAACGTAAAACTCAAACTTTATGCCGCGTTTTTTTTTAAACATCGCGCCGCTTTACCTGAAAATATGAACACACATCATCTAGAAGATGAAGAATATTTAAATCCTTTGTTTCATGTTTGGTTTCAGCGCCGCTCCAACAGTATTTTGCTGCGTCTCACGACATCCACCGTCTGATCTCGCGCATGCGCAGACTGAGAAATCCAATAGAAATCAGAGTTTACATGCACTGAGAAATCTGATTACTGAGCTAAAATCCAGCCTCTATCGGATTTCTTAATCGGATTTCTAGATTAGAGTATGGTGTTTACATGACCATTTAAATAATCAGATAACTGCAGAAGTCTAATTATGATCGGATTATTGAGTGCATGTATACACACTCACTTTCGTTGTCATTGGTTCTGCTGATTGTTAACTCAGTGCTAAGCTCTTCTCTCAAGTTTTCACTAGGAGTAAAAGAAGGAACCCCCCCATTCTTAAATCCTCACACTCAGTCTGTTCCAGAATAGGCTTTAAGGAGCTGTTCCTGCTCTATAAATGGTCAGGAGCTGCGTATTTATCTGATCTGCTGCAGCGATATGAGCCGAGCAGAACTCTCAGATCATTAGGAACTGGTCAGTCAGTCCTGCCGAAGGTGAAGACTAAACATGGAGAAGCAGCGTTTCGATACTATGCTGCTCTTAAATGGACCCAGTGGACAGAGAGCATTAGAAGAGCCCCGACACTGGACACTTTAAATCAGCCTGAAAACGATCCTATTTTAAGCAGCTTTCAGCTCAGTTTAAATACTGTTAGCTCTACTGCACTCCTCTCCTGTAATGGCGCTCTATTATCTAACTTTAATTCTCAATCTGATTTTTAATGTTTATTTCTTCTCTTTTAAATATACTGGGCCTCATTCTCCAACATCTTCTTAAATGTGTTCTTGAGAAAGGTCCTAAGAAAAAGTCTACGTCAGATTCATGACGTGTTCTTGGAGCGCAGAACTGTTCTCACCTTTGTGCTCTTGAGTTTGTGTAGATTCTGTTCTTACCTAAGTGGGTTTTAGGAAGAAATTTCTTCTTAAGAGCGGTTGGTGAATGAGGGCCATAGTTTTTAATCATGTTTTAATCATGTTTTCTATTCTCCTACATCTTTTTAAATTTTATTTTGGATTATCTTGGCATTTCTTATTCGTAAAGCACTTTGAATGACCGCAGTGTATGAAAAGTGCTGTATAACTAAATGTGCCCTGACTTCTGTTTCCATGCTTACTAAGCAGTGGTGGACAGTAATGAAGTAAATGTAATTCATTGCTGTACTTAAGTAGTTTTTTGTGTATCTGTACTTTACTGAAGTTTGTCCATTTTGGGTGAACTTTTTCCTTTCACTCCGCTACATTTCAAAGTCAGATATCTCACTTTTTACTCCACTACATTATGAGAAATCTGGCGTTCCTTTTGGTTTATGTGTGAATAAAAACGTAACATGTCAAAACAAAAGAAGCGCAAAGCAAGAACACCAATCAGGGCACAGCGGTCACTTTGTTTTGAGCTTGTTTTGACCTGTTGGTCATACCGACCCAGTGCAGCACACGGTTCAACATCAGTGCAGCAGTGTAAAATTTTGGGAGAGTCTATTCAACATAAATGATGAACTAACCTAACTTTGTGTAAATAGACCACAATATAGAAATATGTACTCATATGCAGTTGAGACTGACGTGTCTTTTTTCTGAATTTATACAAACACATTTCATTTTATAGTAAATTAGTTTTGGCTAGTTTATGTTTATGAACAGAGACCTACAGATGCAGTTTAGTAAAGGAAACTCATTTGTGAATCTGAGTTTAAAGTTTTTATTAAACTTAAACTTGGAACTAAGTTCAAATAAATCTTAAACTGAAACTTTGCTTGTTTGTAAAAAGTGATTTCAGAGCCACTCAGTTCTACCTGATGGAAACTGTTTGCCTTCAGTGTTTTGTACTTTTGATAATTTTAATAGACATCAGCGTCACTAATTAATGACTCTATTAAAAGACTGATATTACAATACTGGACACTGGAATATTTTCACCTAAAATGAGTTGATTAATTAGAGCCATAATTAATCTTTTAGTACTTTTACTTCGGCTACTTAAGTACATTTGAAGGCAAATACTTTAGTACTTCTACTCAAGCGGAGGTCTAAAGGGAGGAACTTCTGCTTTTACTGGAGTAATATTTTACATTGGGTGTCTCTACTTAGTCTCCTTATCCCTACTTAATTAGTCCATATGAATCAGCAGGGAGTTAAGTTGTGTCATCTTGTGTTTTTTAATTAATTTTATTAGACGTATTAGAGCTCAAGACCACACACAGCCCACAGTACACACAGCCCAAAGCGTCTGTTTGTGCACTTACTTTTGACACCTCCCACACTTGATGACACTATTGGTCTCCTTGATTGAAGGCTCGTAGACGAAGCTGGGATACTCTGTGTCGCAAGGCTGCAGAATGTCCCCCTTTGACTTCTTACTGGCTGCACAAACAGCACATCAAATCTCTGATTAAGATTCTCCAAAGATGGATATGAAGAACTTATTCAGCAACAAGGAGATACTTACCATTCATGAGCTACACAAGTCTAATACTAACAGCATGAACATGCAAAACAGCACTGAACACATGATGCATGAAAATGATCAAAAATAGTACATTTGGTTGAAAAATAAAGATTAACATTTATTTAGATTTAGGATGAACCCCAACAGGGTCCTCACTTCTGTTTAAGGTCCGTTTCTATGGTTTTTAGGCAGCTGTGTCAGCAGCATAGTTCACTACCAGCATAATGAGCTCCATTTATTTCTACTGTAAAACGCTGCTTTCACTGTGAGATGATTTTCTTTTCTAACTCTGCGTTTTAAAGATCTCAGACGCTGCAGACTCGATCTCCACCGCCCCTCTGATCACCTTCGTGTGTTAATGTTGATGATGAAATATTACAGTGATGGTGGTGAATAATGAGGAGACGGAGCTGAACGTGTGTCTGTTTATTAGGAGGAGTAACGTTAGCGCGCTCGGCTAAAGCGTTTGGGAAATGGAGACTGAAACTGGGGAGCGGCGACGCTCTGATAAACAGCAGGGGGCGCTCTCACAGTATTCACAACTTACAGTTTATCACACTTTAGCTCTGTTTGACCTTTTTATATTAGTAACAGCAGCTGTCTGTCTAACTTGATTATTTTGATGATGTGTTTATGTTTCAGCTGTGTGTGTATGGTCTGTTGTTAGGCAACATACATGACAGTTGATTGTTGACTTCAATCAAGTAAGCTAAGATTTATTAACTTGAGATAAGATGCTGTAAGATAAGACTCTTAAATTAATATCAGATTTGCTTCTGTAATACAAATTTGTGAAAAATCTCATCTTGACTTGTCAGATCTTAAGACAAAAGGCCCCAGATTTATAAGCTCTGCTCATGCGGAGCCTCAAGACTCCAAAGAACTTCTCCACTACATGTTGAACAGAGTCTGAAAACACGACTCGAAACACAAAACACAGCAAAACAACAGAAGCAGGAAGTCCCTGCAGCGCCGACGCCATCTGTACAGTTTATCAAAAGATGAAAACATTCAAAACTACAGACAAAGAGTAAAGAACGACTAACAACAATGGAGTTCATTGCCTCAGATGATCAGTCGTTCTCTGCTGCCGAGCACGCCGGATTTTGTGGGACTGCAGCCTACATACATGGGTATTTATCTGATCTGCTGCAGCGATATGAGCCGAGCAGAACTCTCAAATCATTAGGAACTGGTCAGTCAGTCCTGCCGAAGGTGAAGACTAAACATGGAGAAGCAGCGTTTAGATACTTTGCTGCTCTTAAATGGACCCAGTTGACATTGAGTTGAGAGCATTAGAAGAGCCTCGACACTGGACACTTTAAATCAGCCTGAAAACGATCCTATTTTAAGCAGCTTTCAGCTCAGTTTAAACACTGTCAGCTCTACTGCACTCCTCTCCTGTAATGGTGCTCTATTATCTAACTTTAATTCTTAATCTGATTTTTAATGTTTATTTCTTCTCTTTTAAATATACTGGGCCTCATTGTCCAACATCTTCCTACGTTTCATCTTAAATGTGCTCTGGATTTTGTTGGATTTTGCTGGATTTTGTGGGACTGCAGCCTACATATGGTAATAACTTCAGTAAGTTAAGTTTAAGGAAACTGTTTTTGATCTTTTTTTTTTATTTTCTGTTTCAGCCAAGTGAGCTCCGAACGTCAGTTTCGGCTGAGGATTTTCATTTACGTGCAACACTCACTTCTACAGTGATCCTTGGTGATATATTAATGAATAATTCAGGCAAATAAAACCTGATAGGTTTGATCTCTGGCTTTCGTGCACCCTCTGCCCCTACCTTGGCATGTACATGCATATATTAGGACTGTGTTGGGGAATGAGGTGTTGGGATATCACTTACATGCATGAAAGGAGGCCTTAGCTGAGTGGGAGGGAGGGGTGAAAAGCATGTGTTCAAAAATGTGGTCGATGGAACACGATAATGATGATGATGATGATGATGATGATGATGGTGGTGGTGACGATGATGTGGAGGATCATAGGTACAAACAGAGGTAAATGAGTTGTAAAAGACGTATGAAATGGACTTGGAAAATATTGTTGCAGTCCAAATAAAACCTCAAACACTTTCTGGTAAGCATCTACATTACTGTGCAAAAGTCTCAAGGTCCCCACACACTGGACGCAACTCCCAAAACTTCGAAACCACTGTTTTTAATGAAAGTTTGGACATCAGCACTGACATATAGCATTTTGTCATTACTACATTAAACTAAAGCCAAACCAAAGAGAGCCAAAGTAGATAAAATGGGGTTGAAATGTACACAGAGGAGGGTTGTCAGTCTTTTAGATAAACAGACAAATGCTAAAATAGGGTAGTGAACTAATGCCAAATTAAAAGTTTTATTCTATTAAATTTCTTCTTTGTCTATTAAACTTCATGGTATCGATTTCTGCGCCGCTTTCTAGTAGAGCAGCTCTCGTCAGGCTGTGCGATGCTTAAGCATCTGAGCACATTATTCACGGCAAAAAGTGACGTCTTAGCAAGTGAAAACATCTTAAATGTAGGCAATATATAAAATATTTTTCATTTTGAGATTGTTATAAGAACAGTGTAAAATTAATGAACTTATTTCCAGATATTTTTTGCTTGTTTTACGTCATTTTATTTAGTGAAAGTTTCATTCCAGGGGGAGTTAATTTTACTTGTTTTGAGAAATAATGAAGATAGTTTTGCTTATTTCAATAAATGATGCTTAAAACAAGTAAAATGATCTGCGAATGGAATAAGACACTTTCATGAGATACAATTACACAAAACAAGTAAACATGTCTATAAATAAGTGAAATAATCTCACAATATTCTTACAATAATCGCATAATGAGAAATATAAGATATATCGACTAAATTTAAAATGTTTTCATTTGCTAAGATATCATGTTTTGCAGTGTTTAAAATGATTTATCTTGGCGTGCATGCACTTTTAATCACATATCATCATACAAATAAACATAAATGCAGCAGAAAGTAACAAGTTCTCAAAAAGATAACTGATATCTTGTGAGCTAGTTCGCTCAAAGTTTGACCCCACATTTTTCCTGGACGCCTCCAGCTGTTACATTTATTTGTTAAATTCCAATAGCAGCACCTGATTTACCATAAGAAAGTACTGAAAGTGGGTATTTGATGATAACTACAAACAATACTGGGCTTCCTCAATGAGAGAGCAGGAAATTGTCAAACAAACAGATTCACATACATAAAATAACTACTTACTGTAGTAATATTATTCACATACACACACGGTTGGTTGGTATGGTGTAGTGGGTAACACTTCTGCCTTCTATGCTGTAGACTGGGGTTCAAGTCCCACAAGTCCACACTATACCAATAAGAGTCCTAACACTACCTTCACCTACCTGTGTAAAATGATCAAATTGTAAGTCGCTCTGGATGAGAGTGTCTGCCAAATGCCGTAAATGCACATAAAATAACTACTTACTGTAGTAATATTGTTTGTTTTCTTTCTAATTTCAGTGTTTTTCAGAGCAAATAAACACTTACTGCCCAAAAATGGCTTTTAAAATCAAATGTTTTCTTTTGCACAGTACTGTACATAAAGTGAGGCAAGCATTGTGAATTCTGGTTGTTTTATAATTAGATCTTGTAGTCAAAAAAAATCTACATGCTTCTATTTATTGTGCTGAACAATTGTGGTTCCAATGATAGAGGGTTTTCTTTGGACAGCGACAGCAGGATAATACAGCAATACTCTTAATATCCAGCTTTCGGTTTCTCTGCACTCACCGTCAACAAAATGATCCGACTGCCACAGTCCATAGATGTTAAAGTCCAGTAGAAATCTGTCTCAGGAAGAAACAAGAAAATAGTTTCCATGTGTAAACTGATCGTCATTTATCTTTCATAATTACTGAAGTGAAAGCAGCATCCACTCACAACAGGACGTTGGATATGAACCACTTCAGGGCTGCCATCACATTGTAAAACGGCTGAGAGAAAAAAGAACATGGGATAAAAGAATGTGAATAAGATGGAAACCATTCCTGCCGCACTGATATTTAATTTGGACCTGGATAAATTTGGGTGGATAAAAGGTGTCCAACTTTTTCACTCATTCATTTTCAAAACTAAAGATTTCTGCTATTGATGTCCTTAATTGATCAATTGAAAAATTACAGATGAAATGCCCATTAGCCAATCACAACCGTCTGTAACGTTCCTTCCTGACGAGCGAATGAAAAACTTTGACAGAACTCGTCTGAACAAACCTGCAGTGAGAATGTTGGTGGCAGCAAATTAGTCAGAATTATTATATACACTGATCAGGCATAACATTATGACCACCTCCTTGTTTCTACGCTCATCGTCCATTTTATCAGCTCCACTTACTATATAGGTGCACTTTGTAGTTCTACAGTTACAGACTGTAGTCCATCTGCTTCTCTGATACTTTGTTAGCCCCCTTTTACCCTGTTCTTCAGTGGTCAGGACCCCCATGGACCCTCACAGAGCAGGTACTATTTGGGTGGTGGATCATTCTCAGCACTGCAGTAACACTGACGTGGTGGTGGTGTATTAGTGTGTGTTGTGCTGGTGTGAGTGGATCAGACACAGCAGTGCTGCTGAAGTTTGCCTGATTCACACTTTCCTGGTCTTGTTCAGTTTGTATTTCAGTCCTTAAGCTGAAAAAGTTATGGATTAAACTCTGAATCTACTATGATGTCTAATGATACACATTGTTCAGACTGGTTAGCTTATTACTTATCTTTTCTTAGCTGAGCTGCTGATAGTTATGTTGCTACATCCGTCAGATTAAACAGGACCGTACAGTGTTTCATTAAAGTTTGCTGAAAGATCTTGTGTAAAAGACGAGTTCTCTGCATCTAACGTTGCTCTGACTAGCTCCAGTGTTAGCTTTAGCATTAGCTCAACTTCCATCGCTTATTAGGCATGAAAACAAGGCTCAACCATTTCTCTGCATTAATTAATGTCAATAAAATCTGTTTTCTGTTCACTTTAAAATGATCAACAGCCACATTCTGTCAGTTCTCAAACGTAAGCCTGCACTGAACATCTTATAAAGTTATCAGTCAGTTTATTTTTGAATAATAAAATATTTTAAATACTCTCCTGTGTGTGCTTCTCAATTTTACTTTGTACTACTGAACCTACTTGCAAAATGCAAGTAACTGTAGAGGTTAGGGCTGCATGATATGAACATAAAATGCGATAACTGATAAAATTGTTGGAAAACTGTGAAAAATAAAAGTGATGAAATACTAAAAGCTGCTTACATCAGAACTCCAAGCATTTGAGCTCGTTTGAAAGACATTAATTCAGACTTTGGAGCATTTTCCGCAAAAAAATCTGCAAAGAATCCGCCTGTGACAAGTTTTGCAAAGCGGAGAAGGAGTGGAGAAGATCTTTATGGGTGGGAAGTTCAACACCATGTCATGCATCGCTCTAAACAGACTAATGAAACTAGCACTTCTGTCTGGAGGAGAAAGACAGGGAGAAAAATCCAGGAGGTTTCATTTTTTCTACTCGGCCCATGTGACCATCAGCAACATTTGCATTTGTCTTGAACACCAACAACTAGTGAGAAAAGGGGCACTAAAGTAAACAACTCACCAGGCTACAGTGGTGAGTGGAACTCATGGTCTGTTTCTCAAAGTCCTTTAGCAAACCTCAGTGATAGCAATGTAGAGGATGGTACATATACCAGAGAATTAATACTTATCTCCAAACTGAATATTCTTAAATCATGAATGTGAGCAAAACTGTCCTGCTGTACATCCCCGCGTTCACTCCCCTCGTGTTCAGCTGTACCCGCCCTCTTTTTTGATTGGTTACCTCATAAAAAGCGACACCAGGAGCAGAGCTTATTGGTTTAAGCTGAACATTTTTCAACTTGAAAATTACTGAAAATAAGCACAGTGAATCTGGCATTTTGGGCAGAATATGCTTCGCTGTCTGAACGCAGCCTAACAGTACATTCACATTAGGAGGCAACAAGCCGCTGATATTGCCTCAACTTTGTCTCTCGTGGGTGTGTTCGAGGCTGCTCTGGTTCTCATGGCTGGGTGTGTACACTGTTGAGCTGTTTGTTTAAAATGTGAACTGTTATAAGTTAGATGAACTGTTATGATTTTACAAGTTTATACATTTTCCTTCCATTTTTTGCATGATACTATTGAGAACGGGAACAAAATGCCAGTATACAGATTTGTTTGAGCTAACCACTTAAATAGTCACATCACTGCATGTTTAATCCTATCTTTAGGAGATCGCAAGCTCGATCCCTGATGATGCCACAGCCATTTGTGGCCGGCAGGGAGTTCAAGAGAGCACAGTTGTCCTTGCTGGGTGGGGAGGATGGCCCCCTCGTCTCCCCCATCACCCAGAGCGATGCTAGGGAATGCAGGCATCTGTGGTGGCTCCCACAGCGCATTCGGCTGTCCAATGACGTTGCATTAGCGGCAGTCTGAAAAGATGTGATGGTGCTTCACAGGACTCGGAGGAAGCCTGTGTTAGCCTTCACCCTCCTAGCTCTGGTGGTATCTTGTGATTGGGGGAGTCCTAACTAGTAGGTGGAATTGGAAATAAACTAAATTAAACCCCCCAAAAAAATATACGAAGAAAATTTCCACTCGTCGTTTGTCACTCTTCTGCCAGGTCGCTTGCCACTAAATTGCGGCTACAAATCGCGTACTCACACATGAAATGACCGGACGCTTGACGCTAGTGTGAACGTACAGTAAGGCTCAACAAGGGCATGCAGTGTCACTGATGTGAAGTGCTGCAATTATAAAACTTCAAAAGCGAATTTACTTCTAACAGCGCCCCCTTATGGAGAATTTGTAGCTTGTGAGATGTGAGTGAGCTCCATGAAGTGCTTCAGTCTGAAAACAGTCAGAATTCCCTGAACAGCTTCTTATTTTTTGTGTATGCTGTGAGGCTACAAATGCAAATTAATATGTATATTTTTCAATAAAGAAAATGTTTATATCAAATTCTTTCAAAAGCTCCTTATGATGATGCAGATTTGTTGTGAGAGTGGCCATGTATGTCAGGTACGCCACTGATGTCTATGCATTTTACACACTGAGAGTGAGAACAGTCGTCACGTTTTAAGCATTTTTACAGGCCAGGAGTTCAGAATAAAGCAGTTTATGTAGCTGTGAATGTGTCTTGTAATCGGATATTTAGCCAAACGGTTAGGGGCTTAAGCTCAGTGCAGGGAATCAACTACAAAGCTCGCTCCAATCTGCTCTGTCAATGCAGCCTGTGATGTTTATCGCAATAATGTCACAAAAATACAATTTATCATGCAGCTCTAATAGAAAAAAGTGCTTTAAATCAGAAGGTGAAGTGCATAAAAAGCTGAACTTTGGTGAGTCTAATGTATTTGCTGAGTCTCAGTGCTGTGAGTGGATTAGATACATACGCTGAGAAGTGGACGAGCGCTGCTGGCCGAATGTGGATTCACTTTACACATGGCCTGATAATCATACAGAGAAATCCTGTGGAAACAAACACATACGGATCATTCACCAGTTCAGCTGAAGGTCTGTGACCGGACACAGTACCTTATAGGTTTACTATACAGGTGTACAGTTACAGACTGTAACCCACCTGTTGACAACCCCTCTATTCCACTCATCCTTGGTTAGTTTCTGAACACAGGGCTGCTGTTGTCCAGGTATTACATGGGTGGTGCTCCATTCTCAGCATACCAAAGACACTAACATGGTAGTTTGTGTGGTGATCAGCAGTGTTGATGGAGTTTTTACACACGTCCGTGTTACTGCTAGGTTGAGAGTGGACCACCACCAAAAATGTCCAGTCTAGAGTGGCTCTGTGGCCAGAAAGTGATAATTGATGAAGGACTAGAGGATGTCTGGCACAACGTCTGCACAGCAGCAGCCTCTAATGCCGCTTTTACACGCTGACAGTAAAGGGTTGACAGCAAGCCAGACATTCCATTGTTTTCAATGGAGATGCATTGTAAAATTGTGCCGCCACTGTCACCATGGCAACAATTTCATGTTTGCATGCCATTGTCGGTCATGTACTGCTGTGAGGCATTTAATTTTTTTTTTCCCAATGCCTACATGCAAACACAGCAAAACTGGACACCAGAAAGTTGGGTGTTTCTAATAAAAAGGACAGATGTACAACACGGACATACAAGCTTGCTGTTTCTAATAAAGCAGCCAGACATATAAGGTTGGGGTTTCTAATAAAGTGGCCAGACATACAACATGGGCATACAAGGCTGGGGTTTCTATTAAAGTGGCCAGACATACAACACAGACACACAAGGTGAATGTTTCTAATAAAGCAGCCAGACAGATAATACAGACATACAAGGTTGCTGTTTCTAATAAAGTGGCCAGACATACAACACAAGCATAGAAGGCTGGGGTTTTTATTAAAGTGGCCAGAGATACAACACAGACACCCAAGGTGGATGTTTCTAATAAACTGGCCAGACATACAAGGTTGAAGTTTCTAATAAAGTGGCCAGACATACAAGGTTGAAGTTTCTAATAAAGTGGCCAGACATACAACACAAACATACAAGGCTGGGGTTTCTCTTAAAGCGGCCAGACATACAACACAAATTTAAAAGGCTGGTGTTTCTAATACACAGGCCAGACATACAAGGTTGGTGATTCTGATAAAGTGGCCAGTCAAATATCAGACATCTGATATAAGGGTTTCAATTAAACTGGCCAGACATACAACACAGACAAGGCTGGGGTTTCTCTTAAAGTGGCCAGACTTACAAGTGGCCAAACATACGACACAGACATAATAGGTTAGTGTTTCTAATAAAGTGGCCAGAGATACAAGGTTGGGGTTTCTAATAAAGTAGCCAGACATATATCAGACATCTGATGTAGGGGTTTCTATTAAACTGGCCAGACATATTACACTTACATACAAGGTTGCCGTTTCTAATAAAGTGGCCGGACATACAAGATTGGGGTTTCTGTTAACCCCTGAAAATCCCAGGCTGTTTACATACTAAAGCTTATTATTCAGTAACTACAGGCACTTCAGGGCTACCTGGTTGTGCTATTCTTATGTTATAGAAGTGTGTAATAAGGGGTTACAGTAGCTGGTGAGGATATACTGCCATACCTTTTAAACATGCCCATTCGCAGCAGCTGAGACATCACCGACCCATCAATTTCGCCAAAAAATCTGCCAACCTGCAAAAAAAGAGCACACAAATCCTTTAGTAATCTAACATGGAGATTAATTTAGCTTTATTAGTTTGACGCTACAACGTTTCCCCCTGCTGGGCTGACCTGAGGGAACCGCGGCCCAGTTAGCTTACAGCTGTATGACTACTGCAGTTTGAATGCTTTAGCAGCGGCAAAGTTGCCTGCACTTTTTTGACGAAATGGAAAAGTTGAAATGGCTGGTTTCAGTCGAGCTGTCGCTGCTCACAGAAGCTGCACAGCAGCACACACAAGTGAGTAAATTATTCAGCTCACCCAGCATTCCCTCCCTTCATACTGCACCGCGCCATGACACACTACTCTAACTCACTCTCTCTCCGTTATCCTGCGCTTCCTCTCTCGCCCCTCCTTTCTCTCATCAGTCTTCTTTCCCCTGCTCTTCTACTTCTTCTCCTTTCTACTTTCTGTCTTGCTCTTTCTTTGCCCTCTCTTCTGTCTTATCACCCACAAACACTGCGGCAGTCACGCAGAGCAGCACAAATGCATTAATGCATTTCTAAAGCATGCTTTAAGCAAAAAACCCTCAGCAAGGACTGTTTTACTGATGCTTTTCAGAGTTTGCAACCTATTTCCTGTTAAAGTACAACCACTGCTGCTCCAGTTGGGATGAAATATTTACTAGACATTGTGATGCAGCTAGACCACCATCCGACCAGTATGGCAAAAGTACGTGGACACCTGACCATCACACCTATATGCTTGTTGGAAATCCCATTTCAAAACCGTGGGCATTGATATAGAGTTGTCCCCCCGTCTGCAATTATAACAGCCTCCACTCTGCTGGGAAGGCTTTCCACAAGATGCTGGAGTGTGTCTGAGGGAATCTGTGCCCATTCCACTGCCAGTGTTTGTCTATGGAGACCGCACGGCTGATGCTTGATTTTATACGCCTGTTAGCAGTGTGAGAAATACCCCCTGGTATTTGTGGGGTCCCATGTTGTCTGGCTACTCCAGTGCTGACTGGCTGCTAACTCACTCACCATAGTGGCGCTGACGCTGTAGAGTCTCTGTTCTAGTGTGGTTCTGCGCTCTTCCTCACATTAACCGAGATACTTATCTCCTCTCTGATACTCATCTCCTCTTCTGTCTTCAGTTTGAGGAAGGAGTAACAGTCACTCTTTACAGCAAATCCGTGAGTGAGTTTTCAGATTTGCAAATACTCCATGGCATTTTGTACAGTTTTCAGAGGTCTCTCGGGCATAGTTATGCTATAAAAGACCAACTGGGAGAACCAGTTTGCAACAGCCCCAGCGCCAATACCAAAGACAGACATCATTTTGTGAATGAAGCAGGTTAACGATAACCGTTTGCATTTGACCAACTGTTTTTTCCCTAATACTTCCCAATATTCTTCTTTACCTTCATATTTCATAAGCTACATTCTAAAGGTGGGGGTCGTATGGGAGCTGTAACTGTCTTCTTTCCAGTCAAACAGATGGGTGATGTCATTTTAAACCCTTATAATAAAAGAAGCTGAACTCACAATTTTTTTTCTACTGAAAGTCGACCCATTTTTCACAAATCTGGGCTATAAACTATAAACAGATGGCGTCTCTTCAGTGATCTGCTCTGTAAACGTTATTTTTATAAAATAATACAAAGAGCGTCTAAGATTTTTGGCTTTCAGCAGTAAATTAAGTAAGCATATAGAAATGTATGTATGATCATAAAACATATGTTCTGTTAATTTGAGGGGAGTTTTTACAAAAAACTAAATAAAATAAAAAAATACATCTATTTCATGCAGTTACTGAATAATTTGCCTTACGATTTGGTCATGTAAATTCAGATGGAACAACCAAAACATACCCTGGTCAACAAAAAAAATAAATAAATAAAAATCAAATGGAAAAAAAGCAAATCATTTTACATGATGTCATTGGTCATGTCACTTATACACGGCTTATAATTTCAGCACCTTTAACATAAAACAGCCTCCCTGTATGGTGACTTCGACTGACGAGTGCAGATGATTTTGCATTACTGTACATTTGCAGTGAGCAGGCTGCAACTTCTCTACAGCCCGCAGTCTCAACACCTCCACTCACACATGCTCCTGTATTACCTTACAGCACTCACACATGCACACATTTCTGAGATGGTGCAAGGCCACACACCTCATTCCTTTCTTTGGAGATGACGATGAAGCCGTTGCTGTCAATGACGTAACAGTTGAGGTCCTAATAAGGGAGAGAGAGCAAGAGAGAGACAGAGAGAGAGAGAGAATCCTGTTATCTCCTGTTTATCTTCATTGTGTCTTTATGAACAACTTGGTAGAACATTTTTCACAGAGGTTTACAGTTATGGTTGTGCTGTATAAGGATAAGTTATACTGCTGTATCTAACAATGATGGTGGTATTTAAAAATATATATAAAACAATATTTCAAAGATATGAAATGTCAAATTTCTAATCCACATCTGAATCACTAAATAAACTCATTTAACCGTTATAGATTTTAAAGCAGGAGTGTCCAATCTTATCTACAAATGGCCAGTGTGGTTGCAGGTTATCATTCCAACACAGCAGGAGCTCAAATGATCAGTTGCTGAAGACGGAGAACAACTGATTAAACAAGCACATCTGCAGTCACACGGCCCTTTGCGGATGAGACTGGACACCACTGTTTTAGAGGGTCACTGACTGGGGGTGTGGGAGCTCACCAATAGATGGCGCTGATAGAAAGAGGGGAAAAATCAGAGGCAGGAAAAACCTCAGAAAAACTAAGCATGATAGCGGCTCAGGGACAGCTTAGACTTCCACTAACCGCAGAACGTATTTGATTTCACTCTAAACGCCGTAACACTGAACATGTCATGAATAAACAACATTAAAATGTGAAATATTTAGACGTTTTTGGGACGTGATGCAATTTTTTAGAATTGTGCTGTGTTGCTCTCCTTGCAAATAAGAAAAAACAAACATCCAGACACCTGTCAAAAAGATATCCTTTGTTTGTCATGAAACAGGTGAACTATTATACTATTATACTGCTTTTGGAAAAGTGAAAGGAGAAGGGAGAGTTTCTCCGCCTCATTCAGGAGCTGAAACGTTGCTGCTTTTAAGAGATGCAGTTCCACACGAGACGAAGCACAAAACAGGCCGAATGTCTTCAAGTGCAAGTAAGATCTCCTTCACTCCTCATAGTACGACAAAACAACGACACTGGGCCATTTTTGGAAAAGTGAAAGGAGCACAGAGAGATTTATCACGTCATTCAGCGACTGAAACTTTGAGCTCATCCACACATAACTTGGATGTTCATTGCCCCGTTTGAGCTGCTTTTGGAGAGACTCTGATGTAATGTTTGCAAAAAAAGTTCCAGCTGGAATAGAATATGTTCTGTGGTGAGCAGAGCTGTTATCATCCTAGCTGAGTTTACATTTACATTTTGGCAGACGCTCCTATTCAGATTGGCTTACAATTTGATCATTTTTACAAAGGAAGGCCAAAGCAGTATGTTTACATGCACTCAATAATCCGATCAGAATAGGATTTTTGTATTTAATTACTGATTATTCAAATGGTCACATAAACAGCACACTCCATTTTCTTAGACTGGAGTAAGGTCTAGAAATCCGATTAGGAAATCCGATAAGGAGAGCTGGATTTTAGCCCAGTAATCAGATTACTCAGTGCATGTAAACTCTTACCAAGCAGCGTCACAGTGAAATGCAGCAGAACACTTTTGGAGCAACGCTGAAACCAAATACATGCTTGATGAAATTAAGAATTAAAATATTTTATTTACGTCTCATCTTCTTTTGTGAGATTATTGGCTGGTTGCAAAGCAAAAATCCGATTACTGTCTGACTCACATAGGCCCGGAGTTTTCCCATTATCTGATTACCCAAGTGCATGTAAACGCATTGATTGGATTACTGACAAAATCTGGTTTTCTGCAGTTATCAGATTATTAAGTGCTTGTAAACGCACTAACTGTTAGGAGTCTTGCCCAAGGACTCTCAATGGTATAGCAAAGGGTGCTTGCCCAGGTGGGCGATCAAACCCTGGTCTACAGTGCGCCAGGCAGAGGTGTTACTCACTGCACTATACCAAACACACTGTCCCCAAATAAGTTAATGCTAACCAGCTCCTCTCTCCTTAGCATTTGTTAGATGGTTTGACATTTATTGAATGAAGGTTTGATAACTGTGCACTTTGTTCACTCATTTGGAGACTACAGCAAACTACACTTACTGATTTTTTTCTTATCTTGTAGTAACACAGGCTGAGTCTTTATAGATGCTTTTACACAACTTACCTTGGTATTAAAACTATATACAGTAGAGTTAAAGGAGCAGCTCTTACCATATTGTTAGTACAGCTCAGTGGACACAGGCCATCTACTCCTGCACACTGAATGAGGTGTGTGAGAGAGAAAGAGAGAGAGAAGGTTTAGAACATATAACAACCTGTGCATTTCTAAGAAACATGGACAAGAATAAACCGATTAGTCATAACATTCTGACCACCTCCTTGTTTCTACGCTCATTGTCCATTTTATCAGCTCCACTTACTATATAGGTGCACTTTGTAGTTCTACAGTTACAGACTGTAGTCCATCTGTTTCTCTGATACTTTGTTAGCCCCCTTTTACCCTGTTCTTCAGTGGTCAGGACCCCCATGGACCCTCACAGAGCAGGTACTATCTGGGTGGTGGATCATTCTCAGCACTGCAGTAACACTGACATGGTGGTGGTGGTGCGTTAGTGTGTTGTGCTGGTGCGAGTGGATCAGACACAGCAGTGCTGCTGGAGTTTTTAAACACTGTGTCCACTCACTGTCCACTCTATTAGACACTCCTACCTTGTTGGTCCACCTTGTAGATGTAAAGTCAGAGACGATAGCTCATCTGCTGCTGCACAGTTTGTGTTGGTCATCCTCTAGTCCTTCATCAGTGGTCACAGGACGCTGCCCACAGGACGCTGTTGGCTGGATATTTTTGGTTGGTGGACTATTCTCAGTCCAGCAGCGACACTGAGGTGTTTAAAACTCCAGCAGCACTGCTGTGTCTGATCCACTCGCACTAGCACAACACACACTAACACACCACCACTACATCAGTGCTGAGAATGATGCACTACCCAAATAGTACCTGCTCTGTGAGGGTCCATGGGGGTCCTGAGTGGAGCTGATAAAATGGACAATGAGTGTAGAAACAAGGAGGTGGTCAGAACGTTATGCCTGATCGGTTTACATCAAAATCTATTTTGATACAAAATTTCTCCAAAACAACAACAACAAGTGTACTGAACTAAAATGCAGCATAGGTCAATATGGCTAAAACATACAACCGATACTGCTGTATGACATCAGTACCAGAATACTATATTACATGATGAATCACCCAGCACTAATTCCACATTCTCACACAGACTCAGTCCAGGAATTCACTGATGGCTTATACCTCAGAGTTTACAGCTATATACTTTACACGCTTTACATTTGTTTGATATGCTGCGAGTGTATGTGTCAGTAATCTAATGAGATTACCCGTCTCATGGATTCTATCAACACATACTTGTTGAGCAGCTATGAGTCAGGCTGGCTTCTGAGTCAACAAGCAACGCTGAATGCTATTGTGATGACATTATTTTCCAGATGGGAAATAATAGCGTTCACTTACATCTGTATCGTTGGGCTGTGTCCAATGCGGCAGGAATGAATGGAGGAGAGAGTGGGAGAAAGATGAATGGGTTAGCAAACAAATTTACTTTGATTTATGTGCTAATATGACCAACCAAAACCATCAAAATCCCCCGTTACTCAATTAAACTGCTGCATTTGTCAGACTGTGTGAGGCTGTGTGGGCACTAGTCCCTTTGTGTTCTGATAATGAGTATTTCTGGCCGTTTGTGATGAATTATGTTATTAGTTCGCCTCCAGCTGTGTCCTACCGATGCAGTGCCACTTATGCACTCGTTCCTTCCTTGGCCAGCTGGAGATATGATGCCACGCTGCCGTTATCACCATCAAATCCATCACTGCTCTACTAATGTCCTTCACTACTCAGACAGACATGCAGCGCTCACCACTGTAAACTAACCATCTAAATCCAGGCCTATTCTACATGACTAGGGGATGTGCACGGGTGCTCGAGTACTCGGTTAACTATTTGAAAGGCCAGTTTCTGAATAATGAAATCGCTATTCAGGTGCTTCTTTTCATTTCATTCTGTGTTTCATCATCCAAAGATGGAGAAAATATACACACAACAACTCAATGCAACACCAACTTTATGCTCAGAACTGTAAAAGGTGAAGGTTTTGCTCATATCTGCAAGTAAGTATGTATATTATTCTGTGCTACAATAAAACATGAGTGCTTTAACATGGGTGCATTGCCAAGGATGCATTGTTAAGAATGTGCACTGCAAAAAATGTTATTGTCAAGTAAAATTATCTCAAATACAATCAAGAAATCCAATATTTCTCCTGCTGAGATTGTTGTAAGCTTAATTTAAAATAATTTTCCGTATTTCTGGACATTTTCTAGTCATTTTAGGTCATTTTATCATGTAAAAGTATCTCACTATACTGGCAGATCATTTGGCTTGTTTTAGGAAATGTGCTTGAAACCAGAAAAACGATCTGCCAGAATAGTGAGATAATTTTATTTGATAAAAATACCTAAAACAGGTAAGTAATTTCTGGAAATAAGCTAGATAATCTTATAAACCATCTCAAAATGGTTGTGCACTTATTATTATTTTATTAAAGCTAATAAAATATTAGATATATTAACTAGACTTAAGATCATTTCACCTGATAAGATACTATTTTTTGCAGTGTGACAAAGAAGGCAGTGGCTTTCGCAGCCAAGTAAGCTAAGCTCATGTTCCAGTAACAGTTAAAATACATATTAGCTGTAGTTTTAGCTCATTCGCTCCTCCGAGGCTCTATTATGTTACGCATGTGCCTTGAATTTCTTTAAAAATCTACAAAGTATTAATCAACGTAAATGCTTAACCTTCAGAAAATGTTATTCTTCCACCTCAGGCTGTCAATTCAGACTATATGAGCTGTTTTCACCATAAATGACTGAATAACAGGGCTGAACATAGAGATCATATTTCCCATTAAGCTGATATTAATGCAGTAAAAACATAAAGTATGCAACATGGAGCACAAGGGAAAGTCGAAAAATTGTTTTAATCAAAATGTTTTCATCGAAATCTGTGTTTCAAGCCATTTGCATTTCATTTTCTTTTACAATTGTTAAAACAGGGCTGCTAATTTACATAAAACAAGCAGCATTCAGCAGCAGTTAGTTTGACAGGGTGCACATGTTGCATGCTAGCTACTAATAATTATATAGTTTATACAAATTAAAAAATAAATATATATGCTATAACTTTGGCAACAGGCTTGAATTATTAAGTTTTGCTCATGCAGCCAAATCAGTGTTCTGTGTGTAAACTGAGAAAATAGAAAACATTCTGGAGAAAACAACAAGATGCTGTAAATTCCTATATACAACATAATAAACGGAACGTTCCGTTTTTATGAGGGGGAACAGGTTTGGGTAACAGGGTTGCTCATAAAATGTGGGACACATTAAATGACTTAAGCTGTGTCCCAAAATTATTCTTTTAACATTAAACTGCTCTTTTTGCTCATGGACCCTCACAGAGCAGGTACTATTTGGGTGGTGGGTCATTCTCAGCACTGCAGTAACACTGATGTGGTGGTGGTGTGTTAGTGTGTGTTGTGCTGGTCTGAGTGGATCAGACACAGCAGTGCTGCTGGAGTTTTTAAACACCTCAGTGTCACTGCTGGACTGAGAATAGTCCATCAACCAAAAATATCCAGCCAACAGCGTCCTGTGGGCAGCGTCCTGTGACCACTGATGAAGGACTAGAGGATGACCAACACAAACTATGCTGACACACATGAGCTGCTGTCTCTGACTTTACATCTACAAGGTGGACCAACAAGGTAATAGAGTGGACAATAAGTGGAGCAGCTGTGTCAGTGTTACTGCAGTGCTGAGAATGATCCACCACCCAAATAGTACCTGCTCTGTGAGGGTCCATGGGGGTCCTGACCACTGAAGAACAGGGTAAAAGGGGGCTAACAAAGTATGCAGAGAAACAGATGGACTACAGTCTGTAATTGTAGAACTACAATGTGCTGATAAAATGGACAATGAGCACAAAAACAAGGAGGTGATCATAATGTTACACACACACACATATATTTATATATATATATATATATATATATATATATATATATATATATATATATATATGTATACGACCCCCATGTCCTGACACCACAGCTGGATAAAAACAACCTAACTGGATGTTGAGCTGTGAGGATAATAAATGATCCAGTGTGTGTTTGTGTGTGTGTGAGAGAGTAAGAGAGAGAGAGAGAGAGAGAGAGAGAGAGTAGAGGGCTGGAGTGGTTAATTTGGGCCTCAGGGTTTAAAGCAGGTTTAAATAAAGCTGGCAGCTGTCAGAGATGTGGCGGCTTATGTAAGGCAGCCTGAGACTGAATGGAGTGGAGCTGCATATTCACTCTCTAACAGACTGCTCCTCACTACTCCTCTGCTGTGCTGTGGCTTTGCACGTGTCAGAGACGCTATTCTCAAATCAGTAAATGACCATCAAAGAGCAAATAAAGGCCAACTCAAAGAAAGAGTATTAGGCACTATATATATGAGAGAGAGAGAGAGTGAGAGGGGTGGGGGCGGTAGTAATGGTCTTTAGTGTTGTGATCTTGCACCGACAACTGGTGCCACTATTTTCTTCCATGCTTAACATTTTTACTCTCCTGCTAGTGTAGCTACTCGGTGAGCAAAGGCATTCTTCACCAAAGGCCTGCGAAAAGGGGGAAAGAGTGAGTGTGTACATGTACACAAATATACACAGATGAAGCAAAAGATTATGATTATGATTATCACAGAAGCAAATATCGTCGATTATCTCAAAACAGCAGTGCATGTGAAGGTCTGGGACATATTAGAAGGTAAGCAAACAGTCGATTCTCACAGATGATTTGTTGGATGTGGGAGAAATGGGCAGGTGTGAAGACCTGAAAGACACTGGAGGCAAAGGGCCGAATCGTTATGGCCACATGACTGGATCGGAGTATCTCAGAAACAGAAAGGCTCATGGGATGCTCCTGGTCAGCAGTGGTGAGCACCTACCAACTGGAGGTCCAAAAAGGGATAAACCACAAACTGGAGACAGGGTTTTGGGCGCCTAAGGCTCACTGATGCATGAGGGCTATGAAAGCTCTCCCTTCTGGTCCGAACCGACAGGAGAGCTACTCTGACACAGGTCACAGAAATGCTTATTGATGGTTGCAGAAGGAAAGTGTCACAACACACAGTGCAGCACACCCTGCTGCGTATGGGGCTGGGTAGCTGTAGACCAGCCAGAGTGCCCATGTTGACCCATGTCCACCGTCAAAAGCTTCCAAAATGAGCAAGCAAGCATTGGAACTGGAGCTTGGAGCGATGGAAGAAGGTCGCCTGAACATCTGTGGGATGTGTTGAAACGCAATTCACAAGACTTAAAGGATCTGCTGCAGACGTCTCGGTCTTGTAGAGTCCATGCCTTGGTGGGCTGAAACTGTTTTGGTGCCACACAATGATTGGTCATAATGCTTTGGGTCACTGTGTATAAGTGTGGGCAATATGATAAAATGTTATCATTATCATTATTAGCCTTTCTAGAACACTGAACAACTTCATGGATCATAAAACAGAAATTCAGACCAATTATAGTGAGCCTGTAAACAACAATGACCAAAGTAGGTCTATCTGTTCAGAAATACACTAATGTTAAAATAAACAGAAGCAGCATTAATACAAGTAGAGATTTTACACCTGTCAGTGTCTTCATTTAAGCACCTCTTCTCACAGCAGCCCAATATTACTTATCACCCAACACCTGCTTTGGCTAATCAATACTCCATTAAATTAAAGTCAGTGTGCTGCTGATGGAATTTAAGAAATCTGTGTGGCTGGAGTGCAGAGAGACGTCAGAAGCCAAAGCGCAGAGTAGCACTTGGATAGTCCTCTTTAGATGCTTTGTAGATACTTAATTTACTTTCAAGTAACATTCAACTAAATATCTACTAAATTGACCATAAGGCCCAAAACATACTTCACAAAAGGACGCAAATGCAAATAACAGCGCTCGTTCAACGCACTGCAAACTCTCAGTCCTGCAGTACAAACTCACTGTGCGTTATTACGTTGCTGTGGCGGTTAAAACACTCAGTACTGAAGGGGGCGATAGAGTACAGATCAGAGAGGGATCTACTGTTATTCCAGTAGCCTCAACGGCTAAATGTGGGCAGTAGAGGAGAGTGAGCTGCTTTACCTCTTCTCTTGAAATGTAAATACGATAATGTATGATATTTTTATGTTTATGTAAGCCGTCTTTGCGTGAGACTCAACTGCTCGTCTGCTATGGCAGTTGAGAAAGCACGCTGGCGGTGCGAGACCGCTTGGTCATGCTTGGCTGTCGTTATAGTGCCCCCTGCTGTAACGCTCAGATTGCAGCTTCCGTTTGCGTCGTGTTATAAAATGCGTCGTGAAACATTTTTCAATGCAACTACGCGCAAAACGCCGTCTGCGTAGCTCGAAGCGTCTGCGTTTGTGTCCTTGCGTGAAATATGTTTCGGTCCTAATTTTCTTTAACTCTAAACCTGGCTTTAATCCTAGCCCTAACTTTAACCTCAACCTAAGACCTAAACCCAACCCTCACCCTGGTCCTAGCCCAAACCTTGGTCCAAATCCTAACCCTAACCCCTCACTGTTTAGAATCAACAGAGTTTCAACAGATAGTTTGTTAACAATGTGAACATCTGTAGAGAATCTATAGGGGACTACAGTGGACTATCCAAATAAAGTGAGACCAAGTTCTGTTCTTATAACCAGCTCAAAAGATATCAACTACTTTTCTGGAAACTAGACTTGTGTTAATTATAACTGTATTTATGTTTATTTGTATTTATTCTAATGATAGATGGTGTTCCTCCTGGAAGAAGCACACGTATGGTTGAGATAAAAGCTTAGGTGCCTAAAACTTTTGCACAGTACTGCAAATGACAAACACTTTATTAAAGATCTCTATAATCTGCCCTGAGGACAAGCATCCAGGAGTAGATACTGACTACTGATTGGTGCTCCTGGCTACATCATTTCACATTTTGGCCAATAAAAATGCAGAGCCTCTTGCCTGAGTGGGCACCTGCTTTGGAGATTTGGCGACCAGGACCCTTTCTGTGTGGAGTTTGCCTGTTCTCCCCGTGTCTGCATGGGTTTCCTCCAGGTACTCCAGTTTCCTCCCACAGTCCAAAGATTGGACTTGCTAAATTGCCCCTAGGTGTGAATGTGTATGTATGTCTGTCTGCCTTGCGATGGACTGGCGACCTGTCCAGGGTGTATCCTGCCTTCCGCCCAACGACAGCTGGGATAGGCTCCAGCACCCCACCGCAACCCAGAAGGATAAGCTATTAGTTAAATGTGTACTCAATTACTAAGTACTTAATTGGTAACTAATGCTTATTGATTACTTTATTAATAAATAAATAATGAGTATCTAATGACATATTAGCAGATAATTCTTAAATATTTGCGACCCTCAATGTAAAGTGTTACCAATGAACCTAATAACACAGCGTAGATCAGATGATATCAGAACGGCCCAGTTCAGCAGGGGGACGGTCACCACAACAGCAATTTTCCTAATAATATACAATTTCAAGACATACTACTTTATCAATACCTGACTGCCGTTTGGTACTAAAGCATGCCTGTTGATTGTAAATGCAACATATACATGGTAAATAAGTTGCTATTATTCTGGCTACAAATTTCTAAATTTTGGCCGAGTTAGATTCAGTGGGTTGGTACCCTGTGAACATTTTTACATCTCTCGACCTCTGCTTCTGCTTCCCCTTCTCTTTGTTCACAGAGGTCTTCTAGCAGTCTTCAGAGGTTTGTCTGTTAACCAGCAGTTAATTCCTCAAGCATAAACAAAGTGAACCTGAGGCCAACAATTACAAACGTTCTTATACTCTGAATACAGTGCTGTGGTGTACAGTGTTCTGTTCATTAAAAAACCCCATTGGACCAAATGGTGACCATGACATCAGTGCATTGAGACTGATGACATATGGCACCCGCCAGAGCAAGCCATCAGTCAGAGTCAGGATCCAATGACACAAAAGTGGTGACACTTGCTGACACTTAGCTGTGGTGCGAAACATGCCAGAAACAATGCCAAATTCATTCATAATAGATAATAAATAATAAATGCAACATAAATACATATAATATTAAACAGTGCTTATGTTAGGATTAGTAGGAGTTATGGTATGGCCTGAATTTTAGAAGGTTCAGTGACACTTTGCAGGACTGTATGTCAATTTTTGGAGCATGTAGCACTGTTGTTATAAAACATGCAATTGTAGCACTAAGGCCCAGTCCCATTTCTTCTTTTTACCCCTACCCCTTGTTTTCGAGTGTCACCCTAACCCCTTGGAACTGAGTTACAGGGTAGTGGTTGAAGTCTTCCCTCTGAAATGGACTCTCAAATAAAAAGAGCATCACTTCATTAACAGCTACCAGCGCTGCTCTGTAGGAGACCCTGCCAGTCTGCAGTGACAGCAGAGGAGGGTAAAGTTCAGCTCCTCACTGCTGGGCTTTAGTTACATTTAGGGCATCATATGATCTTCAAAGAGGGGGGCAATTATTTATTATCGCCCACCCCTAATTCTTCAGTGATATGAAGCTGAAGTCAGATATTCACCAGCTTCTTGTTCGAATTTTCCCGTTCCACCTTAAATGGAGCAGCAGTTACATTCTGGAGTTCAGGCGTCAGAACTGCTGGACTATTTAAGGTGGATTGGGAAAGTTAGCTAGCTAGCTACTGAGACATAGCATGCTATTAGCGGTTTTTTATGCTTGTGAAGAAAATAACCATAATACTTTGAAATGACATTAAACTAAGATAAAACAATGATTACTGTAATTTTTCAACAGAGAAAATTCTCACATTTGTGTGTTTCTTTGGTCTCTTGTTCTCCATCTTGCTGGTTTTTCTTTTTTTCTCATAACTCTCTGTTTGGAGTGTCTGAAAAACCTCCGTTTGGAGGGTCATGTAGCCCCAACACTTCACCCTCCCCCTCTATCTCAACAAGAATCGGGACACCCTACCCCTAGACGTGAACACGCAAAACAGAGGGCTAAGGGCTCAGTGGTAGGGGCGAGGGGTGAAATGTGATTGGGCCTGCGACTCAAGTCAATAAGTGAAATAAATTATCAGATAGGTTTGTATTTTAATGCTCATTTAGGTAAATAAACAGTTCATAATTCATTTTCTCCACAATAACTCAGTTTACTATTAGCAGTCAAGAAGTGTTTTTCTGCATCTCTGAGTGCGAGAAAACCCACACCAGCAGTTATGCATGTATGGCTGAAGTCATAAATGTGAAAATAGGAAACTGAACAGTTTAGATTCACTGTAATTTAATATGTGATTTTTAATTTAACCAGTTTATTCTAAAAAAACAGCATAAATATAATACATAGGCTAGCAAAGGCAGCAGGAGGCGCCTTAGCTTTCGAATCCTGAGACACGTTTAGAGGATTTATACTTTTCAACAGGCAAACTGTAAAATCCCAAATCATGGTTGCCTTTAAAATTGACATTGACTGCAAAAGTTAACTAAGCATGCTGCATCATTCCTGTAACATCGTCCCCAAAAACAGGAGTCTCCTTTTCCAAGTGGTCCTTTGGAAATTGTAATGAGCCTAAATCAGTTTTAAATGTGGATACAACAGCGACTAACACAAGAACATGTGCTATTGCAGGTGCTACCTGAGCTGTGACGGCCCAAAACCTCTTCTCCAACATCTCCAGAGACATCTGCACTCCAACAGCTATGTTTAAAGAAAGAAAGAAAGAAAGATAGCAACTGAGTCTCATGGGTTACTCTTATTTAATTAAGTTTCAATAAGTAAAACATTACCTTGATCATCAAACGATTAAAATAATTAATGACGATCGTAATTGTCTTATTAATTCAAATTTGACTCTAAGAAAAATTTTCTCCATTTTAAAAGCAGTGCAGTTTGTTATACCTGTATAAGTTGACAAAATAAGCTTCATCAGAATGTATTTATTATTTTCAGCAAATCAATAACATTATTTTCACTGTGTAAATGCAGAGCATGAACATTAAAAACACATGAACACTGGGTGGACATGAAAATGAGGTGAACGCGATTTCCAAAACTAGGAGATGGAAAATGGAGCCACTGTTCCTCTCACTGGACAGTGAGGAACAGTGGCTTCTTATTCCATCTCCTAGTAAGTATTCATTTATCTAGCATGTCTACAAACAACTGACGTTACGCCAAAGTGCTTCACACAGTTGAAAGATTAAAAGGAAAATAGTTAAAGTTAAAATAGTTAAAACAGAAGAAAAACAACAGACAACGTTAAAACCAAGGAAGAGGTTAGAGAAATGAAGACTAAAAGCAAGGAGGAAGGGAAACACTAACCATACAACTCTCACATCACCTGTTTTCCAAAACCATAAGACATAAAAACGTTTTGAGCTCCGACTTGAAGGCCTGGAAGGAAGGCACATGTCTGATCTTGATGTGGAGGTTGAATCAGGGCAACTGAAAGAGCTCAGTCACCCATTAGCTTCTGTGAATGGGGAACCCTGATGAGAAGCTGACCTGAAGATCTCAGGGCTCTCGACAGCAAATAAGATGAAACAAGTCTGATATGTAAATTGGGTCCAGCTGTTTGAGTGTTTTTAAAACACATAAAACCCTAAACTGGATTCCAAATTGAACTGGAAGCCAATAAAGGGATGATAGACTATAAACTGGTGTAAAATGTTCAAGCTTCTTTGAGCTGCAGCATTTTAGACCCGTTGTAGTCGTGCTAATAAGTGACTGACTCCAAGAAGTGATGAGCTCAAGCAGCCGTAACAAGACGAGATGAAAACATGAATCACCCTCTTTAGATCATTGAGATTCAAACATGGTTTGTCTTGTGAGGGGCTTCTGACCACTGTGGAGATGTGTTTATCATACTCAAGGTCTGGGCCAAGGTCACTCCAAGGTTTTACATTAGACTCCATAATAATAACAGTTCCTAACTACATAATCTCATCATGAACTCCAGATAAGAAAACAGCATCACACAAACATCCTAACTAGACTAAACCTCCTAAATCCTGTCCTAACTTTAGGATGAACCCCAACAGGGTCCTCACTTCTGTTTAAGGTCCGTTTCTATGGTTTTTAGGCAGCTGTGTCAGCAGCATAGTTCACTACCAGCATAATGAGCTCCATTTATCTCTACTGTAAAACGCTGCTTTCACTGTGAGATGATTTTCTTTTCTAACTCTGCGTTTTAAAGATCTCAGACGCTGCAGACTCGATCTCCACCGCCCCTCTGATCACCTTCGTGTGTTCATGTTGATGATGAAATATTACAGTGATGGTGGTGAATAATGAGGAGACGGAGCTGAACGTGTGTCTGTTTATTAGGAGGAGTAACGTTAGCGCGCTCGGCTAAAGCGTTTGGGAAATGGAGACTGAAACTGGAGAGCGGCGACGCTTTGATAAACAGCAGGGGGCGCTCTCACAGTATTCACAACTTACAGTTTATCACACTTCAGTTCTGTGTGGGCTTCTTTACATCAGCAACAGCAGCTGTGACTCACATTTTTAACGTTATGGAAATATATGGTGCATGTGGTGTTGGGGAAGGAAGTGATTCAGTTCACTGCAGTGAAAATACAGCACAAACTTATAGACCTCGCAGCTACTGCAGACTTTGAAAATGTCAAAATAAAACATAAAATAAACATACAACCCTAAAACAAGCCTGCATAAGTCTTTACTATGTTTATATTGTTCGTTAAAAGCATTTTAATCTGTTTCAGGTAAGCAATCCTGAATCTGCAGCCCATTCAGATCCCCTAAGTGTAACAAAGTCTTTATACTGAACTATTAAACTCTCTCTCTTCTTCCCATTAAGACAGAATCCTATTTCTCCATGTATGAAGACGTCTCTGTAGACAGCTGTCAGAGAGCAGCTGAAATAAGAGATGTTTAAGGCCTAAGAAGAGAACATGGTTTAAAGCTGCACTTCCACGAGGGCCACAAGTCACATCCAATCAGCTTCACCGAGCCGTTCTCCCAGCATGCATCAGCGCTGAGAGATCCGCCCACTCCGAAGTGAGCTAAACATAGCTCCAAACACACAACGGGAGTCCCAGAGTCACAGCTAGACATGGCAAGAAAAAAACTGCAAGCTTAAGAGAGCAGGCAGGCCACATCTGGCAAACAATGTGCACCTCCACCCTCTGCCAAGCAGAACAGAGCGCTCAGATAGGGACAGGTTCACTTGGCAGGTAAAATACACTGTAATAAAAGACCACTGAAAGAAAACGTCAGCTATAGTCCTGATTTCAGCTGACAGCATTAGCATTACTGCTGCAGTGAAGCTCTCTCATTTGGGCCAAAAGGGTTATGAGTCGGCAATTTTCTGCTAGATAATCAAACACCTCTGATGAGGCAGGTGGGAAGCACTTGTATTAATAACCACTTAATTTTATAAGGCTAGTTTCTGCAGCCTGTCAGACTTGCTCCAGTTAGGTTCCCAGCGAAACTGCACCCAATCCGGACATCACAGTGGAAATTATAGGTCTGCAACTGTCCATTCAATTCAGTTTTCTTTGTGTAGCGCTGTCATGAATTGAGATATTGAGTAGATATTTCCACTATTCAAATATCCACCTTAACCCTCTGAGGTCTAAAGGTATTTTGCTAACACTTTGCTGTAGGGTACTGTTCATAAGACTACATGACACCTACATAAGCTTGTCATGACTTTTGGTATGTTTTAGCTATGTCGTAGCTATTGTTTTTACTTTTTACTTCTACTTTTTTACTTTTATACTTTTATCTCTTTACTCTATATCATTTTTTTATTCTTTCTATTTCTTTTATTAGTATTCTTTTTATTTATTTTATCATTGTCAATTTATTGTCAGATCTATTTCTATTATTTATTATTATATTTATTTATATTATTTTATTTATTTATTGTTATATTGTAATTTTAATGATTTATTGATTTAACAGTTTATCGGTACCTTCTTATTATTAAATTTTACTTTTATGATTTTTATGATTTAATTATAGCATTTGATTTTTTTTTTTTACTGTACAACTTCTAAGTCCCTGATTCCTGTATTACTCGGCTACATTGTAAATGAGGGTCTCCCTCAATGTATTCCGAGTTTAAATAAAGGTTGATTGATTGATTGATTGAAGACAACTGACATAACCCTACATAAATGTTTATTAATGCTTATTCCAACAGGCGTCATCTGTCATAAAGGCTACTTTGATTAAAATTGGCAAGTGTAACATTTATAGCGAATAATGTCTATTGGAATAAGCATTAATAAACACTTATGAAGGGTCATGTCAGTTACCATGACAAGCTTGGTGTAGGTGTCATGTAGCCTTATGAACTGCACCCTACAGTAAAGTGTTACCGGTGTTTTCTCGATTTTTTGCATCTCTTCTTAAATTCTCCTTTAAAGGAATCCAACGGTTCCACGCGGTGAGAGGCAGATGACGTGTATCTCAGCCCCTCTTCATAGGCTCATAACTCCGGATGTGAGTCTCGTATGATCTCGTGATAAGATGGAATGGAAAGGGCGACTCTACAGATTCAGGAAGTGTTTGAACTGGATTTCTGAGCTGGATCATCACAAAGATACACAAACAGATATAGAAATATCAAATCCTTTATTGTTTGATGCACTGTTGATGCACAAACTGAATAAAAATCTTCGAATGTTTCTTTACATGTCAAATAAACACAACAGCATTCAGAAATCTTGGTGTGCATTTGCTTTCTCACACATACGACTTGTGACAACTTAAACACTGAGAGTGTGAATCCTGCAGTACTTCAACTTAAAGCCTTATCTATCGCCAGATCTAGCTGTTTTAAAGGACACAGACATCTAGTCACTGTCAGAACAAAATAGTCATTTTTAGAAAAGATTGCTAAAATCTGTTTAGTTTGGGTTTTTGTGATATTGTGTCTCTTTCATCTGAATCGGTTGGTTTCACACTGTAGTGGCTAAAGTGCACCAAATTACATTTGTGAGTTTGTTTATAGGTCTGTACATTTGCAGGGATACAAGTGCTCACTATCTTGTCACCATCTGAGCCACAAAACTCTCACTTTGCATGAAAATAAAACGTTTAATGTCTGGGTGTGGGGCGGCACGGTGGCGCAGTGGGTAGCGCTATTGCCTCACAGCAAGAAGGACCTGGGTTAGATTCCTGGCCAGGTGACCAGGGTCATTTCTGTGTGGAGTTTGCATGTTCTCCCCAAGTCTGTGTGGGTTTCTGCCGGGTACTCCGGTTCCCTCCCGCGGTCCAAAAACATGCAGGCAGGCCGATTGGACATGCTGAATTGCCCCAAGTGTGAATGTGTGAGTGAATGTGTTTCTGTCTGTCTCCCCTGTGATGGACTGGCGACCCGTCCAGGGTGTATCCTGCCTTCCGCCCAATGACAGCTGGGATAGGCTCCAGCACCCCACCGCGACCCAGAAGGATAAGCGGTTTAGATGATGTACGTATGTATGTATGTGTCTGGGTGTGTCAAAGAAATAATAAATAAATAGAGATGCACCGATACTACTTTTTCCCTTCCAATACTGAAACATGATCCTTGAGTACTGATTCCTATCTAATCTAATTCATAAGTCCTGATATTTATACTTTCATTTATTTAACTTATTTATTTTTTTAATATTTTTAAACTTTAAAATAATAATTAAACATCATATATAGAGATATATCTGAAGTTATTTACCTCATACATGCGT